GAATTCTTCCAAGCAAGCAATGAAGAGTTAGTCTCTTAGTATGTGCTAGCAGGATGGAACCTTTATGTATTTTATCATTGTTAATTAATCCATCGACTTAAGTCTGGAAGCATTACTATTTCAGAGGCCTAATATAATCATTACCAGTACAGAAGGCCTCATTTCTAATAAACAATGACCTTTTATATTGAATTCTTGACACACACATGGATATTGAAAAATCAAACAGTGCATGCCTAGAATGAGTGTACCTATTTATCTGAAACAGTAAATTTAGAATTATGTTTTATATCTGATTGTATTCTTACATACTCTCTTAGTGAAAACCAGGAGGATCTGATAGAAATCATCACTGAAGTTCCTGTGTTTGAAAGGTGAGTTATAAATAGATAAATGAAGACATAGGTATGTCTATATAGGTATATTCAATCATACACGCAGATATATACAAATAAACATACAAAGAGACATATTCCTATTAGCACACATATATATACAAACATGCATATCCTACAGATAGAAGACGAATAAAAAGACAGATTGATATGTCTGAAACTTACCCTCATGAGCATACATGGCCATATAGAGATTTTTTTTGACATTGTTTCTGCATCTTCTCATTGGAGCATTTGGAAGTAACTTTCCATTTTTCCTAGACTTGAGGCAGACAAAGACGAGCTGGTCACAGTAGAGTTGCTTTTTCCTGTTTGTATATTTGTCCACTTAGTTATTAGCAGCAAATTCCTTAGGAAACAATGATATTCCCTGTGTATGAGACTCTACAGTCTTGTGCGCCCTCTCCTACTAGATTGAACCAGAGGAGAGAAAATTCATTTGGATCAATGAGAATGTTGCAATGGACCAGGGGGAGGCAAGCACTCAGCAAAAAAAAAAAAAAAATAGAGCTAAATTAGGAAATGAATTGATTTCTCATGCTCCACAGCTCTATTAACATGTCAGGCTGGTGCCTAAACCGAACCTTACTATCACGTTAGATGGAGCCCTTGTCCTTTTAGCCTGCAGCCATTAGATAATATCTCAGGGCCAGGAAGATGGGCATGATGCATGAAATACAGAGATGATGGATGATATAGCAAGGGGAGCACTGTTTAAAGTTCAAAAAATTCATATGTAACTTTGCTATTCAGAAACTAGTATTTCATTTTTTCACATAAGTGAGGCATTATGTGGTAGTAATGAAATTGTTAAGCCTATTGAAAGAAGCCTTAATGAATCAAGATTTAGAAAGTCACTTTTAGTTACATATGAATTTCTTAAACTTTAAACAGTTTGTTAGTTCCATGGATATTGTACTTACGTGAATGAAAATATAAGTCTATGACTACACATAGTGTGTGACTGTGTGAAATTTAACTCTTTAGCTTTGACCTAAATGAACTGACATGACTCATGTATGATGGAATCATATATATCTACATATATATAAATATCTCCTTCTTATATAAATATACATAGAGATATATAAAAATATGCAGAGGTTTTGAAAATAGACTTTCTTGCACATTGTTTCTAAGGTATTGACAGTGTCAGTTTCTGTATGTAACCCCCTTTCCTCTGTGTATCTAGTTGGATAAAAGAGATCAGAACTGGTCAGAAGGAAGCAGACCACTGCCTCCTACCCAGGTGACTACCAGCCAAAACTTTTAGAAAACTGTCGGATTCCCTCTCTACGAGACTCTACTAGAGAGGGCTGTAGCAGTTTCTATAGCTGCCCTAATAGAGGGTCACATATCAGCAGCTGAAACACCAGCAATTCCTTATCTCACAGTCCTCGGGACTAGAAGTGCAAAACGAACATGTCTGTAGGGTTGGCTTTTTATAAGGACTTAGGGCAGAAACTGTTGTATGCCTCTTTGCCACCTTTTGCTGGTTGCTGGCCTTCTCTGGCATTCCCTGGCATGTACTGATCATCCAGATCTCTGCCACTGCCGTCCCGTGAAATTTTCCATATGTGTGAATGTATGCCCAAATTTTCCCTGTTTATGAGGATACAAATCATATTAGAGTAGGGGCCACCCTACACTTCTATGACCTCCATCCAACTACACATGTTTGCAATTACTCTAATTGAGAATAAGGTCACATCACGAGTTACAGTGATCAGAACTTCAGGGATTGAATTAGGGGTAGTATAGTCAACCTTTAACAGGCAACAGGTGAGGAGTAATCTTATCTGGCATCAAGGAAGAGGTACAGTGGAAACAGAGAAGTAGGGCCCTGAGGACAACAGACAAAGCTGATAGCCTTTGCCCTCAAGAGCTGTGTTACCATGTAAGGATGCTGTCCCAAACTCCAGCCCACTCTTATTGGATGGAGCCCCTGACTCAGGGGGAGAGGATATGGGACAGTGAGACTAAGGAAAACAATAAAGAGCTTTCCTTAAATCTGGAAGCATTACTATTTCACAGGCCTAGGATATTTATCACCACCATATAGAGCTTCATTTCTAACAAAAAATGACCTAGAGTTAATTGGCACTACACATAGGAATATTTAAAAATAACCCAGATCACAATTGCAAAGAGGTGTATACCACCAAAGGGACCATCAGTATATGAGTGGATTAACAAAACATAGTATATGAATGCTATTCAGCTACAAGAAACAACAGTGATATAGCACCTCTTGTATTATCCTTGATAGAGCTGTAATCCATTCTACTAAATGAAGAACTTTTTAAAATCGTTGATTCAGCCAGCCGTGTAGCTGGGCCACTCCCGTAAAATTCTAGCACTCTGGCAGGCCTAGGGCGAGTGGATCCTCCAAGTCAGGGAGTTTAAACCAGCCTGAGGCAGAAGTGAACCCACATCCCTTACTAAAAATAGAAGACCATTAATTGTCCAAACTAAAATATATGGGAAAAAATTAAGCCGGGCATCCGGTGGCCGCATGCCTGTAGTCCCAAGCCTACTCGGAAGGGTTGAGACAGAAGGTTGCTTGAGCCCGGAGTTTGAGGTTGCTATGAGCCTAGGTGGCTTGACGCCACGGCATTCTAGCCCAGGCAAGCACAGTGAGCACTGTCTCAAAAAAAAAAAAATCTGATTCATTTAAGGCCTTCCCTCAACAGGCTAAAAGTAAAGTTTTCATACTACCACTATAGCCTCACTTCTAGAGGAAAAATTGATATACCAGTTTTAACTGAGCCAAAATTATCCTGAATGTCTATCGGAGTTTAATCCCTTTACTTTTGTCCTATTAGAATATTTTAGGCTAATTTAAATGAAAAAGAAGTCTATGAATTAAACATAAGTATTCAATTATGTGCAATTTAATTCTTCAGGCTCTGAATAATATACTGACTGGTCTCACATACGTATAATGCCATCATGTATAGTGTATGCTGGTATAATGTTATATACGACACACGTGTGTATGTCTGCAGCTGTGGTGTTTTATCACTTTTGAAATAAATGTACATATAGATAGTATAAATAATACACAGTATATTGCATATAGAGCTGTCTTTCGCTGCTGGTTCTAAGTATGTCAATGTTAGATTCATGTGTGTAACAACCTTCCTCATACAGTGGAGTGTACTCCAGAGGCGAAAGAGGTCGAGAAGGAAGCAGAACCAACTAACCTCCCCACCCTAGTCGTGACTTGTCAACCAAACCTTGTAGGAAACTAATCAGATTGGCTGTGTAGGAAAGACTCTATAGACAGGTTATCGTGTTTGTTCAGGCCTGTCGTAAAAAAGTGTCACAAACTGGAGTGGCTGAAACACCACCAACTTTATTAATCTCACAGCCCCTAGATGCAGAGGGTCTGAAAATGAAGGTGTCGCGCAGGGGTGGGCTTTTTATTATGGAGGACCTTGGAGGGGCCAGACTCGTGTTCTGTGCCCTCTTCCCCTGCTAGCTTTGTAACGTTTCTGGAAATCTGTACATTCCTTGGCATAATTAGACTTCTTCCACCCCACATCTCTAAACCTCCATCTTAACCATGAAATTATGCATGTGTGTGCATCTGTTGCCAAATTTCCCTCCTTATGAGGATACCAAATCATACATAGCGGTGAGGGGGCCACCTTAACCACTCATGTCATCCATCCCTTAATTACACAGGTTTCCAATTACTCTGATTTGAGAATAAGGTTACATCATCGAGGCATGTAGAACTTCAGTAATTGAATTCAGGCCTCGAGGAAGTAAAGAGGGGCAGGACGGTGGGGTAGGATATTCCTATCATTCTAAATAAGGAACAAGGTGAGGAGGAAATCCTTTCTGGCCATCGAGGAGAGGTAAAGTGAAATGACATAGGGCGCTAGGCAGAAAAGATGAACTAAAGTAGATTTGGATGTGGCTCATCACGCGTCAAGAGCTCTTGTTACCAAATGTAACACTCGGTGTCCGAAAAACTCCCAAACCCCACTTCGATATTGGATGAGAGCCCCCTGACTTAGGGAGGTCTACATGGACTTGAGAATAAAGCAAATAATTTGGACTTTTCCCCTGACTTAAGGTCTTGGAAGCATTACTAATTTCAGAGGCCTACATATCAAATCATTACGCAGTACCAGGAGGAAAGCTCCATTTCTAATAAACAAATGACACGCTTTATATTGAAGGAGTAGTCCCTAAGTAGGAAACACAAAGCTAAGAGTCTCTGGATGTTTTCCTCATCCTAACGAGTTCTATCACTATGTTAAGGCTGGTGTCCCAAAGTCCAGCCCTCTCTTACATTGGATGGGTCCCCTGACTCAGGGAGAGACTCTATAATGCATTGAGAATAAGAGAATAACAGGGACCTTTCCTTGACTTATCTGGAAGCATTACTCTTTGAAAAGCCTAAAATAGTTATTGCCAGCACACAGAGACTCATTTCTTATAAACAATGACCTTTTATATGCAATTAGTGACACACACATGAATATTAAAAAATCCAAGAGTGGATTCTTGAGTAACTGTACCCTATTTATCCCAAACAGTATATTTAGAATTATGTCTTGTATCTGATTGTATTCTTATATACTCTCTTAGTAAAAACCAGGAGGAAGTCAAAGAAATCATCACTGAAGCTCCTCTGCCAGAAAGGTGAGTTATCAATAGATAAATGAAGATATGCGTATGTCTGTATAGCTGTATACAATCTTACACACATACATATATACATAAATACACATACACTCATACTCCTATCAACACACATACATACACGCGTGCATAACCTACAGAAATAGAAAACAATTACAAAGACAGATTCACATATTTGAAACTTACCCTCGGGAGCATCCATGGCCATACCAAGATTTTTGGGGGGCATTGTTTCTCCATCTTCTTATGCAGCAATTGGAGTTAACTTTCCATGTTTCCTAGACTGAGGTAGACAAAGACGAGCTGGTCACAGGAGAGTTGGTATTTCCTGTTAGTGTACTTTTGTCCACTTAGTTATTAGCACTGAATTCCTTGGGTAACAATGAGATTCCCTGTGTACGAGACTCTACATTCTAGTGCGCCCTCTTCTGCTAGAATGAACCAGAAGGGGAGAAAATTCTATTTGGAGCTAGGAGGATGTTGCAGTGGACCAGGAAGAAGGAGGCACTCAGCAAAAGAACAGAGCTAATGGAAATGAATTGGTTTCTCATGCTCCAGAGCTCTGTCAGCATGTGAGGCTGGTGCCTAAACCGAACCTCAGTATCACATTAGATGGAGCCCTCGTCCTCTTAGCCTGCAGCCACTTGATCGTGTCTCAGGGCCAGGATGACAAGCATGATGCATGAAATAAACAGGTGATGGAGGACATAGCAAAGAAAGGACAAGAGACTGAAACACTAGCAGACTACCTACAAACTGAACTTGAATGTAAAACTACTGCCACTAGAAAAGAATCTTACACATTGGGATGAGCTTCAGCAGTGAAAATGACTTTCAAAATCTCAATTCATTAAGGCGTCTTTCAACAGGATTAACATTTTCATTACTACCATATAATGCCTCACTTATACAGAAAAATGAAATAGTAGTGTCTAAATAGCCAATTTACATGTGAAGGTCTTAGACTTTAATCCCTTTCATAGTTGTACGAATATTGTAGCTAATGTGAATGAAACAGTAAGTCTATGACTACACACAGTGTGTACTGTGTTAAATTTAATTCTTTAACTCTGACTAAAATGAATTGATAGCACTCATGTATGATGGAATCATATGTCTACGTATATATATAAAAATATCACCAATATATATAAATATATGTATAAATATATAAAAATATTCACAGGTATTAAAAATAGACTTTCTTGCACACTGTTTCTAAGGTATTGGCAGTGTCAGCTTCTGTATGTAACCCTTTTCCTCTTGTATCTAGTCGGATAAAATAGATCAGAACAGGTCAGAAGGAAGCAGACCACTGCCTCTTACCCAGGTGACTACCAGCCAAAACTTTTAGAAAACTATCCAATTGGCTGCATATGAGTGTCTAATAGAGAGGGCTTTAGTAGTTGCTGTACAAGCCATAACAGAGTGTCCAGGACTGAGCGGCTGAAACACCAGCAAGTCCTTATCTCACAGTTCTCGGTAGGAGAAGTGTGAAATGAAGTGTTGGCAGGGTTAGCATCCTATGAGGGCAGATCTGTTGTGTGCCTCTTTGCCAGCTGTTGCTAGTTGCTGGCCTTCTCAGGCATTCCTTGTCATGTATTCAGCACTTGGATCTCTGCCCTTGTCTTCATGTGAAATTTTCTGTATGTGCATATCTCTACACAAATTCTTTCTGTTTATGAGGATACCAATCATGTTGCAGTAGAGGGCTTCCCGACACCTCTGTGAGCTCCATGTCAGCTACACACATTTGCAATTACTCTCTTTCAGAATGAGGTCACACCATGAGTTAGAGAGATGGGAACTTCAGTAATTGAATGGTGTTGGTACCATATTCAACCTTTAAGAAGGATCAGGTGAGGAGAAGTCCTATGTGACATTATGGAGGACATGTAGAGGATATGGAGGAGTAGGGCCCTAAGTAGGAAACACCAGTTTTCCTCATCCTCAAGAGTTCTGTCACCATGTTAAGGCTGGTGTTCCAAAGTGCACCCTACTCTTACCTTCATGGAGCCCGTGACTCGGGTAGAATGTATAATGCATTGAGATTAAGAGATAGGGACCTTTCATTGACTTAAATCTGGAAGCATTACTATTTCATAAGCCTAAAATAGTTATTGCCAGCACACAAAGACTCATTTCTTATAAACAATGACCTTTTATATGCAATTAGTGACACACACATGAATATTGAAAAATCCAAGAGTGGATGCCTAGAGTAACTGTATCTATTTATCCCAAACAGTATATTTAGAATTGTGTCTTGTGTCTGACTGTATTCTTACATACTCTCCTAGCAAAAACCAGGAGGAAGTCAAAGAAATCATCACTGAAGCTCCTCTACAGGAAAGGTGAGTTATCAATAGATAAATGAAGATTGCGTATGTCTGTATAGCTGTATACAATCTTACACACATACATATATAAATAAATACACATACACATATACTCCTATCAACACACATACATACACACATGCATATGCTATAAAATAGAAGACAATTACAAATACAGATTCACATATTTGAAACTTACCCTCGGGAACATCCATGGCCATACAGAGATTTTTTTGACATTCTTTCTACATCTTCTTATTGCAGCATTTGGAGGTAACTTTCCATCTTTCTTGTACTGAGATAGACAAAGACAGCTGATCACAGGATAGTTGCTTCTTCCTATTAGTGTATTTGTGTTTCTTTGTAGCATGTCATTCCTTAGTAAACAATCAGATTCCCAGTGTTTGAGAATCTCCATGCTCTTGTGCCCTTTCCTACTAGAATGGGCCAGGAGAAGAGAGAATTCTGTTTGGAGCAACCAGGAGATTGCAATGGACAAGGAAGAGGGAAGCACTCAGCAAAAAGCATGGAGCTAATCAAACCTAGATGGATTTACATCCTCCATAGCTCTGTCAATGTGTGAGGCTGGTGCCTAGACCGAACCTCACTAGCACATTAGATGGATCCCTTGTCTTCTTAGCCTGAAGTTGATTGATCCTTTCTCATGGACAAGAAGACAAGCATGAAGCAGGAATGTAAGGAGGTGATTGATGAAGGGACATGGAAAGCAGGAAATGAGATGGGATTACAAAACTGACTACTTACAAACAATACCTGCATGTAAAAAACTAATCCCACTGTAGAAAAGACTGTTACACATTGGGATTACGTTTAACAGTGAAAGTAACGTTTAAAATCTTGATTCGTTAAAGGTTCTCTCAACAGGCTTAATAGTTTCATTACTACCCTATAATGCTTCACTTCTAGAGGAAAATGAAATAACAGTTTCTAAATAGCCATATTACCCCTGAATGTCTTTAAGTTTAATCATTTTATTTGTTCTGTAGATATTATAGCTAATTTAAATAAAAAAGTAAATCTATGAATTCACACAGTGTTTGATTATCTGAAATTTAATTCTTCAGGTGTGGGCAACAGGAACTGATCTCAGTAACATGTGATGCTATCACATATATATGTGTGTGTGTGTCTGTGTGTGCGTATCACTGTTAAATATCTAAATGTACATACAGATATATAAAAATACACACAGTTATTACACATAGACTGCCTTAGACTCTGTTACTAGAGTATTGGCAGTGTCAGATTCTGTGTGTAGCACACTTTCCTTTGTGGATGTACTCAGAGAAAAGAGGTCAGAACAGGTCAGATGGAAGCAGACCACTGCCTCCTACCCTAGTGACTAGCAGCCAAAACCTTTAGAAAACTATCAGATTGCCTGTGTAGGAGACTCTAGTAGAAAGGGCTGTAGTAGTTTCTCAGGCTGCCATAACAAAGTGTCACAAACTGAGTGGCCAAAACACCACAACTTTATTATCTCACAGCCCTAGATGCTAGAAGTCTGAACTGAAGATGTTGGCAGGGTGGGCTTTTTATGAGGGCTGTGGGGTAGACTGTGTTCTGTGCCTCTCTGCTAGCTTTTGCTGGTGCTGCAAATCTGTGGCATTCCTTGGCATGTAGACTCTTCACCCACATCTCTACCTCCATCTTCCCATGAAATTGTTCCTGTGTATACATCTGTGTCCATATTTTCCCACTTTATGAGGACACAAATCATATAGGATGAGGGGCCCACCTTACACCACCATGCCTTCCATCGTAACCACAGAAGTTTGCAATTACTCTATTTGAGAATAAGGTTACATCATCAGTTAGAGGTATTAGAACTTCAGTAATTTATTGGGCCATGGTAGGAAGTTGGTAGGATATTCAAACTTTAATAAAGAACAAGTGAGGAGAAATCCTATCTGGCATTAAGGAAAAGGCAAAGTGAAATGGAGCAGTAGAGCCCTAAGCAGAGAAGATGAAGCTACTAGACTTTGGAGGTACTCCTTACCCTCGAGCTCTGTTACCATGTAAGGCCGGTGTGTGTAACTCCAATCCACTCTCATATTGGATGGAGCCCTTGACTCAGGAGGAGAGTCTATAATGCATTGAGTTTAAGAGAATAATAAGGGCTGGGTACGGTGGTTCACGCCTGTAATCCTAGCACTCTGGGAGGCCAAGGCGGGTAGATCACTCAAGGTCAGGAGTTCGAAACCAGCCTGAGCAAGAGTGAGACCCCGTCTCTACTAAAAATAGAAAGACATTAATTGGCCAACGAAAAATATATAGAAAAAATTAGCCAGGCATGGTGGTGCATGCTTGTAGTCCCAGCTACTCAGGAGGCAGAGGCAAAAGGATCACTTGGACCCAGGAATTTGAGGTTCCTGTGAGCTAGACTGAAGCCACAGCACTCTAGCTCAGGCAACAAAGTGAGACTCTGTCTCAAGAAAAAAAAGATAATACAAGGGACCTTTCCTTGACTTAAATCTGGAAGCATTACTATTTCACAGGCGTAAGATAATTATTACCAGTACAGAAAGACTCATTTCTAATAAACAATGACTTTTTATATTGAATTCATGACACACACATGAATATTGAAAAATCAAACAGTGCATGCCTAGAGTAACTGTACCTATTCATCCCAAACAGTAACTGTTTTATATCTGACTGTATTCTTACATATCTCTTAGTGAAAGTGACGTGGAAGTGACAGATGTCATCACTAAAGCTCTTCTGCAAAAAAAGTGAGTTATAAATAGATTAATGAAGATATACGTATATCTGTATAGATATATATAATCTTACACACATATACAAATAAATATACATACAGACATATTCCTATCAACACACATGTAGACAAACATGCATATCCTACAGAAATAGAACACACAAAAAAGACAGATTTACATGTTTGAAACTTATCCACAGGAGCATCCATGACCGTACAGAGATTTTTTTTGACATTGTTTCTGCATCTGCTCATTGCAGCATTTGGAGGTAACTTTCCATCTTTCCTAGACTGAGGTACACAAAGGCGAGCTGGTCATAGGAGAGTTGCTTTTTACTGATCGTGTATTTGTCCCCTTATTTATTGGCAGCAAATTCCTGAGGAAACAGTGAGATTCCCTGTGTATGAGACTCTACATTCTAGTGCGCCCTCTCCTGCTAGAATGAACCAGGAGGGGAGAAATTCTACTTGGAGCAATGAGGATGTTGCAATGCATCGGGAAGAGGGAAGCACTCAGCATAAAAAACAGAGTTAATGGAAATGAATTGGGTTGTCATGCTCCAGAGCTCTGTCAGCATGTGAGGCTGGTGCCTAAACCGAACCTCAGTATCACATTAGATGGAGTCCTCGTCCTCTTAGCCTGCAGCCACTTGATCGTATCTCAGGGCCAGGATGACAAGCATGATGCATGAAATAAACAGGTGATGGAGGACATAGCGAGGGAAGGACAAGAGACTGAAACACTAGCTGACTACCTACAAACCGAACTTGAATGTAAAACTACTGCCACCAGAAAAAAATCATACACATTGGGATGAGCCTCAGCAGTGAAAATGACTTTCAAAATCTTGATTCATTAAGGCTTCTTTGAACAGGATTAACAATTTCATTACTACCATATAATGCCTTATACAGAATGTATAAGTAATGCCTCACTTATACAGAAAAATGAAATAGTAGTGTCTAAATAGCCAATTTACATGTGAAGGTCTTAGACTTTAATCACTTTCTTAGTTGTACGAATATTGTAGCTAATGTGAATGAAACAGTAAGTCTATGACTACACACAGTGTGTACTGTGTGAAATTTAAGTCTTTAGCTCTGAGCGAAATGAACTGACATGACTCATGTATGATGACATGACCCATATATTTCTGTCATATAGGAATATACATAATGATATATAAAATATTTATAGGTATTAAAAATAGACATTTTTAGACACTGTTTCTAAGGTATTGGCAGTGTTTGCTCCCGTATGTAATCCCCTTTCCTCTGTGGATTTAGTGGAATAAAAGAGGTCAGAACAGGACAGAAGGAAAGAGACAACTGCCTCCTACCCAAGTGAGTGACAGACAAAACTTTTAGAAAACTATCGGATTGCCTGCATATGACACTCTACTAGAGAAGGCTATAGTGCTTTCTAGAGCTGCCATAACAGAATGTCAGGATTGAGTGGCTGAAACACCAGCAATTCCTTATCTCATGGTCCTTGTGACTAGAAGTGTGAAATCAAGGTGTCGGCAGGGTGGCTCCCTATGAGGGCTGCAGGGAGAATCTGTTGTGGGCTTCTTTGCTAGCTGTTGCTGGTTGCTGGCCTTCCCTGGCATTTCTTGGCATGTAACACCACACCCCAATCTGTGCCTCTGTCTTCTCATGAAATCTTCTGTATGTGTGCATCTCTCCCCAAATTGTCCCTGTTTATGAGTATACCAGTGGTATTGGAGCAGGGGGCCTCCCCACACCTCTGTGAGCTCCATCTTAACTACACACATTTTCAATTACTCTATTTCAGAATGAGGTCACACCATGAGTTAGAGGGATGGGAACTTCAGTAATTGAATGGTGTTGGTACCATATTCAACCTTTAAGAAGGAACAAGTGAGGAGAAGTCCCATCTAGATTCAAGGAAGAGATGTAGTGGAAATGCAGGAGTAGGGCCCTAAGTAGGAAAGATAATGCTAACAGACTCTTGATGTTTTCCTCACCCTCAAGAGTCCTGTCACCATGTTGAGGCTGGTGTTTCAGAGTCCAGCCCACTCTTACATTGAATGGAGCCCCTGACTCCAGAGGAGAGGCTGTAACACATTGAGACTAATGTAATACTAAAGAGCTTTACTTAAATTTGGAAGCATTACTATACCACAGGCCGAAGGTATTTATTCCTAGCACATAGAACCTCTCTTCTAATAAAAAATGATCTTCAATTAGAGATACACATGATTTTCTGAAAATCACCTAGTTCATGCCTCAAGTCACTAACTGTCACTGTTTATCCCCAGAAGTAAATTTACAATGATGTGTTCATTCTGACCTTATTCTTTCAAATCTCTTAGGACACCAAGGGTCGTGTGGGGAGGAGAATCCCCCGAAAGCCGCCGCTACCTACCGTGAGTTCAACTAGATAAGTAGAAATACTTGTATGTATGTACATACATACACACTTACACACATACATGAATGAATAAGTGTATCTACAGGCATACTCATGTCAACACAGATTCATAAACGAACATGCATAAACAACACAAATAGAAGACGATTAAAGAAATACATTGACATCAGTGCATCAGTGCATTGATGCACCACAAGAGCATCAAAAGCAACAGAGAGTATTTTTCTTACATTGTTTCTAAATCTTCTCACTTTAGCATTTGCAAGTGATTTTCTATCTTTTCTTCATTGAGGCAGATACAGAGGAGCTGGTCCCGGGAAAGTTGCTTCTTCCTGTTAGTGTATTTGTCATCCTCAGTAGCATGCAATTCCTTAGTAAACAGTCAGCTTCCCATTGTTTGAGAACCTACATTCTGATGCGCCCTTTCAAACTAGAATGGGCAAAGACAGTAGAAAATCCCATTTTGAGCAACCAAGAGGTTGCAATGGACTAGGAAGAGGGAAGCACTCAGCAGAAAGAATGGAGGTGAAGGAACCTGGATGGGTGTTCTATCCTCCAGAGCTCTGTCAACGTGTGAAGCTGATGCCCAGCCCAAACCTCACTATCACATTACACAGAGCCCTAGCCTTCTTAGCCTGCGGCCACTTGATCATGTCTCAAGGTCAGGATGACAAGCATGATGCATGAAAGTACAGAGGAGATGGGGTAACAAAGAAGGAGGACATTAGATGTAATTAGAGAGCTAGCTATCTACAAACTGAAGTTCAATTTTCCACTGCAAAAAGACCATTACACATGGGAATAAGGTTCCGCAGGGAATAAAATTTTAAAATCCTGATACATTGAGACTTCTTTCAACCAGCTTTATACTTTCATTTCTACCATACAGTACCTGACTTCTAGGAAAAAATGAAATACCAATTTCTAAGGAGTAAAAGTGTCTATTTCTTAGAGTTTAATCAGTTAATTAATTGTATAGATATTATAACTTAGTTAAATGAAAACATAAGACTATGTGTACACCTACTGTACACATTTACATTATGTAAATTTTAATCTTTAGTTCTGACTGGTATTAATAGATATCACTAATGTATAATGAAATGATATGTATATATAAATATCTCCTGCAATATATAAATGTACATATAAATATATAAAAATATGGACAGATATTAAAGATACACTTTCTTGGACACTGGTTCTAAAGTATTGGTGGTATGGGCTCCTGTATGTAACCCCCTTTCCTCTTGTATCTAATCAGATAAAAGAAATCAGAACAGGTCAGAAGGAAGCAATCCACTGCCTCCTCCCCAGGTGACAGGCAGCCAACACTTTTAGAAAACTATCAGATTCCATGCGTTGGAGACTCTATTAGAGAGGGCTGTACTGGTTTCTATAGCTGCCATAACAGAGTGTCACATCTGAGCGGCTGAAACACCAGCAATTCCTTATCTCACAGTCCTCAGGACTAGAAGTACGAAATGAAGTCATTGGCAGGGTTGGCTTTTTATGAAGGCTGTACGGCAGAATCTGGTGTGTGCCTGTTTGCTAGCTTTTACTGGTTGCTGGCATTCCTTGGATTCTGTCCTCACCTGTATGTCTCCCGCTATCCTTACTAGAAATTATTCATATGTATGTTTCCATGCCCAAATTTTTCCAAATTTATTAGGATACCAATCATATTGTAGTAGGGGGCCTGCCCACACCTCTGTGAGCTCCATCTCAACTACACACGTTTGCAATTACTCTGTTTCAGAATGAGGTCACACCATGAGTTAGAGGGATGGGAACTTCAGTAATTTGGTTGTGTTGGCACCATATTCATCCTTTAACAAGTAACAAGTGAGGAGAAATCCTATCTGGCATCATGAATCCGTTGTAGTGGAAATGGAGGAATAGGGCCCTAAGTAGTAAAGACAAAGCTAAGATTCTCTGGGTGTTTTCCTCACCCTCTAGAGTTCTGTCACCACGTTAAGGCTGCTGTCCCAGAGGCCAGCCTACTTGTACATTGGATGGAGCCCCTGACTCCAAAGGAGAAGCTGTAACACATTGAGACTAATGTAATACTAAAGAGCTTTACTTAAATTTGGAAGCATTATTATTTCACAGGCATGAGATATTCACAGCATATACAGACTCTTTTTAAATAAAAAATAACCTTGTAGATTCAATTAGACCTAGAACGTGAATATTTAAAATTCACCCAGTTCATGATTTTACTCATGGACTCTCACTGTTTATCGCTAAAAGTAAATACATAATGATGTCTTTATTCTGACCTTATTCTTTTAAAATCTCATAGAACACCATCCATCGTGTGGCAAAGAGAATACCCCACCCTCCGCCACTACCCAGCGTGAGTTCAACTAGATAAGTAGAGAAATATGTATGAATGTATATACATACACACTTATGCAAATACATAAATCAATAAGTATAGTTACAGACATATTCATGTCAACACACATACATAAAAAACATGCATAAACAACAGAAATAGAAGACAATTAAAGAAACACGTTGACATTTGTGAGATTACCCTCAGGAGCATCAGTGGCCAGAGAGATTATTTCTCTGACATTGTTTCTAAATCTTCTCACTCTAGCATTTGTAAGTAACTTTCTATCTTTTCTTGATTGAGGCGGATAAAGGTGCTAGACACCGAGAGTTGCTTCTTTCTGTTAGTGTATCTGTCATCCTTAGTAGCATCCAATTCCTTAGTAAACACTGTTTCCCAATTTGAGACTCTCCATTCTCATGCCCGCTTCCCCACCAGAATGGGCAGGGGAGAGGAGAAAATCCCATTTGGAACAACCAAAAGGTTGCAATGGACAAGGAAGAGGGAAGCACTCAGCAAAAAGAATGCAGCTAATTGAACCTGGATGGGTTTCCTATCATGCAGAGCTCTGGCAACGTGTGAGGCTAGTGCCTAGGATGAACCTCACCATCACATTAGATGGAGGCTTTCTCTTCTTAGCCTGCAGCCACTTGATCATATCTCAAAGGAAGGAAACAAGGATCATGTAGTAACTAAAGAGGTGATTGAGGGACATAGTAAGGAAGACATGAGATGTAATTAAAGAGATTTTTACTTACAAATGGAAATTGAATTTAAAATTCCTTCCACTGCAAAAAGACCATTACACACGAGGAAAATGTTTTACAGGAATTACAATTTTTAAAATCCTTATATATTCAGACTTCTTTCAACAGGCTTAATAATTTCTTTTCTACCATATAGCACTTCACGTATAGGGAAAATAAATGCTAGATTTTAAATAGCCAGATTACATGTGTATTTCTTAGAGTTTAATCAGTTTATTAGTTCTATAGATATTATAAGTTATTTCACTGAAAACCTAAGACTATGAGTACATCTACTGTTTGCTTATGTAAATTTCAATTCTTTAGCTCTAACCCAAATTACTAGATATTACTAATATATAATGAAATCATACATACATAAATATCTCCTTCAATATATAAATGTACATATAAATATAAAATAAGCATAAATAGTAAATATAGACTTTCTTGGACACTGTTTTCTAAAGTGTTGGTGGTATCTGCTTCTGTATGTAACCCCCTTTCCTCTATATATCTAGTCAGATAAAACAGGTAAGAACTGGTCAGAAGAAAGCAGACCACTGCCTCCTTCCCAGGTGACTAGCAGCCAAAACTTTTAGAAAACTATCAGATTTCCTGCATAGCAGACTCTACTAGAGAAGGTTGTAGTGGCTTCTACAGCTGCCATAACAAAGGATCACATCTGAGAGGCTGAAATACCAGCAATTCTTTATCTTACAGTCATTAGGACTAGAAGTACAAAATTTAGGTGTGGACAGAGTTAGCATTTCATGAGGGCTGTAGGGAAGAATCTGTTGTGTGCCTCTTTGCTAGCTTTTGCTTGTTGCTGGCCTTCTTTGGCATTCTTTTGCATGTACTCATCACCTGGACCTCTACAGCAATCGTCCAGGGAAATTATCCGTATGTGTACATCCGTCCCCAAATTTTCCCTGTTTATGAGGATACCAATCATATTAGAGTAGCGGCCCTCATCACACCTCTGAGCTCATCTCAACTACACATATTTGTGATTACTATATTACAGAATGAGGTCACACCATGAGTTAGAGGGATGGGAACTTCAGTAATTGAATTGTGTTGGTGCCATATTCAACCTTTCACAAGGAACAAGTGAGGAGAAGTCCTGTCTGACATCAAAGAAGAGGTATAGTGGATATGGAGGAATAGGCCCCTAAGTAGTAAAGGCAAAGCTAAGATTCTCTGGGTGTTTTCCTCACCCTCTAGAGTTCTGTCACCACGTTAAGGCTGCTGTCCCAGAGGCCAGCCCACTCGTACATTGGATGGAGCCCCTGACTCCAGAGGAGAGGCTGTAACACATTAACACTAAGATAATAGTAAAGAGCTTTACTTAAATTTGGAAGCATTACTATTTCACAGACCTACAGTGTTAATTCCCAGCACACGGCCCCTTTTTAATAAATAATGACCGTCTATATTCAATTAGAACTACACACATGAATATTTAAAAATCACCTAGTTCATGCCTCCAGTCACTAACTGGAACTGTTTGTCCCCAAAAGTAAATTTACAATGATGTCTTCATTCTTACCTTATTCTTTTAAAATCTCACAGAACACCAAGTTTTGCATGGAAAAGAATTTCCCTGGACATCGACCATCAACCACCGTGAGTTCAACTAGATAAGTAGATATATATATGTATGTACATACATACACACTTATGCATATACATGATTCAATAAGTATATGTACAGACATACTTGTGTCAACACTCATACATAAAAAAACATGCATAAACAACAGAAATAAAAGACAATTAAAGAACCAATTGACATTTGTGAGATTTACCCTCAGGACCATCACGGACCACAGAGACATTGTTTCTCAATCTTCTCACTCTAACATTTGAAAGTAACTTTCTCTCTTTTCTTGACTGAGGCAGATAAAGAGGTGCTGGTCACCAAGAGGGGCTTCTTTCTGTTAGTGTATCTGTTATCCTTAATTAGTAGCATCCAGTTCCTTAGTAAACAGTCAGCATCACAGTGTTTGAGACTCTCTATCCTGGCGTGCCCTTTCCTACTAGAATGGGCCATGAGAGGAGAAAATCCCGTTTGCAGCAACCAGCAGGTTGCCAAGGACAAGAAAGAGGGAAGCACTCAACAAAAAGAAAGAAGCTTATGGAACCTGGATGGGACTCCTATCCTCCAGAGTTCTGTCAACATGTCGGGCTGGTGCCTAGACCAAATCTCACTATCACATTAGATAGAGTCCTTGTCCTCTTAGCCTGTAGCCACTTGAACGTATCTCAAAGGCAGGAAGACAAGCATCATGCATGAAAAAACAGAGGTGATTGAAGGACATAGCAAGGAGGATATGAGATGGACTTAGAGAACTGACTGCATCCAAATGGAAGTTGAATTTAAAATTCCTTCCACCGCAAAAAGACACTTACACATGGGGATAAGGTTCAGCAGGAAATAAACCTTTAAAATCCTGATACACTGAGACTTTCACCAAACTTAATACTTTCATTTCTACCATATAATACCTGACTGATAGGGAAAAATGAAATACCGGTTTCTAAATAGTCAAATTACATTGCATTTCTTAGAGTTTAATCAGTTTGTTATTTGTATAGATATGATAACTTATTTGAATGAAATGTAACACTTATCAGTATACCTACTGTTTGATTATGTAAAGTTTAATTCTTTAGCTCTGACCCAAATTAATAGATATCACTAATGTATAATGAAATAATATATACATAAATATCTCTTCATCAATATATCAATGTACATATAAATATATGAAAATATGCACAAATAATAAATATAAATTTTCTTAGAGATTTTCTAAAGTATTGGTGGCATCTGCTTCTGTATGTAAACCATTTCCTCTGTGTCTAGTCAGATAAAAGAGGTCAGAACAGGTCAGAAAGAAGCCTGCCTCCTCCCAGGTGACAGGCAGCCAAAACCTTTAGAAAACTATAGATTACCTACATAGAAGACTCTACTAAAGAGGGCTGCAGTGGTTTCTAGGGCTGCCATAACAGTGGCACATCTGAGTGGCTGAAACACCAGCAATTCCTTGTCTCACAGACCACGGAACTAGAAGTGCCAAATATAGGTTTGGCAGGGTTGGTTCTTACGAGGGCTATAGGGCAGAATCTGTTGTGTGCCCCTTGACTAGCTTTTGCTAGTTGCTGGCCTTTTTTGTCATTCCTTGGTATGTAGTCATCGCCCGGATAGCTGTCACTATTGTCCCAGGAATTTACCCATATGTGTGCATCTGTGCCTAAATTTTCCCTATTTATGAGGATACCAATCATATTGGAGTAGGGGGCCTCCCCACACCTCTGTGAGTTCCATGTCAACTACAAATGCTTACAGTTACTCTGTTTCAGAATGAGGTCACACCATGAGTTAGATGGATGGGAAATTCAGTAATTGAATTGCATTTGTACCATATTTAACCTTTAACAAGGAACAAGTGAGGAGAAGTCCTATTTGGCATCAAGGAAGAGGTATAGTGGAAATGGAGGTTTAGATCCCTAAGTAGGAAAGACAATGTTAATACACTTCGGATGTTTTGCTCACCCTCAAGAGTTCTGTCACCATGTTAAGGCTGCTGTCACAAAGTCCAGCCCACTTTTATATTAGATGGAGGGAGCCCTTGACTCCGGAAAACAGGCTGTAACACATTGAGACTAATCTAATACTAAAGAGCTTTACTTAAATTTGGAAGCGTTACTATTTCATAGGTCCCAGATATTTAAGCCTAGCACATAGAGCCTCTTTTCTAACAGAAAAATGACCTTCTAGATTCAGTTAGAGATACATACAGAAATATTTAAAAATTATCCAGTTCATCATCTGAGTCACCAACTGTCACTGTTTATCCCCAAAAGTAAATTTACAATGATGTCTTCATTCTGAATTTATTCTTTTAAACTCTCATAGAACACCAAACTTCGCGTGGAAAAGAGATTCCCCAGATGTCAACCGCCAAACACTGTGAGTTCAACTAAATAAGTAGAGAAACGTGTACATACATACAACTAATGCACACACATAAATGATTAAGTATAGATACAGACATAGTCATGTCAACACACATACATAAACAAACATGCATAAACAACAGAAATAGAAGACAATTAAAGAAACACATTGGCATTTGTGAGATTTACCCCCAGGAGCATCAGTGGTCAGAGAGAGTATTTCTCTGACATTGTTTCTAAATCTTCTCACTCTAGCATTTGGAAGTGACTTTCTATCTTTTCTTCACTGAGATAAAGAGAAGCTGGTCACAAGAGAGTTGCTTCCTCCTGTTAGTGTATCTGTCATCCGTAGTTAGTAGCATCCAATTCCTTAGTAAACAGTTATCTTCTCAGTGTTTGAGATTCTCTGTTCTGGTGCCCCATTTCCTAGTACAGTGGGCCAGAGGAGGACAAATCCCATTTGGAGCAACCAGGAGGTTGCAGTGGACAAGGAAGAGGGAAGGACTCAGCAAAAAGAATGAAGCTAATGGATCCTGGACGGGTTTCCTATCCTCCAGAACTCTGTCAGTTGTGAGGCTGGTGCCTAGACTGAACCTCACTGTCACATGAGATCTCGGAGTCATTGTCTTCTTAGGCTGCCACCGCTTGACCATATCTTAAGGGCTGGAAGACAAACACGATGCATGAAAGTACATAGGTGATATAGGGACATAGGAAGGAGGACATGAGATGGAATTAGAGAGCTGACTACCTCCAAATGGAAGTGGAATTTAAAATGCTTTCCACTGCAAAAAGACCCTTACACATGCAGATAATGTTCAGCAGAAAATAAAATTTTTAAAATCCTGATACATTGAGGCTTCTTTCACCAGGCTTAATACTTTCATTTCTACCATATAATAACTGACTTCTTGGGAAAAGTGAAATACCAATTTCAAAATAGCCAGATTACCTCAGTATTTCTTAGAGTTTAATCAGTTTATTAGTAGTATAGATATTATAATTTATTTGAATGAAAACATAAAACTATGAGTACACCTACTGTTTGATAATGTAAAGTTTAATTATTTAGCTCCAACCCAAATTAATAGATATCAGTAATGTATAATGATAACATATATATGTAAAAATAACTCCTTCAATATATAAATGTACATATAAATATATAAAAATATGCACAAATATTAAACGTAAACATCCTTGGACACTTTCTAAAGTATCGGTGGTATCTGCTTCTGTATGTAAACCCTTTCCTTTGTGTATCTAGTTGGATAAAAGAGGTCAGAACAGGTCAGAAGGAACCAGACCACTGTCTCCTTCCCAGGTGACTAGCAGCCAAAACTGTTAGAAAACTATCATATTGCCTGCATAGCAGACTCTACTAGAGAAGACTGCAGTGGTTTCAGGGCTTACATAACAAAATGTCAAATCTGAGCAGCTGAAACACCAGCAATTGCTTATCTCACAGGGCTCAGGGCTAGAAATGCAAACTGAAGATGTTGGCAGGGTTGGCTTTTATGAGGGCTATAGAGCAGAATCTGTTGTGTGCCCCTTGGCTAGCTTTTGCCAGTTGCTAGCCTTCTTTGGCATTCCTTGGTATGTAGTCATCACCCGGATCTCTGCCGCTAATGTCCCGGGAATTTATCCGTATGTGTGCATCTGTGCCCAAATTTTCCTTGTTTATGAGGATACCAATCATATTGGAGTAGGGGGCCTCCCCACCCCTCTGTGAGCTCCATCTCTACTACACATGTTTGCAATTACTCTATTTAGAATGAAGTCACACCATAAGTTAGAGGGATGGGAACTTCAGTAATTGAATTGTGCTGGTACCTTATTCAACCTTTCACAAGGAACAAGTGAGGAAAAGTCCTATCCCTTGATAGGAAGAGGTGTAGTGGAAATGCAGGAGTGGGGCCCTACATCAGAGACAAAGCTAAGAGACTTTGGATGTTTTCCTCACCCTGAAGAGTTCTGTCACCATGATGAGGATGGTGTCCCAAAGTGCAGCCCACTCGTATATTGGATGGAGCCCCTGACTCAGAAGGAGAGGCTATAACACATTGAGACTAATGTAATACTGAAGAGCTTTACTTAAATTTGGAAGTGTTACTATTTCACAGGCCTAAGGTATTTATTCCCAGCACATAGAGCCTCTTTTCTAATAAAAAATGACCTTCTAGATTCAATTAGTTCTACACACATGAATATTTTTTTCCCTTTTATTTCATCATATTACAGGGGTACAAATATTGTTAGGGTTACATATATTGCCCCTGCCCCCCACATGCCAGAGATTCAAGCATGTCCAATCTCCAGGTGGTGTGCACCGCACCCATTATGTAAGTATACACCCTTCTCCTCCTCCCCCCTCCCGCCTACCCACCACCCAATAAAAGTGGGGTTTTTTTGACAAATTGGTTACATTGTGTATCTTTGCCTCTCCCTAAGAAGCGTTAGAGGTATGCTCTTCCCCCCACAATGCTCGCCACATCCCTAAGATGTGGGTCTCCCCCCCCAACCCCCACCACCAATGCCTGGTGAACATTACCACCATATGAGAACCATAGTTTTAATCAGTCAGTACTAATTTGATGGCGAGTAGATGTGGACGCCATTTTCCATTATCTTGTGTCACCTCACTTTGGACAACGGGCTTAAGCTTAAACCAGGATAGCATAAATGGTGCTAGCTCACTGTCATTTCTTAGAATTGAATAATATTCCATTGTGAGTGTATACCACATTTTAATTATCCACTCATAATGACGGCACTTGGGTTGTTTCCATGACCGTGCAATAGTGAATTGTGCTGCCATAAACATTGCGTACACACATGAATATTGAAAAATTACCCAGTTCATGATTCCCGTGACTGACTGACGCTGATTATCCTGAGAAGTAAATTTATAATGATGTCTTCATTTTGACCTTCTTCTTTTAAAATCTCACAGAACACCAAACTTCGGGTGGAAAAGAGCTTCCCCAGACATGGACCGCCAACCACCGTGAGTTCAACTAGATAAGTAGAGATATATGTATGTATGTATACACATGCACACTTATTCACATTCTTAAATCAATACAGACAGATTTGTGTCAACACACATGCATAAACATGCATAAACAACAGAAATAGAAAACAATTAAAGAAACCCAGTGACATTTATGATATTTACCCTCAGGAGCATCAGTGGCCACAGAGAGTATTTCTTTGACATTTTTTCTAAATCTTCTCACTGTAGCCTTTGGAAGTGACTTTCTATATTTTCTTGATTGAGGTAGATAAAGAAGAGCTGGTCACAGGAGAGTTGCCTCTTCCTGCTAGTGTATCTGTCATCCTTAGTAGCATCCAATTCCTTTGTAAACAGTCATCTTCCCAGTTTGAGAGTCTCCATTTAGTGCACCCTTTCCTACTAGAATAAGTCAGGAGAGAAGAAAATCCCATTAGTAGCAACCAGGAGGTTGCTATGGGCAAGAAAGAGGGAAGCACTCAACAAAAAGAAAAGAGCTAATGGAACCTAGATCGATTTCCATCCTCCAGAGCTGTGTCAACATGTGAGGCTGGTGCCTACACCAGACCTCACTGTCAAATTAGATGGAGCCCTTGTCTTCTTAGCTTGTAGCCATTTGATTGTATCTCAGAGGCCGGCAGACAAGCATCATGCAGGAACTAGGGAAGTGATAGAGCAGGCATCCTCAAACTACGACCCACGGGCCACATGCGCCCATCGAGGACATTTATCCAGCCAACCAGGTGTTTTTGCCACTGCTGCCTGTCCTGCTTAGCAGCCAACTCATCCTGGGCCCACAGTGTGCACTCTCCAACGGTCTGAGGGACAGTGAACTGGCCCCCTGTTTAAAAAGTTTGAGGACCCTTGTGATAGAGGGACATAGCAAGGAGGGCATGAGATGGAATTAGAGAGCTGACTACCTCCAAACGGAAGTTGAATTTAAAATTCCTTCCACTGCAAAAAGACTCTTACACATGGGGATAAGGTTCAGCAGGAAATAAACTTTTAAAATCCTGATACATTGAGACTTCTTTCAACAGGCTTAATACTTTCATTTCTACCATATAGTACCTGACTTCTAGGGAAAAATGATATATCGGTTTCTAAGTAGCAAAATTACATGTGTATTTCTTAGAGTTTAATCAGTTTTTTATTTGTATAGATATCATAATTGTTTGAATGAAAATGTAACACTATAAGTACACCTACTATTTGATTATGTAAAGTTTAATTATTTACCTCAGACCCAAACTAATAGATATCACTAATGTATAATGAAATCATATATACATAGATATCTCTTCATCAATATATCATGTACATACAAATATATGAAAATATGCACAAATATTAAATATAAACATTCTGTGACACTTTCTAAAGTACTGATGGTATCTGCTTCTGTACGTAAACCCGTACGACTGTGTATCCAGTTGGATAAAAGAGGTCAGAAGAGGTCAGAAGGAATCAGACCACTGCCTCCTCTCAGGTGACTAGCAGCCAAAACTGTTCAAAAATTATCAGATTGCCTGCATAGGACACTCTAATAGAGAAGGCTGCAGTGGTTTCTAGGGCTACCATGACAAAATATCATATCTCAGCAGCTGAAACACCAGCAATTCCTTATCTCACAGTGCTCGGGGCTTGAAATGCGAAATGAAGATATCAGCAGGGCAGGGTCGGCTTTTTTTGAGGGCTGTAGGGCAGAATCTGTTGTGTGCCCCTTTGCCAGCTGTTGCTGGTTGCTGGCCTCCTCTGGTATTCCTTGGCAGGTACTCAGCACTCGGATCTCTGCCACTATCTTCTCATGAAATTTTCTGTATGTGTGAATATAAAGTAGGTGACTTCCCCACATGTCTGTGAGCTCCATGTCAGCTATACATGTTTGCAATTACTCTATTTCAGAATGAGGTCACACCATGAGTTAGGGCAGGAGTCCTCAAATGTTTTAAACAGGGGGCCAGTTCCCTGTCCCTCAGATCGTTGGAGAGAGCACACTGTGGGCCCGGGATGAGTCGGCTGCTAAGCAGGACAGGCAGCGGTGACAAAAACACCCGGCTGGCTGGATAAATGTCCTCAGTGGGCAGCATGTGGCCCACAGGCCATAGTTTAAGGACGCCTGAGTTAGAGGGATGAGAATTTCAGTAATTGAATTGTGTTGGTACCATATTCAACCTTTAACAAGGAACAAGTGAGAAGAAGTCCTATCTGGCATCAAGGAAGAGGTGTAGTGGACATGCAGGATAGGACCCTAAGTAGGAAAGACAAAGCTAATAGACTTTGGATGTTCTCCTCACCCTGAAGAGTTCTGTCAACATGTTAAGGGTGGTGTCCCAAAGTGCAACCCACTCGTATATTGGATGGAGCCCCTGACTGAGGAGAGGCTATAACAATTTGAGACTAATGTAATACTGAACAGCTCTACTTAAATTTGGAAGCATTACTATTTCAGGCCTAAGGTATTTATTTCCAGCAGATAAAGCCTCTTTTCTAACAAAAAAATGACCTTCTAGATTCAATTAGAGCTACACATGTGAATATTTAAAAATCACCCTGTTCATGATTCAAGTCACTGACTGTTGCCGTTTATCCCAAAAAGTAAATTTACAATGATGTCTTCATTTTGACCTTCTTCTTTTAAAATCTCACAGAACACCAAACTTCGGGTGGAAAAGAGCTTCCCCAGACATGGACCGCCAACCACCGTGAGTTCAACTAGATAAGTAGAGGTTTATATGTATGTATATATGTATACACACACATATATATGTGTACATATGTATATATGTATACACATGCACACTTATTCACATTCCTAAATCAATAAGTATACATACAGACAGACTCATGTCAACACACATGCATAAACAACAGAAATAGAAGATAATTGAAAAAACACATTGAAATTTATAATATTTACCCTCAGGAGCATCAGTGGCCACAGAGAGTATTTCATTGACATTTTTTCTAAATCTTCTCACTTGTGGCCTTTGGAAGTGACTTTCTATATTTTCTTGATTGAGGTAGATAAAGAGGAGCTGGTCATAGGAATGTTGCCTCTTCCTGCTAGTGTATCTGTCATCCTTAGTACCATCCAATTCCTTTGTAAACAATTAGCTTCCCAGTGTTTGAGATTCTCCATTTGGTGCGCCCTTTCCTACTAGAATGAGCCAGGAGAGGAGAAAATCCCATTAATAGCAACCAGGAGGTTGCTATGGACAAGAAAGACAGAGGCGCTCAACAAAAAGAAAGGAGCTTATGGAACCTAGATGGGTTTCCATCCTCCAGTGCTGTGTCAACGTGTGAGGCTGGTGCGTAGACCAAACCTCACTGTCATGTTAGATGGAGCCCTTGTCTTCTTAGCCTATAGCCACTTGATTGTATCTCAGGGGCCCGGCAGACAAGCATCATGCAGGAATTGAAGAGGTGATAGAGGGACATAGGAAGGAGGACATTAGATGGAATCAGAGAGCTGACTCCATCCAAACGGAGGATGAATTTAAACTTCCTTCACTGCAAAAAGTCACTTATACAGCTGGGTATGGTGGCTCAGGCCTATAATCCTAGCCCTCTGGGAGGCCAGGTCGGGCGGATTGTTTGAGCTTAGGAGTTCTAGACCAGCCTGAGCAAGGGCGAGACCCCATCTCTACCAAAAATAGTAAGAAGTTAATTAGACAGCTAAAAATATATAGAAAAAATTAGCCGGGCATGGTGTCGCATGCCTGTAGTCCCAGCTACTAGGGAGGCTGAGGCAGCAGGATTGCTTGAGCCCAGGAGTTTGAGGTTGCTGTGAGCTAGGCTGAAGCCACAGCACTCTAGCCCAGCAACAGAGTGAGACTCTGTCTCAAAAAAAAAGACACTTACACATGGGGATAAGGTTCAGCAGGAAATAAACTTTTAAAATCCTGATACATTGAGACTTCTTTCAACAGGCTTAATACTTTCATTTCTACCATATAGTACCTGACTTCTAGGGAAAAATGATATATCGGTTTCTAAATAGCAAAATTACATGTGTATTTCTTAGAGTTTAATCAGTTTTTTATTTGTATAGATATCATAACTTATTTAAATGAAAATGTAATACTATGAGTACACCTACTGTTTGATTATGTAAATTTTAATTCTTTAGCTCTGACCCAAACTAATAGAAATCACCAATGTATAATGAAATCATATATATATAAATATATCTCCATTAATGTATTATGTACATATGAAAATATGTACAAATATTAAATATAAATGTAGTTGTACACTTTCTAAAGTATTGGTGGTGTCTGCTTCTATATGTAAACCCTTACCTCTGTGCATCTAGTTGGATAAAAGAGGTCAGAACAGGTCAGAAGGAAGCAGACGACTGCCTCCTCCCAGGTGACTAGCAACCAAAACTGTTCAAAAACTATCAGATTGCCTGCATGGGACACTCTACTACAGAGGGCTGCAGTGGTTTCTAGGTATACCATAAAAAAATGTCACATCTGAGCAGCTGACACACCAGCAATTCCTTATTTCACAGTGCTCGGGGCTAGAAATGTGAAATGAAGGTGTTAGCAGGGTTGGCTTTTTATGAGGGCTGTAGGGCAGAGTCTGTTGTGTAACCCTTTGCCACCTGTTGCTGGTTTCTGGCCTTCTCTGGCATTCCTTAGCATGTATTCAGCCCTTGGATCTCTGCTGCTATCTTCTCTTTATTTATTTTTTTTTTGGGGGGGGGGTGACAGAGTCTCGCTTTGTTGCCCAGGCTAGAGTGAGTGCCATGGCATCACCCTAGCTCACACCAACCTCACACTCCTGAGCTAAAGCTATCCTACTGCCTTAGCCTCCTGAGCAGCTGGGACTACAGGCATGCGCCACCATGCCCGACTAATTTTTTCTATATATATCAGTTGGCCAACTAATTTTTTTCTATTTATGGTGGAGACTGGGTCTCGCTCTTGCTCAGGCTTGGTTTAGAACTCCTGACCTCAAGAAATCCACCCCCCTCGGCCTCCCAGAGTGCTAGGATTACAGGCGTGAGCCACTGCACCCTGCCATCTGCTGCTATCTTCTCATGAAATTTTCTGTATGTGTGCATCTCTGCCCAAATTTTTCCTGTTTATGAGAATACCAATCATATTGGAATAGCTGGCCTTCCCACACCTCTGTGAGCTCCATGTCAACTACACAAGTTTGCAATTACTCTGTATCAGAATCAGGTCACACCATGAGTTAGAGGGATGCAAACTTCAGTAACTGAATTGTGTTGGTACCATATTCAACCTTTCACAAGGAACCAGTGAGTACAGGTCCTATGTGACATCAAGGAAGACGTGTAGTGGAAATGCAGCTTTAGAGGCCTAAATAGGAAAGACAACGTTAATACACTTTGGATGTTTTCCTCACCCTCCAGAGTTCTGTCACCACGTTAAGGCTGCTGTCCCACAGTCCAGCCCGCTCCTACATTGGATGGAGCCCTTGACCCCAGAGGACAAACTCTAACACATTGAGACTAATACTAAAGAGCTTTAGTTAAATTTGGAAGCGTTAGTATTTCGCAGGCCTCAGGTGTTTATTCCCAGCACATAGTGTCTCTTTTCTCATGAAAAAATGACCTTCTAGATTCAATTAGAGATACACACAGGAATTTTTTAAAATTATCCAGTTCATCATTCAAGTCACTAATGTCACTGTTCATCCTCAAAAGTAAATTTACAATGATGTCTTCTTTCTTAACTTATCTTTTAAAATCTCATAGATCACCAACCATCTCCAAGAATAGAGTTTCCTCAGACATCGACCGCCGACCACTGTGAGTTCAACTAGATAAGTCAAGATACATGTATGTGTATACACACATACACACTTATGCACACACATAAATGAATGTGTATACATACAGACATGCTGTATGTATGTATGTATACATACATACATAAATAAACCATTCAGGAAACATTGATATTTGTGAGATTTACCCCCAGCAGCATCAATGGCCAGAGAGAGTATTTCTCTGACATTGTTTCTAAATCTTGTCATTCTAACATTTGGAAGTGACTTTTTATCTTTTCTTCACTTAGGTAGACAAAGTGAAGCTGGTCACAGGAGTATAGCTTCTTCCTGTTAGTGTATTTGTTATCCGTACTTAGTAGCACCCAATTCCTTAGTAAACAATTAGCTTCCCAGTGTTTGAGACTCTTCATTCTTGTACCCTGTTTCCTAGTCCAGTGGGCCAGGAGAGGAGAAAATTCCTGTTTGGAGCAACCAGGAGGTTGCGGTGGGCAAGGAAAAGGGAAGGAGTCAGCAAAAAGAATGGAGCTAATGGAACCTGGATGGGTTCCTCAGTTGTGAGGCTAGTGCCTAGACTGAACCTCACTATCACATTAGATGAAGTAATTGTCCTCTTAGGCTACGGCCACTTACCATATCTTAAGGGCTGGAAGACAAGCAGGATGCATGAAAGTACATAGGTGATTTAGGGACATAGGAAGGAGGACATGAGATGGAATTAGAGAGCTGACTACCTCCAAATGGAGGTTGAATTTAAAATGCCTTCTACTGCAAAAAGACCCTTAACCATGGGAATAATGTTCAGCAGGAAATAAAATTTTTAAAATCCTCATACATGGAGACTTCTTTCAACTGGCTTAATTCTTTCATTTCTACCGTAGAATAACTGACTCTTTGGGAAAAATGAAATATCAGTTTCAAAATAGCCAAATTACCTCAGTATCTCTTAGAGTTTAATCACTTTATTAGTTGTAAGATATTTTAATTTACTTGAATGAAAACATAAGACTATGAGTACACCTACTGTTTGATTATGTAAAATTTAATTATTTAGCTCTGACCCAAATTAATAGATATGAGTAATGTATAATGATATCATATATACATAGAAATACCTCCTTCAATATATAAATGTACATATAAATACATAAAAATATGCACAAATAATAAATATAAACTTCTTGGACACTTTCTAAAGTATTGGCGATATCTCCTTCTATATGTAAACCCTTTCCTCTGTGTATCTAGTGGGATAAAAGAGGTCAGAACAGGTCAGAAAGAAGCAGACCACTGCCTCCTCCCAGGTGACTGGCAGCCAAAACTTTTAGAAAAGCATCAGATTGCCTGCATAGGACACTGTACTACAGAGGGCTGCAGTGGTTTCTAGGGCTGCCATAACAAAACATCACATCTGAGCAGCTGAAACACCAGCAATTCCTTATCTCACCATGCTCAGGGCTTGAAATGCGAAATGAAGGTGTTAGCAGGGTTGCCTTTTTGTGAGGGCTGTAGGGCAGAGTCTATTGTGTAACTCTTTGCCACCTGTTGCTGGATTCTGGCCTTCTCTGGCATTCCTTAGCATGTATTCAGCCCTTGGATCTATGCCACTATCTTCTCATGAAATTTTCTGTATGTGTGCATCTCTGCCCCAATTTTCCTGTTAATGAGGATACGAATCATATCGGAATAGCGGGCCTCCCCACCCCTCTGTGAGCTCCATGTCAACTACACAAGTTTGCAATTACTCTGTATCAGAATCAGGTCACACTGTGAGGTCACACCATGAGTTAGAGGGATGCAAAATTCAGTAATTGAATTGTGTTGGTACAATATTCCACCTTTCACAAGGAACCAGTGAGGACAGGTCCTATGTGACATCAAAGAAGACGTGTAGTGGAAGTGCAGCTTTAGAGGCCTAAATAGGAAAGACAACGTTAATACGCTTTGGATGTTTTCCTCACCCTCGAGAGTTCTGTCACCACGTTAAGGCTGCTGTCCCACAGTCCAGCCTGCTCCTACATTGGATGGAGCCCTTGACTCCAGAGGACAGACTCTAACACATTGAGACTAATACTAAAGAGCTTTAGTTAAATTTGGAAGCGTTAGTATTTCGCAGGCCTCAGGTTTTATTCCCAGCACATAGAGTCTGTTTTCTCATGAAAAAATGACCTTCTAGATTCAATTAGAGATACACACAGGAATTTTTTAAAAGTTCATCATTCAAGTCACTACTGTCACTGTTCATCCTCAAAAGTAAATTTACAATGATGTCTTCTTTCTGAACTTATCTTTTAAAATCTCATAGATCACCAACCTTCTCCAGGAATAGAGTTTCCTCAGACTTCGACCGCCAATCACTGTGAGTTCAACTACATAAGTGGAGATACATGTATGTGTGTACACACATACACACTTATGCACACACATAAATGAATGTGTATACATACAAACATGCTGGTGTCAATACACATACATAAATAAACAATTAAAGAAACATATTGATATTTGTGAAATTTACCCCCAGCAGCATCAATGGCCAGAGAGAGTATTTCTCTGACATTGTTTCTAAATCTTCTCACTCTTAACATTTGGAAGTGACTTTCTTTCTTTTCTTCACTGGTGGTAGAGAAAGTGGAGCTGGTCACAGGAGTATAGCTTCTTCCTGTTAATGTATTTGTTAGCCGTACTTAGTATCATCCAATTCCTTAGTAAATAATTAGCTTCTCATTGTTTGAGACTCTTCATTCTTGTGCCTTGCCTTGTTTCCTAGTCCAGTGGGCCAGGAGAGGAGAAAATTCCCGTTTGGAGCAACCAGTAGGCTTCAGTGGGCAAGGAAGAGAAAAGGACTCAGCAAAAAGAATGGAGCTAATGGAACCTGGATGTGTTTCCTATCCTCCAGAGCTCTGTCAGTTGTGAGGCTGGTGCCTGGACCAAAACTCACTATCACATTAGATAGAACCACTATCTTCTTAGGCTACGGCAGCTTGACCATATCCTAAGGGCTAGAAGACAAGCACGATGCATGAAACTACAGAAGTGATTTAGGGACATAGGAAGGAGGACATGAGATGGAATTAAGAGAGCTGACTACCACCAAATGGAAGTGGAATTTAAAATGCCTTCCACCACAAAAAGACACTTAACCATGGGAATAATGTTCAGCAGGAAATAAAATTTTTAAAATCCTCATACATGGAGACTTCTTTCAACTGGCTTAATTCTTTCATTTCTACCATAGAATAACTGACTCCTTGGGAAAAATGAAATATCAGTTTCAAAATAGCCAAATTACCTCAGTATCCCTTAGAGTGTAATCAGTTTATTAGTTGTTTAGATATTTTAATTTATTTGAATGAAAACATAAGACTATGAGTACACCTACTGTTTGATTATGTAAAATTTAATTATTTAGCTCTGACCCAAATTAATAGATATGAGTAATGTATAATGATATCATATATACATAGAAATACCTCCTTCAATATATAAATGTACACATAAATATATAAAAATATGCACAAATAATAAATATAAACTTCTTGGACACTTTCTAAAGTATTGGCGATATCTCCTTCTATATGTAAACCCTTTCCTCTGTGTATCTAGTGGGATAAAAGAGGTCAGAACAGGTCAGAAAGAAGCAGACCACTGCCTCCTCCCAGGTGACTGGCAGCCAAAACTTTTAGAAAAGCATCAGATTGCCTGCATAGGACACTGTACTACAGAGGGCTGCAGTGGTTTCTAGGGCTGCCATAACAAAACATCACATCTGAGCAGCTGAAACACCAGCAATTCCTTATCTCACCATGCTCAGGGCTTGAAATGCGAAATGAAGGTGTTAACAGGGTTGCCTTTTTGTGAGGGCTGTAGGGCAGAGTCTATTGTGTAACTCTTTGCCACCTGTTGCTGGATTCTGGCCTTCTCTGGCATTCCTTAGCATGTATTCAGCCCTTGGATCTATGCCACTATCTTCTCATGAAATTTTCTGTATGTGTGCATCTCTGCCCCAATTTTCCTGTTAATGAGGATACGAATCATATCGGAATAGCGGGCCTCCCCACCCCTCTGTGAGCTCCATGTCAACTACACAAGTTTGCAATTACTCTGTATCAGAATCAGGTCACACTGTGAGGTCACACCATGAGTTAGAGGGATGCAAAATTCAGTAATTGAATGGTGTTGGTACAATATTCAACCTTTCACAAGGAACCAGTGAGGACAGGTCCTATGTGACATCAAAGAAGACGTGTAGTGGAAATGCAGCTTTAGAGGCCTAAATAGGAAAGACAACATTAATACACTTTGGATGTTTTCCTCACCCTCCAGAGTTCTGTCACCACGTTAAGGCTGCTGTCCCACAGTCCACCCCGCTCCTACATTGGATGGAGCCCTTGACCCCAGAGGACAGGCTGTAACACATTGAGACTCATACTAAAGAGCTTTAGTTAAATTTTGAAGCCTTACTGTTTCATAGGCCTCAGGTTTTATTCCCAGCACAGAGAGTCTCTTTTCTCTTGAAAAAATGACCTTCTAGATTCAATTAGAGATTACACAGGAATTTTTTTAAATTACCAGTTCATCATTCAAGTGACTACTGTCACTGTCATCCTCAAATTTACTATGATGTCTTCTTTCTTATCTTTTAAAATCTCGTAGATCACCAACCATCTCGTGGAATAGAGTTTCCTCAGACATCTACCGCCAACCACCGTGAGTTCAACTAGATAAGTCAAGATTCATGTATGTTTGTACACACATACACACTTATGCAGACATATAATGAATGGGTATACATATAGACATGCCCGTGTCAATACACATACATAATTAAACAATTAAAGAAACATATTGATATTTGTGAGATTTACCCCCAGCAGCATCAATGGCCAGAGAGAGTATTTCTCTGACATTGTTTCTAAATCTTCTCCCTCTAACATTTGGAAGTGACTTTTTATCTTTTCTTCACTGAGGTAGACAAAAACGAGCTGGTCACAAGAAAATAGCGTTTTCCTGTTAGTGTATTTGTTATCTGTACTTAGTACATCCAATTCCTTAGTAAACAATTAGCTTCCCAGTGTTTGAGACTCTTCATTCTTGTGCCCTTCATTCTTGTGCCTAGTCCGGTGGGCCAGGAGAGGAGAAAATTCCCGTTTGGAGCAACCAGTAGGTTGTGGTGGACAAGGAAGAGGAAAGGACTCAGCAAAATGAATGCAGTTAATGGATCCTGGACGGGTTTCCTATCCTTCAGAGCTCTCTTAGTTGTGAGGCTGGTGCCTAGACTGAACCCCACTATCATATTAGATGGAGTGACTATCTTCTTAGGCTATGGCCGCTTGACCTTATATTAAGGGCTGGAAGACAAGCACGATGCATGAAAGTACATAGGTGATTTAGGGACATAGGAAGGAGGACATGAGATGGAATTAGAGAGCTGACTACCTCTAAATGGAAGTGGAATTTAAAATGCCTTCCACCGCAAAAAGACCCTTAACCATGGGATTAATGTTCAGCAGGAAATAAAATTTTTAAAATCCTCATACATGGAGACTTCTTTCAACTGGCTTAATACTTTTCATTTCTACCATAGAATAACTGACTTCTTGGGAAAAATGAAATATCAGTTTCAAAATAGCCAAATTACCTCAGTATTTCTTAGAATTTAATCAGTTTATTAGTTGTTTAGATATTTTAATTTATTTGAATGAAAACATAAGACTATGAGTACACCTACTGTTTGAGTATGTAAAATTTAATTATTTAGCTCTGACCCAAATTAAAAGATATGAGTAATGTATAATCATATCATATATACATAAAAACACCTCCTTCAATATATAAATGTACATATAAATACATAAAAATATGCACAAATAATAAATATAAACTTCTTGGACACTTTCTAAAGTATTGGCGATATCTCCTTCTATATGTAAACCCTTTCCTTGTGTATCTAGTGGGATAAAAGAGGTCAGAACAGGTCAGAAAGAAGCAGACCACTGCCTCCTCCCAGGTGACTGGCAGCCAAAACTTTTAGAAAAGCATCAGATTGCCTGCATAGGACACTGTACTACAGAGGGCTGCAGTGGTTTCTAGGGCTGCCATAACAAAATGTCACATCTGAGCAGCTGAAACACCAGCAATTCCTTATCTCACCATGCTCAGGGCTTGAAATGCGAAATGAAGGTGTTAACAGGGTTGCCTTTTTGTGAGGGCTGTAGGGCAGAGTCTATTGTGTAACTCTTTGCCACCTGTTGCTGGATTCTGGCCTTCTCTGGCATTCCTTAGCATGTATTCAGCCCTTGGATCTATGCCACTATCTTCTCATGAAATTTTCTGTATGTGTGCATCTCTGCCCCAATTTTCCTGTTAATGAGGATACGAATCATATCGGAATAGCGGGCCTCCCCACCCCTCTGTGAGCTCCATGTCAACTACACAAGTTTGCAATTACTCTGTATCAGAATCAGGTCACACTGTGAGGTCACACCATGAGTTAGAGGGATGCAAAATTCAGTAATTGAATTGTGTTGGTACAATATTCCACCTTTCACAAGGAACCAGTGAGGACAGGTCCTATGTGACATCAAAGAAGACGTGTAGTGGAAATGCAGCTTTAGAGGCCTAAATAGGAAAGACAACATTAATACGCTTTGGATGTTTTCCTCACCCTCCAGAGTTCTGTCACCACGTTAAGGCTGCTGTCCCACAGTCCAGCCTGCTCCTACATTGGATGGAGCCCTTGACTCCAGAGGACAGACTCTAACACATTGAGACTCATACTAAAGAGCTTTAGTTAAATTTGGAAGCGTTAGTATTTCGCAGGCCTCAGGTATTTATTCCCAGCACATAGAGTCTCTTTTCTCATGAAAAAATGAGCTTCTAGATTCAATTAGAGATACAGGAATTTTTTTAAATTACCAGTTCATCATTCAAGTGACTGCTGTCACTGTTCATCCTCAAAAATAAATTTACAATGATGTCTTCAATCTTAACTTATCTTTTAAAATCTCGTAGATCACCAGCCTTCTCATGGAATAGCGTTTCCTCAGACATGGACCGCCGACTACCGTGAGTTCAACTAGATAAGTCAAGATACATGTATGTTTGTACACACATACACACTTATGCACACACATAAATGAATGTGTATACATACAGATATGCTGGTGTCAATAGACATACATAAATAAATAATTAAGAAAACATATTGATATTTGTGAGATTTACCCCCAGCAGCATCAATGGCCAGAGAGAGTATTTCTCTGACATTGTTTCTAAATCTTCTCACTCTAACATTTAGAAGTGACTTTTTATCTTTTCTTCACTGAGGTAGGCAAAGAGGAGCTGGTCACAGGAGAATAGCTTCTTGCTGTTAGTGTATTTGTTATCCATACTTAGTAGCATCCAATTCCTTAGTAAACAATTAGCTTCCCTGTGTTTAATACTCTCCATTCGTGTGCCCTGTTTCCTAGTCCAGTAGACCAGGAGAGGAGAAAATTCCCATCTCGAGCAACGAGGAGGTTGCGGTGGACAAGGAAGAGGAAAGGACTCAGCAAAAAGAATGGAGCTAATGGAACCTGCATAGGTTTCCTATTCTCCAGAGCCCTGTCAACATGTTAGGCTGGTGCCTAGACCAAACCTCACTATCACATTATGTTAAGGGCTGGAAGACAAGCATGATACATGAAAGTACATAGGTGATTTAGGGACATAGGAAGGACATGAGATGGAATTAGAGAGCTGACTACCTCCAAATGGAAGTGGAATTTAAAATGCCTTCCACCACAAAAAGACACTTAACCATGGGAATAATGTTCAGCAGGAAATAAAATTTTTAAAATCCTCATACATGGAGACTTCTTTCAACTGGCTTAATACTTTCATTTCTACCATAGAATAACTGACTCCTTGGGAAAAATGAAATATCAGTTTCAAAATAGCCAAATTACCTCAGTATTTATTAGAATTTAATCAGTTATTAGTCGTATAGATATTATAATTTATTTGAATGAAAACATAAGACTATGAGTACACCTACTGTTTGATTATGTAAAATTTAATTATTTGGCTCTGACCCAATATACTAGACATCAGTAACATATAATGATATCATATATACATAAAAATACCTCCTTCAATATATAAATGTACATATAAATACATAAAAATATGCACAAATAATAAATATAAACTTCTTGGACGCTTTCTAAAGTATTGGCGGTATCTCCTTCTATATGTAAACCCTTTCCTCTGTGTATCTAGTGGGATAAAAGAGGTCAGAACAGGTCAGAAAGAAGCAGACCACTGCCTCCTCCCAGGTGACTGGCAGCCAAAACTTTTAGAAAAGCATCAGATTGCCTGCATAGGACACTGTACTACAGAGGGCTGCAGTGGTTTCTAGGGCTGCCATAACAAAACATCACATCTGAGCAGCTGAAACACCAGCAATTCCTTATCTCACAGTGCTTGGGGCTTGAAATGCGAAATGAAGGTGTTAGCAGGGTTGCCTTTTTATGAGGGCTGTAGGGCAGAGTCTGTTGTGTGCCCCTTGGCTAGCTTTTGCTAGTTGCTGGAGTTCTTTGGCATTCCTTGGTATGTAGTCATCACCCGGATCTCTGCTGCTTGTCCCGGGAATATATCTATATGTGTGCATCTGTTTCCAAATTTTCCCTGTTTATGAGGATACTGATCATATTGGAGTAGGGGGCCTCCCCACCCCTCTGTGAGCTCCATGTCAACTACACAAGTTTGCAATTTCTCTATTTCAGAATGAGGTCACATCATGAGTTAGAGGGATGGGAGCTTCAGTCATTGAATTGTGTTGGTGCCATATTCAACCTTTAACAAGGAACAAGTGTGAAAAAGTTCTGTCTTGCATCAGGTAGGAGGTACAGTGAAAATAGAGGAGGAAGGTCCTATATCAGAAAGACAAAGCTAAGAGACTTTGGAGAGCTTGTGTCCCAAAGTGCATCCCACTCGTATATTGGATGGAGCCCCTGACTGAGAAGGAGAGGCTATAACACTTTGAGACTAATGCAATACTGAAGAGCTCTACTTAAATTTGGAAGCATTACTATTTCACAGGCCTAAGGTATTTATTCCCAGCACATAGCGCCCCTTTTCTAACAAAAAATGACCATCTAGTTTCAATTAGAGATACACACATGAATATTTAAAAATCACCTAGTTCATGATTCGAGTCAGTAACTGTCGGTATTTATCTCAAAAAGTAAATTTACAATGATGTCTTCATTTTGACCTTCTTCTTTTAAAATCTCACAGAACACCAAACTTCGGGTGGAAAAGAGTTTCCCCAGACATGGACCGCCAACCATCGTGAGTTCAACTAGATAAGTAAATATATATATGTACACACATACAAACTTATTCACATTCCTAAATCAATAAGTATACATACAGACAAGCTCATATCAACACACATGCATAAACAACAGAAATAGAAAACAATTAAAGAAACACATTGACATTTATGATATTTACCCTCAAGAGCATCAGTGGCCACAGAGAGTATTTCTTTGACATTTTTTCTAAATCTTCTCACTTGTGGCCTTTGGAAGTGACTTTCTATATTTTCTTGATTGAGGTGGATAAAGAGGAGCTTTATCACAGGAGTGTTGCCTCTTCCTGCTAGTGTATCTGTCATCCTTAGTACCATCCAATTCCTTTGTAAACAATCAGTTTCCCAGTGTTTGAGACTCTCCATTCTGGTGCGCCCTTTCCTACTAGAATGAGCCAGGAGAGGAGAAAATCCCATTAATAGCAACCAGGAGGTTGCTATGGACAAGAAAGAGGGAGGCGCTCAACAAAAAGAAAGGAGCCTAATGGAACCTGGATGGGTTTCCATCCTCCAGAGCTGTGTCAACGTGTGAGGCTGGTGCGTAGACCAAACCTCACTGTCATGTTAGATGGAGCCCTTGTCTTCTTAGCCTGTAGCCACTTTATCATATCTCAGGGTCGGCAGACAAGCATCATGCAGGAATTGAAGAGGTGATAGAGGGACATAGGAAGGAAGACATTAGATGGAATTTGAGAGCTGACTACCTCCAAATGGAAGTGGAATCTAAAATTCCTTCTACTGGAAAAAGACCCTTACACATGGGGTTAAGGTTCTGCAGGAAATAAAATTTTTAAAATTCTGATACATTGAGACTTCTATCAACAGGCTTGATACTTTCATTTACATCATATAATTAATTCCTCACTTCTAGGGAAAAATGAAATACAAGTTTCAAAATAGCCAAATTACATGTGTATTTTCAGAGTTTAGTCAGTTTATTAAATGTATATATATATTATAACTTATTTCCATGAAAACGTAGGACTATGAGTGCACTTACTGTTTGATTATCTGAAGTTTAATTATTTAGCTCTGAACCAAATTAATAGATATTAGTAATGTATAAAGAGATCAGATATACATAAAAATATCTCCTTCAATATATAAATGTACATGTAAATATATAAAAATATTCACTAATATTAAGGAAAGAGACTCTTGGACACTGTTTCTAAAATATTGGTGGTATCTGCCTCTGTATGTAACACCTTTCCTCTGTGTCAGATAAAACAGGTCAGAACAGGTCAGAAGGAAGCAGACTACTGCCTCCTCTCCAGGTGACTAGCAGCCAAAACTTTTAGAAAACTATCAGATTGCCTGAGTATGAGTCTCTACTAGAGTGGGCTATAGTAGTTTCTATAGCTGCCCTAACAGAGTGTCACATCTGAGCAGCTGAAACACCAGCAATTCCTTATCTCACAGACCTTGGGAGTAGAAGTGCAAAATGAAGGTGTTGGCAGGGTTGGCTTTTTATCAGGGCTGTAGGGCAGAATCTGGTGTGTGCCTCTTTGCTAGCTTTTGCTTCTTGCTGGCCTTCTTTGGCATTCCTTGGCATGTACTCATCACCCGTATCTCTGCCTCTATCCTTCCTGGAAATTATTTATGTGTGTGTCTTCGTGCCCAAATTTTCCCAACTTTATTAGGATGTCAATCATATTGGAGTAGGGGGCCTCCCCACACCTCTGTGAGCTCCATCTCAGCTACACACGTTTGCAAGTACTCATCTCTGAATGAGGTCACACCATGAGTTAGGGGCATGGGAACTTCAGTAATTGAATTGTGTTGGTTCCATATTCAACCTTTAACAAGGAACAAGTGAGGAAACGTCCTATCTGGCATTGCAGAAGAGCTGTAGTAGAAATGGAGGAGTAGGGCCCTAATTAGGAAAGACAAAGCTAATAGATTTTGGATGTTTTCCTCCCCCTCAGAGTTCTGTCACCACGTTAAGGCTGCTGTCCCACAGTTCAGCCCACTTGTACATTGGATGGAGCCCCTGACTCCGGAGGAGAGACTGTAACACATTGAGACTAATGTAATACTAAAGAGCTTTATTTAAATTTGGAAGCATTACTATTTCACAGGCCTAAGATATTTATTCTTAGCACATAGAGCCTCATTTCTAATAAAAAATGACTTTCTAGATTCAATAGGAGATATACACATGAATATTTAAAAATCACCCGTTCATGATTTGAGTCACTGTCACTGTTTATCCCCAAAAGTAAATTTACAATGATGTCTTCATTCTACCTTCTTCTTTTAAAACCTTGTAGAACATCAACCACCGCGTGGAAAAGAGAATCCCCTGACATCGACCGCCCCCCACCGTGAGTTCAACTAGATAAGTAGAGATATATGTATGCATGTACATACATACACAATTAGGCACATACATAAATGAATAAGTATATGTACAGACATACTGTTGTCAACACACATACATAAACAAACATGCATAAACAACAGCAATAGAGGACAGCTAAAGAAACACATTGACATTTGTGAGATTGGCCCTCAGGAGCATCAAAGGCCACAGAGAGTATTTCTCTGACATTGTTTTTAAATATTCTCACTGTAGCCTTTGTAAATACTTTCTATCTTTTCTTGATTGAGGCAGATAAACAGGAGCTGGTCACAGGAGAGTTTCTTCTTCCTGTTTTGTGTTTGTCATACTTAGTATCATGGAATTCTTTAGTAAACAGTCAGGTTCCCAGTGTTTGAGACTCCTTTCTGGTGCAACCTTTCCTACTAGGATGGGCCAATAGAAGAGAAAATCACGTTTAGAGCAACTAGGAGATTGCGATGGTTAAGGAAGAGGGAAGCGCTCAGCAAGAAGAACGGAGCTAATGGAACCCGGATGGGTTTCCTGACCTCCAGTTCTCTGTCAATGTGTGAGGCTGGTGCCTAGACACAACCTCAATATCACAGTAGGTGGGGCCCTTTTCTTCTTAACCTGCAGCCACTTGATCATGTCTCAGGGGCCAGAAGATGAGCATGATGCAGGAAATAAAGAGGTGATGCAGGGACACAGGATGGGGAGGACGTGAGACTGAAACAGAAAGCAGACTGCCTACAAACTGAAGTTGAATTTAAAACTACTCCAACTGTGGTTCTCAGCAGCTCAGGCGTGGGGAGCAATGGTAGCCACCAGGCAGTCCAACTTTGGGAAAGCTCCCCCGGTGTGGCAGACTGTGGTCACCAGCACACTCCCTCCCCTCCACCAAATTGCCCAAGAGGGAAGTCAGCTCTGCCAAAGGCCCGGTGAAGGAAGAGCCCAAGAGGAGATCTGGGCTGTTTTCAGCTAAACTTGCTCCTTCAAATGTGGAAATGAAGCCCAAAAAGTCAGCAGCAAAAGATAAATCTTCAGACAAAATGTGGTACCAAAAGGGAAAAGGGGAACAAAGGGAAAACAGTCCAAAGTGGCTAACTAAGAAACTAAAGAAAATCTACCTGCAAAAAATGGAGAGTCCAGCTTCTGATGAGGCAGAAAAGAAAGAAGCCAAGTCTGATTACTATCATACACCCTGTCTTATCAGTGGTCCCTGTCTCCCTTCTTGTACAATCCAGAGGAATATTTTTATCAACTGTTTTTAAATGCAAGTTTTTTAGTAGCTCTAGAAACATTTTTAAGAAGGAGGGAATCCCACCTCATCCCATTTTTTAAGTGGAAATGCTTTTTTTTAAGTGATGAAACCATTCGCTGCTTGTTTGTTTTGGGTACAACCAGAAAATAATATGGGATATTGAATTATGGGAGGCTTTGACCATCTTGGGTGTCAGCTTAACATTCCATAGATGGGGGTTAGTTTTTAGACCCTATAATATAAAGCACACTAAATGGCAATATGGAGTTCTAGGCCTGCATTTAATGTCTTGAACATTTTTAATTATTTCTTTCTGTGTTGTTTTTTAGTAGATCTGTTTCATAAAGAAAGCCACTCCCTAATCATGGTTTTCTGTCAGAATAGCAGAAACCATGTAACATCTTTGGTCCCAGTAATCCTGTTTTCCTAATAACTTTGTTAATGTGCTGTGAAAGATTAAAAATTTGAGTATGTAGTATATATGATAATAAATTATGAATTAGTGGGAGTTATGTAACAGGTTATCAACATTCAAAGATACTGGTATTTGATATCCTCTTAAGGAAAATTTGCCTCTAAATTTACAGTTGGAAAGTCACTGGAAAAACTGTTTTAAAAAGAATTAAAATACATGGCTTTGTAGATTTTCAGTACACATGTTAAGAATTGTGTGCAAATTGAAATGTCTGTACTGATCCTCAAAACAACCAATAAAATCTAAATTACAAAAGAAAACATAAATAAATAAAAAAATAAAACTACTGGCACCACAAAAGAATGTTACACATTGGGATGAGATTTCAGCAGTGAAAATAACTTTCAAAATCTTGATTCATTCAGGCTTCTTTGAACAGGCTTAATAATTCATTACTACCATATAATGCATCACTTCTAGGGAAAAATGAAATACTAGTTTCTAAATAGCCAAATTACATGTGAATTTCTTAGACTTTAATCAATTTATTGGTTGTATGGATATTGTAGCTAATGGGAATGAAAAAGTAAGTCTATGTATACACATAGTGTTTGTGTGAAATTTAAGTCTTTAGCTCTGACCCAAGTGAACTGACATCACTGATGTATGATGGAATCATATATATCCACATATATATAAATATCTCCTTCACATATACATGTGCATATAAATATATAAAAATATGCACAAATATTAAAGGTAGACTTTCTTGGACACTGTTTCTAAGGTATTGGCAGTGTCAGCTTCTATATGTAACCCCCTTTCCTCTGTGTATCTAGTCGGATAAAAAAGGTCAGAACAGGAGAGAAGGAAGCAGACCACCGTCCTCTACCCAAGTGACTGGCAGCCAAAACTATTAGAAAGCTATCAGATTGCCTGCATAGGAGACTGTACTAGAGAGGGCTGCAGTGGGTTCTAGAGCTGGCATAACACAGTGTCAAGGACCGAGTGGCTGAAATACCAGCAATTTCTCATCTCATAGTCCTTGGGACTAGAAGTGTGAAATGAAGGTGTCGGCAGGGTTGGCTTTTTACGAGGGCTGTAGGGCAGAGTCTGGTGTGTGCCTGTTTGCGAGCTGTTGCTGGTTGCTGGCCTTCTTTGGTATTCCTTGGCATGTACTCATCACCCGAATCTCTGCCGCTATCATCCCTGGAAATTATCCATATGTGTGCATCTGTGCCCAAATTTTCCCTGTTTATGAGGATACCAATCATTGGAGTAGGGGGCCTCCCCACACCTCTGTGAGCTCCATCTCAACTACAGAAGTTTGCAATTACTCTATTTCAGAATGTTATCACACCATGAGTTAGTTAGAGGGATGGGAACTTCAGTAATTGAATTGTGTTGGTGCCATATTCATCCTTTAACAAGGAACAAGTGAGGAGAAGCCCTATATGGCATCAAGGAAGAGGTATAGTGGATATAGAGGAGTAGGGCCCTAAGTAGTAAAGACAAAGCTAAGATTCTCTGGGTGTTTTCCTCACCCTCTAGAATTCTGTCACCACATTAAGGCTGCTGTCCCAGAGGCCAGCCCACTCGTACATTGGATGGAGCCCCTGACTCCGGAGGAGAGACTGTAAAACATTGAGACTAATGTAATGCTAAAGAGCTTTATTTAAATTTGGAAGCATCACTATTTCACAGGCCTAAGGTATTTATTCCCAGCGCATAGAGCCTCATTTCTCATGAAAAAATGACCTTCTAGTTTCAATTAGAGCTACACACATGAATATTTAAAAATCACCCAGTTCATGCCTCAAGTCACCAACTGTAACTGTTTATCCCCCAAAGTAAGTTTACAATGATGTCTACATTCTGAACTTATTCTTTTAAAATCTCTTAGACCAAAAATAAACACTTGGACAGAGGAATCCTCGGACCTCCACCACCACCCACTGTGAGTTCAACTAGATAAGTAGAGATGTATGTATGTATGTATGTATGTATGTATGTATATTCACACTTGTGCACATACGTAGATGAATAAATATACGTACAGATATAACTCGTGTCAACACATATCCATAAAGAAACATAAATAAACAACAGAAATAGAAGACAAAGAAACACATTGACATTTGTGAGATTTACCTTCAGAAGCATCAATAGCCAGAGAGAGTGTTTTTTTGACATTGTTTCTAAATGTTCTAACTGTAGTATTTGGAAGTAACTTTCTATCATTTCTTGATTGAGGCAGATAAACAGGAGCTGGTCACAGGAGAGTTGCTTCTTCCTATTAGTGTATTTGTCATCCTTAGTTAGTAGCACCCAATTCCTTAGTAATTAATCAGATTCCCTGTGTATGAGACTCTATATTCTAATGCGCCCTCTCCCACAAGAATTGGTCAAGAGAGAAGATACTGCTAGTAGACTTTGGATGTGTTCCTCACCCTCAGTAACTCTGTTACCATGTAAGGCTTGTGTCCCAAACTCCAATTCACTCTTATATTGGATCGATCCCTTGTCTCAAGGGGAGAGTCCATAACACATTAAGACTAAGGTAATGATAAGTGGTTTTACTTAAATCTGGTAGTGTTACCATTTTCAGAGGTATAAGATGTTTATTAGCAGCACATAAGGCCTCGTTTATAATAAAAAAAATTACTTTCTACATTCAGTTAGCGTTACATGTATGAAAATTGAAAAGTCACCCAGTTTATGCCTAGAGGAACTGTAACTATCTCAAAAAAGTAAATTTAGAATTATGTCTTATATCTGATTGTATTCTTTTATAATCTCTTAGTGCACAGGAGGATGAATTAACAGAAGTAGTATCTGAGATAACCCTCCGTCACTGGTGAGTTATAAATAGATAAATAATATGTTTATGTATGAATATATAGATACTTTGTACATATATAAATAAACACATATCCAGGGATACTTCTATCAACATACATCTATACACAAACATGCCTACACAACAGATATATAAAACAAAGAGACAGATTGACATTTTGAAATTCACTGTGAGGAGTATCCGTGGCCATACAGAGTGGTTTTTGACATTGTTTCTAAATCTTCTTTCTTTAGCATTTGGAGATATCTTTCCATGTTTTTTAGATTGTGGTGGGTAAATTGGGGCTGGTCACAGGAGAGTTGCTTCTTCCTGTTAGTGTATTTATCACCCTTAGTTATTAGTGGCCAATTGGTTAGGAAACAATCAGATTTCCTGTGTATGGGACTCTACATTCTGGTGCAGCTTTTCCTACTAGAATTGGCCAAGAGAGGAGAAAATCCTGTTTGGAGAAAGGAGGAGGTTGCAGTGGACAGGGAAGAGGGAAGCACTCAACAAAAAGAATGGCGCTAATGGAACCTGGATGGGTTTCCTATCCTCCAGAGCTCTATCAACATGTCAGGCTGGTGCCTAGACCAAACTTCACTATCACATTAGATGGAGCCCTTGTCTTCTTAGCCTGCAGCCACTTGATTGTATCACAGGGGCCAGAAGACGAGCATAATGCAGGAAATAAAGAGGTGATAGAGGGACATAGGAAAGGCAGGACATGAGACTGAAACACAAAGCAGAGTACCTACAAAATGAAGTTGAATTTAAAATTAATTCCCCCAGAAAAGACTTTTACACATTGGCTTATGTTCACTAATAAAGAAAAATAGTTTAATCTTGATTTGGTATTTTTTGACAGTTCTAAAATTTGTATTATAATCATATAAGTTATCATAGTTAGAGAAAATGTTGTATTAGAATCCAAATAAGTAAATACACACATGATTTCTTTAATGGTCAACAAGGTTATAAGTTGAAAAGTAATTGTAACTAATTTGAACTAAAAAGTAAGTCTAGGAAGTGACATGGTATTTTACTATTTACCTTTTTAATTCTTTGGCACTGACCTGTATGAATTGAAAGAGAATGTTCTGGCAGACTCAGTAATGCACTATGTGATATAAATGCATAATACATATATATGCATACACACACATAGATGCCTTTGTATATAGAGCATACAGAGAGATTGAGATTTGGGTTATTCTTGTCAGGAACATCCATGGGAATAAAACGTTTCCTTGAAACTATTTCTAAAGTCCTCTCCTAGTAACTTTCTTTATGAAATATTTTTTTTCTTTTGCATCAAGATAGAAAGATTGGAGTATAGCTCATAGAGAAGACTTCTTTCTTGTGGTGTTTGTCACCTTTAGTTACTGTGGAAATGAGACTGTGCTAGTGTGGGCCAAGAGGAGAGAATCCTATTTGGAGCAAGGAGGAGGTAGCAGTGGACAGGTGGCAAAGGAATCCTCAGCAGAAGAGAATGGAGCTAATAGCCCTGAAAGTGTTCCTCGCCTTTCAGGGCTCTGCTACCCTCTGAGGCTGGTGCCCCAACCCAAACCCACCATTGCATTGGATGGAGCCCCTGTCTCAGGCCTGCAGCTATCTCTTGGGCAAGAAAGACATCTATGATAGGTGAAAATTAAGGAGGTGATGATGGTAATTAAGAATTGAGAGTTCCAATGGGATACAAGTGATGGGGACATAGAAATTAAAGTTGAACTTGAAAGAAATGCCATGGCAAAAGACTGTTACATATAGGATTAAGATATAGTTACTTAATCTGAATACATTACTATTTTCACAGCCTAAGATATTCATTACCAGCTTATAAAACCTTATTTCTAATTTTTTTTTAAAAAATGGCATATCAGGTCAAGTTAGTGATATATAGGCAGTCCCCAGGTTACGAACAACCCAACTTACAGAGTTCCGTGCTTACAAACAGGCTCCCAAAAAGGATAATTTATAATTAAATAATTAAATTAGTGATTGGGGAACTAGTTTCTTCCATGCATGTAAACAAACCTGCATGGCTAAGCGTTTCATTGGCCCGGCATCTCTACACCAGCTGCTGGTCTCATACACAGAGAAGCAGCTGAATGGAACACAAGAGCACAAAGAATCAGGAGATCCAGAGCCAAGAAAGTTTATGAAAAAAGAATTAGCTGAAGCCTTTCATCTCATTGAAACAGGATTTGCTAAGCTCGAGGAGCAACATCCTAACATTGAGCAGTTTACAAAGGTTTACTGTGCAGTTATTGAGAACAGCAGCTATAAGACCATTTATGATGACAAAAAAAAAGGCTGTGCAGACAACCCTAGATACCTTTTTCAAGAAACTGACTTCAGTGGTCAGCTCCCCTCCTCCAGTGACAGAATCAAATCCTGATTCTTAAGCACCCACTCCATCTTCTCTAGCACCATCACCATCACCAACTTCTGATTAATGTTAGCTACCTTCTTGCCTCAAAAATGCATCTTCCTGCCTGCAAGACACTGATACAACATTAAGTGAGTGTTAACCTTTAATATTATTTTTTTAAATTTCTCCTATCTCATCTAAACTTTTTATATGAGTTTGTTTTTATATTCTGTTTGTTTGAATTAGAAGAATGAGCACAATAGTTTCTGTAACTTACTATTACAGTACAGGGGTATTATTAGTATTATAGTATTATACCGTATTACTGTTACCACCTATGAGCTATTATTATTATTATCGTATATTCGCTGTTCTTCAGGAAGCTGAGTTACATACAAATTTAACCTAAAGAGCTTCTCAGGAATGCATCTCCTCCATAACCCAGGGACTGCCTGTACATACACATGAATATTTAAAGGTTAGCCAGGTCATCACTTGTACAGTATTTGTAGCTATTTGATGCAAAAAGTTAATTTAGAATTATACATCACGTCTAACTATGACCATTTTTCCCTATAGCGCAGGTCAAATTGCATTGGCCAAAGGAACTAGTCATAAAGCCACCAGAGAAACGTGAGTTGTAAAATATTAAGTTAAGATATACACACGCATATACACACAGATATATACTTCTATCAACATGTATGCACACACGCACAAAACACATAAAACAATGACAAGAGATTGAGATTTACTCTCAGAACCATCTGTGGCAATAAAGCGTGTTATTTTTTCTTTTTGCTCTCATTTTCAGACAGAAATACAGTGCATCTTCAGCATTGTTTCTAAATCTTCTCACTGTAATATCTGTAGTTGACTTTTCACCTTTTTAAGATTGTATTGGATAAAAGAGAAACAGATCATAGACCGATGCTGCTTCTTACTAGTGTACTGCCACGCTTAGTTACTATCAGGCAAATGCTTAGGAACTCATATTTTCTTTCTATGAGACTCTGCTATCCAAGGGAGGACAGAATTCTATTTGGAGCAAGAAGGAGGGAGCAGTGGACAGGGAGCAGAGAAGTTCTCAGCAGAAAAAAAAAAAGAATGGTGCTAATAGCCCTGGAAGTGTTCCTTACCCTCCAGAGCTCTCCCACCATGTGAGACTGGTGCTCCCAACCCAAACTCACTATCACATTGGATGGAGCCTCAAGCCTGCAGTTTCTTGACCCTGAATGAGAGCATAGAAGACATCTATGATGATAAAAATAAGGCATCAATGGAGGGACTTGAGAATCAGGAAATTAGATGGGGCACAAAGAAAGAGGATTTGTACCTAGAAACTGTGCCCAGCCTTTTTAAATTGAAATTTTAAAAGGCCAACCAGGTTGTAAGTAAAAGAGTAATTGTAGGTGACTTGAACCAAAAATCAAATCTAGGAAATCAGGAGTGTCTGTGTAGCTTTTACTCCATTAGCACTGCCTTCAGCCAAGTGATACCAGGAACTCATGAAGGAACTACCCATGTGATGTGAGATCTAAATAAACAGTATAGTTATTAATAGATATAAGTAGATATATCCATGCAAATACACACACACATACACAAGCATACACATACACACAAAAAAGAGGTTGAGATTTGGGGAGTTCATCGTCAGGAGCATCCATGACAAATACAGAGTGTCTTAGACACTGTTTTCTAAAGTCTTCTTTTGTGCTGTAGTATCTGGAGGTACCTTTCTATCTTTTTTGGATCTAGTTGGATAAAAAAGTAACAGGTCATAAGAAGCATGCTTCTTAGTTATAATTTGTCACCCTTAGTTATCAGCAGTCAATAAATAACCTTAGGAAATTATGAGAATGTGTGTATGACACCCTAATAGCCAAGAGAGGAGACAGTCCTATCTGTAGCAAGGATGAGGTAGCAGTAGACAGGGAGCAGAAAGAATGGAGCTAGTAGACTCTAGAACTGTCTCTTTGCCACCATGTGAGGCTGCTGCCCCAAAGGCAAACCCACCATCACATTAGATGGAGCCCCTGTCTCAGGTCTGCAGCTACTTGATCCTATCTCAGGGACAGGGAAGACACCCCTCACTAGTGAAGGACTGCTGATAGTAGGTGGTGTTGGGACTTGAGAAGACAGAAAATTACAAGGGCAAGCAAGAAGAGTACCTACAAACTGAAGTTGAATTAGATGTAAATTTTATCACAAATGGTGTTACACTTAGGAATTAGGGTCAGGAATAAAGCAACGTATATAAAGCTGAATAAGTTTTTTCCACAGGCCTAAGATTTCATTACAAACATATAAACCTTCATGTCTAGGGGAAAATTAAATACCAGGTTTCAAACAACTAATGTTAATTTTTTAGGATAACTAGATTGTAGAGTAGTTACAGCTACTTTGTATTTGAAAAATAAGTCTAAAAAGACATGGGTAAATTCCAGGTCTAGTTTTTGTCATAAGAAAAATTAAAGTAAAAAAATATTAAAATAAAATAACAATAAAAGAAATAAAATTAAAAAATTTTTTTTAAATTAAAAAAAAAAGACATAGGAAGTCTTACTATGTTCATTTTTAATCCTTTAGCTATAACCCAGTTGAATTAAAAAGAATAATCTGTGGTATAATCATCAATGAAGGGTCAGTCATAAATATATTAACATATAGAGAGAGGGGAAGGAAGATACTGAAATTTGTAAAATTTATTCACAAATGAAGTCATAATTAATTTCAATAATAAAGAAGTAAAATTCCAAAATTTCTATTCACTAGCCTTTTTTGTAAGGCCCAAGTGCATCTTTACATAATATAAGGCTTAATTTTAGGTAAAAATGATATACCAAGTTCTAAATAATTAATTGACATATGTTTTTAGAGTTCAGCCAGTTTATAAATTATAGAGCAGTTGCACCTAATTTCGACCAAAAAAGTAAGTCTTCAAAGTCAGTTGGCTATGACACGTGTATTTTTTTTTTTTTTTTTTTTTGAGTCTTGCTCTATTGCCCCATCTAGAGTACAGTGGCATCACCATAGCTCACAGCAACCTCAAACTCTTGGGCTCAAGCAATCCTTCTGCCTCAGCCTCCTGAGTAGCAAGGACTACAGGTGTGGGCCATCATGCTCAGCTAATTTTTTTTTTTTAGTAGAGACTGGATCTCACTATGTCGCTCAGGCTGGTCTGGAACTCCTGGCCTCAAGCAATCCTTCCGCCTTGGCCTCCTAAAGTGCTAGGATTACAGATATGAGCCACAATGCTTGGCCTGACATGTACTTTTTGTTTGTTTGTTTAGGTTTCTTTCTCAAAGGAGGTGATGATATATACATTTTTAATCCTTAGAACTGACCTGAATAAAATGACATCAGTGGTCTTTGACAACTTTGATAAATCTGACCTTTTAGTGACATCAGCAAATGACATCAGCAAAGACTACTGATGTCATTTATTTGGGTCAGTGCTAAAGCATATCTATATATGATATACAAAAGGATATATAAGCCGGATATGGTGGCTCATGCCTATAATCCTAGCACTCTGGGAGGCCGAGGCGGGCGGATTGCTCGAGGTCAGGAGTTCGAAACCAGCCTGAGCAAGAGTGAGACCTCGTCTCTACTATAAATAGAAAGAAATTAATTGGCCAACTAACATATATAGAGAAAAATTTAACTGGGCATGGTGGCACATGCCTGTAGTCCTAGCTACTTGGGAGGCTGAGGCCGTAGGACTGCTTGAGCCCAGGAGTTTGAGGTTGCTGTGAGCTAGGCTGATGCCACAACACTCACTCTAGCCTGGGCAACAAAGTGAGACTCTGTCTCAAAAAAAAACAAACCAAAAAACAAAAGGATATATGGGGGGAGGGAATATTAGCGAATATATATATACAGGCATATCTCTGTTTTTTGCTCTTCACTTTATTTCACTTTGCAGATATTGCATTATTTTTTTTTACAAATTCAAGCTTTTTGGCAAATTCAGAACAGCATGTGCTCAGTTGGTGTCTCTGTGTTACATTTTGGTAATTCTCACAATGTTTCAAACTTTATTATTATTATATCTGTTATGGTGATCTGTGATCAGTGATCTTTGGTGTTACTGTTAATATTATAACTGTTTTGGAACACCATGAACCATGCCCGTAGAAGATAGTGAACGTAATCGATTAATGTTTTGTGTGTTCTGACTCTTACACTGACTGGCTATTCCCCTGTCTCTCTACTCTCCTTGGGCTTCCCTATTCTCTGAGGCATGATATTGAAATTATGCCATTTAATAAGCCTACCATGGCCTCTAAGTGTTCAAGTGAAAAGAAGAGTCACATGTCTTTGACTTTAAACCAAAAGCTAGAAGTGACTGCGAGGAAGCCATGTCAAAAGCCAAGATAAGCCAAAAGCTAAGCCTCTTGCACCAGTCAGCCAATTTGTGAATGCAGAAGAAAATTTCTTCAAGGAAATTAAAAGTGCTACTCCAGTGAACACATGAATGATAAGAAAGCAAAACAGCCTTAATGCTGATAGGAAGAAAGTTTTAGTGGTCTGGATAGAAGATCAAATGACCCACAGGTTTTCCTTAAACCAAAGCTTAACCCAAGATAAAGCCATAACTCTGTTTCGATTAAGGATGAACAAAGTGAGGAAACTTCAGAAGAGAAGCTTGAAGCTAGCAGAGGTTGGTTCATGAGGTTTAAGGGGAGAAGCTATCTCTATGACATAAAAGTACAAAGTGAAATAGCAAGTGCTGATGTAGAAGTGGCAGTAAGTTATCCAGAAAAGCTAGCTAAGATAATTGATGAAAGTGGCTACACTAAACAACAGGTTTTCAATGTAAATGAAACTGCCTTCTATTGGAAGAACAGGCCATCTATTATAGGACTTTCATAGCTAGAAAGAAGTCAATGTCTGGCTTCAATGCTTCAGAGGAGAGGCTAACTCTTTTACTTAGGGCCTAATGCAGCTGGTGACTTTAAGTTGAAGCCAATGCTTATTGACCATTCTGAAAATCCTAGTGTCCTTAAGAATTATGCTACATATATTCTGCCTGTGCTAAATGGAAAAACAAAGCCTATATTATAGCAAATTTGTTTATAGCATGGATTACTGAGCATATTAAACCTGTTGAAACTTACTGCTCAGGGAAAAAAAAGATTCCTTTCAAAATTTTACTGCTCATTGACAATGCACCTGGTCACCCAAAAGCTCTGATGGGGATGTACAAGGAGATTAATATTGTTTTCATGCCTGCTAACACAACATCCATTCCATAGCCTGTGAATCAAGAAGTAATTTTTGACTTTCAAGTTTTGTTATTATATTTAAGAAACACATTTTGTAAGGCTATAGCTGCCATAGGTAGTGATTCCTCTGGTGGATCTTGGCAAAAGTAAAATGGAAACTTACTTTGAAACTTTTCAAATTTATTCAGTTTGAAAATTGAAAATCCTTTCTACAATTCACCATTGTAGATGCCATTAAGAACATTTGTGATTCATGGGAGGAGATCAAAATATCAACATTGCCGGGCGTGGTGGCTCACGCCTGTAATCCTAGCTCTCTGGGAGGCCGAGGCGGGCGGATTGCTCGAGGTCAGGAGTTCGAAACCAGCCTGAGCAAGAGCGAGACCCCGTCTCTACTATAAATAGAAAGAAATTAATTGGCCAACTAATATATATAGAAAAAAAAAAAATTAGCCGGGCATGGTGGCGCATGCCTGTAGTCCCAGCTACTCGGGAGGCTGAGGCAGTAGGATTGCTTGAGCCCAGGAGTTTGAGGTTGCTGTGAGCTAGGCTGACGCCACGGCACTCACTCTAGCCTGGGCAACAAAGTGAGACTCTGTCTCAAAAAAAAAAAAAAAAAAAAAAAAAAAAAAAAATATCAACATTAACAGGAGTTTGGAAGAAGTTGATTGCAACCCTCATGGATGACTCTAAAGGATTGAAAACTTTAGTGGAGGAAGTCACTGCAGATGTGGTGGAAATAACAAGGAAACTTAATTAGAAGTGGAGCTTGAAGATGTGACTGAATTGCTGCAATTTCATGATAAAAGTTGGCCACATGAGGAGTTACCTCTTATGGATGAGCAAAGAAGGTTGTTGAGACAGAATCTACTCTTGGGGAAGATACTATGAACATTTTTTTTTTTTCTTTTTTACAGAGCCTATATTCCAGTAAACTATGAACATTTTTGAAATGACAACAAAGGATTTAGAATAGTCCATAAACTGTGTTGATATAGCATCAATAGGGTTTGAGAGGTTCATGTCCAATTTTGGAAGAAGTTCTAGTGTGGGTAAAATGCTATCAAAACAGCATCACGTGCTACAAAGAAGTCTTTTGTGAAAGGATGAGTTGATCGGTGCAGCATACTTCATTGTTGTCTTATTTTAAGAGATCATAATATCTACCCCAACCTTCAGCAACCATGACCCTGATCAGCAGCTACACCAGCAAAAATATTATGACTCACTGAAGGGTCAGATGATCATTAGCATTTTTGAGTAATAAAGTATTTATATTAAGTTATATACATTATTTTCTTAGCAGTAATCCTGCTGTACTCTTAATAAAGCACTGTATTATATGAATATAACTTTTATATGCACAGGGAAACAAATTTGTGTGACTCTCTTAATGTGATATTTGCTTTATTGCAGTGGCCTAGAACTGAACCTGCAATATTTTTGAGATATGCCTATATATATATATCCTTTATATATTCTATATATATCCTTTTTTTATTATTTTTTTATTTTTTATTTTTTTATTTATTTTTTTTTTTATTTTTTTTATTTTTTTTTTTTGAGACAGAGTCTCGCTTTGTTGCCCAGGCTAGAGTGAGTGCCGTGGCGTCAGCCTAGCTCACAGCAACCTCAAACTCCTGGGCTCAAGCAATCCTACTGCCTCAGCCTCCCGAGTAGCTGGGACTACAGGCATGCGCCACCATGCCCGGCTAATTTTTTCCTATATATATTAGTTGGCCAACTAATTTCTTTCTATTTATAGTAGAGATGGGGTCTCGCTCTTGCTCAGGCTGGTTTCGAACTCCTGACCTCGAGCAATCCGCCCACCTCAGCCTCCCAGAGTGCTAGGATTACAGGCGTGAGCCACCATGCTCGGCCTATCCTTTTAAATTACACACACTAGTTGGTCAATTAATTTCTTTCTACTTATAGTAGAGACGGGGTCTCGCTCAGGCTGGTTTCGAACTCCTGACCTCGAGCAATCCGCCCACCTCAGCCTCCCAGAGTGCTAGGATTACAGGCGTGAGCCACCATGCTCGGCCTATCCTTTTAAATTACACACACACACACACACACACACAGAGACAGACATACAGACAGAGACGGAGACTGAGAGGAAGAGAGAAATATGCAAATTCAGTGTTGAAAGTATCCATGAGAAAAGAGTTTTCTGGCCAATGATTCTAAAATTCTTTCTAAAAGTTAGAACTTCCAGGGAGCTAAGTTATGTTTCCTATATGCTTTAGATGCCCAGAATTCTTATTGTTCAAATAAATTGGTCACATCACTGTTTCATGTAGCAAACATCTAATGATATATTTTTGTATTTTTTGGTGATTAAAGTATATCAGAACAACTCTCCAGAGTTGAGAGTGATGAAGAAGACGATGCTGATTTGAACACCTCAGATAGGTAAGTCAATCTGAAGTTTGGAAGTAGGGTGCCTTTGATGGATCTCTTTGGGAAAGCAGGGTTTGTGCTAAGGCAATAAGGAAAAAGGAAAACCATGGAAAGATATGAAAATGTAGAGGAGGGAGAGCACACAGTATTTACTCCAATGAAATTGGCAGACAAATACTACGTTAAAAAAATTCCATCTATTCAGAAGTAAATGTTCTTCTAGCTTAAAATGTGAAAAATATCCATTGAATAGAGTAATTTTATTAAAAGTTTCTTTCTTAGCAGAGGAATGCAGAACCCTACTTACCCTTAAATCGTGGTCCTTTCTCATTTTTCCTGGATACCATCCAGTTCCTGGTTTGTAGATCTTGCTATGAGCACATGGGACCAATAGGAAAGGTGAACATGTTTTGCTAACTAAAGGCCTCTTCGTGCTCACTGGGATTTTATTAGTTTTGATTTGTTTCTCAGTAATCTCACTTGGAGTACTTCCTGTTGCATTGGTCTGAAGGCATTTTACTATGTACTCCCAGTAATGAAACAATACATTATAAAATTGGTTGTGGCTGAACTGCAGAAACATTCAGATTTTTATTCTGCCTCTCTCCTGCCCAGTTATATAACCGTTCACCAGCTTTGTCAACATTGGAGACAGAGTACTATCAAAGAGGAAATTAATTGGTCACTGTTGCAATTTGTTAGTGTGTAAACAAGGATTACGGCCGGGCCTGGTGGCTCACACCTATAATCCTAGCACTGTGGGAAGCTGAGGCAGGTGGATCCTTTGAGCTCAGGAGTTCTAGACCAGCCTGAGCAAGAGCAAGACCCCGTCTCTACTAAAAAAACAGAAATTAGCTGGACAAATAAAAAATATATATTAAAAAATATTAGCCAGGTATGGTGGCGCATGCCTGTAGTCCCAGCTACTCAGGAGGCTGAGGCAGGAGGATCACTTGATCCCAGGAGTTTGAGGTTGCTGTGAGCTAGGCTGAAGCCACAGCACTCTAGCCCAGGCAATAGAGTGAGACTCTGTCTCAAAAAAAACAAGGATTACGTGGGAAACAAAGGGGGCAACTAATGAATACAAACAGTTCTTCAAATTATACTGAATTTTCATTTTCTAGAACTTCTTTCATCATGGACTGTCAATGAATAGTTTATTCTGCTACTTAATTAAATTGTATGTCTGAATTGTAGCCGTGCATTTCTGTAATGGAGCTGCCCAGGGATAGGACAAAATTTAGACAGATTGAGAAAAGGAAGCATTTCTTTCCTCTTTCCCCACTCCAGACAAAATAAAGTGGAGTTTTTTGGTTTTGTTTTGTTTTTCTCCTTTTTTGATTTTTCCCAGCATATTATGGGGGTACAAATGTTAAGGTTACATATATTTCCCTTGCTCCCCTCCCCCCTCGAATCAGAGCTTCAAGCGTGTCCATCCCAAGTTGGTGCGCATCGCATTCATTTATGTATATACCCATCCCCTGCCCCCACCTGCCCGACACCTGATAGATGTTATTCCTATATGTCCACTTATGTGTTGATCAGTTAATACCAATTTGCTGGTAAGTATATGTGGTGCTTATTTTTCCGTTTTGGGATACTTAATAGAATGGGTTCCAGCTCTATCCAGGTAAATACAAGAGGTGCTGTATCACCGTTGTTTCGTATAGCTGAATGGTACTCCATGGTATACATATACCACATTTTATTAATCCACTCATGTATTGATGAGCACTTCGGTTGTTTCCACATCTTTGCAATTGTGTATGGTGCTGCTATAAACATTCTAGTGCAGGTGTCTTTTTCATAGAGTGACTTTTGTTCTTTTGGGTAGATGCCCAGTAATGGGATTGCTGGATCAAATGGTAGATCTACTTATATCACTTTAAGGTATCTCCATATTGCTTTCCACAGAGGTTGAACTAGTTTGCAGTCCCACCAGCAATGTAGGAGTGTTCCTTTTTCCCCCATCTATGCCAACATTTATTGTTTTGGGACTTGTTAATAAAGACCATTCTCTCTGGAGATAAGTGATATCTCATTGTGGTTTTGATTTGCATTTCCCTGATGATTAGGGATGTTGAGCATTTTTTTATGTTTGTTGGTCATTCTGTCTTCTTTTGAAAAGTTTCTGTTCGTGTCTTTTGCCCACGAACCCTATCTTTTTTGATAGGGTTGTTTGATTTTTCCTTGCTGATTTTCCTGAGTTCTAAATAGATTCTAGTTATCAGCCCTTTATCAGATGTGTAGCTTGTGAAAATTTTCTCCCATTCTGTGGGTTGTCTGTTTGCTCTCTTAAGAGTTTCTTTGGCTGTGCAGAAGCTTTTTAGTTTGATCAGGTCCCATTTATTTATTTTTGTTGATGCTGTCATTTTTCTTTTGTTTTTAAATGACAAAAGCTCATTGCATAGATATAGGAAGTATTTGCAGCAGTCTCTGTGAGAAATGCCGGTGTTTCAGACCAGGGCGATGATCTTAGATTTGAAGTGAAAGCTGGAACTGATGTTTGGCTCTGGCATCTAATGTTCACTTGACACTCAGCAAATCAATTTTAAACCTCTTTAAACTTTATGGTTTTTTATTTTTTTATTATTTCTGCATATTAAGGGAGTACAAATGTTTAGGTTTCATATGTTGCCCTTGCCCCCCACCCAAGTCAGAGCTTCAAGCGTATCCATCCCCCAGATGGTGTGCATTGCACTCATTATGTATGTATATACCCATATACCTGCTCCCTCCTCCCATCTTACACTTTATTCAAATGTAAACTGGTAATAATGCTCTATATGGCATCTATTTACTGGGTGTTGATTATAAAAATTAATAATAAAAGTAAAATAACATTATAAGTAAGGTACTTTGAAAATCATCCAAAGTTTAGTGTTCTATTCACATCTATTCTAGATAGGAAAGTAAAAAAAACTCATGAAACAGAAAGGTGAAAATTTTAGTTATTGGTAAAAAGCATTTTTAAATATACTTCTGAAGAATTTTCCTTTAAAATCATATTTACAAAGGCTTTTGTGTTTGGGTTAAATTCATAATGTTTGTTATAGGAAATCTGTGATTAATTTTATTTTTACTTCTTTTTGTGGCAGGAAGATTAAAACTGTGCGTTCAATTCTATCATCCTCTGTATTTAGGTATGTGAGACTCTAGAAAAAGATGTATATTAAATACATATGACATTTAATACCAGTATTTTTAATGAGAAAGGATCTGAAAAAATAAAGCAAAAAGCATTTCGGCTGTCAATATATTGCCAATGGCCCATCTGCCCCATTTAATGTAATCTAATTTATCTTGGAATTTTGGTTTAAGCAAAACATTAAGACTTGCAAAGAAATGGCATTTGCCTAAGACTAATAGTCACATATTAATATGTTTTTTCTACCTGTAAAAGTAAAAGTACTGAAGCATGCATGTTAAAATTCTATAAGTAAAGTATTTTATTAAATACCCTATACATATGGAATTACTCCTTAATTCTGGAAACATTTAACTTAGGCTTCTTCTCCACATGAGAGGAAGATTTCATGCTATCTATAGATGTACATAGTATAATTGCTTCCTTTTGAATTAATAATATTTTAATTTCAATTACAATGATAAAAAAGTACTTTGAGGACTAATTCCTCTTTATAGATTAGTATAGTATAATCAGAATGTGTTTAGACTATGTAAGAGAAAAGCTCAGGAGGTACTTTTGAGTTCAGTAATGTAAATATGGCATTGAATTCCTCGTCATTGTCCATCACTGTGCTAGAAGCATCCATGAATGAGTGGTCATGTACTTGTTTAAAATCTCACTGATAAAAAATCTTACTGGTAAAAGTGGGTTTTTAAGGGCTTATGATAGTCATGCTTTCATTTGTTTCTTATTACTAAATTCTTAAGAATTATCTAGATTAATGATGTTTTATTTATTATGAGAAATTGGTATAAACTTCTGAAATTCTCAAATTTTAAGAGTTTACAAACAGACACATGTAATTTTAATTCAAATTTCCTGTTCTGTCTTAGAGTGTTAGTCTGATGTGTCCACTACAAAAGAGCATGATAACGTATTTTGAAGTGGTTTGGTGGAAATTTTATTTGCTAACAACTGCTTCTATTGGGTAGAAAATGAGTAATTTTTCTGAAATTCTAAGACAATGCAGTTTTTCTGCCACTGAACAGTTTAATCCTAAATAATGACATTTGGTAACTGATCATTGGCCTAAATATAGTCTAACTAGGGAACAAAAACTTCTCTATATTTATTATCATTCTTTATTTCTTTGTTTATCGTAGAATTTTTGAAGTCTCGCTGATTATCCTGGACATAATGCTTGTAATAACAGACCTAGTTGTCACTCCTAAAATTTACACTCCTTTGGGATATCGATCAGCTTCCTTAGCTATTGCTTTATTTTTTTTCTTTGCTCTTCTTCTTCGACTGTATGTAAAACGGTAAGTTTGATTATTTTTTAATGCATAAAGCTATCTTGTACTTTTATAAAAAGCATCTCAAAATAATTAGCAGGTCAACCCAACCAAATGTGTCCCTCTTTATCAAAATAATTCTCCTCGAAGCCATGGTCCACAGAGAAACAACAATCCAAATCCCAGTTTTTCATAGACTGGGCTTTAATGGTGTAATTGTTGCGACTGGCACTCCAGTCTCCAACAATGTATTCTAGATGGTTCCTACAATATATAAAGCTTAAAGGGATTTCAAAAGGGGGCCAGGCTGCTGATGTGTCTGCATGTATATTAATAAGAGGAATATGTATGTGAAGTAAAAATATTACTACATTCGTTGAGAGTTGAATCCTAGGTTACAGTTGATCGTGTATTAAATACTACATAATAGATCATGAATAATCCCCTATCTCAGTTAAAATTAAAACTTTTGTTAAGAAGCAGAGGAGATCTGAGGCATGCTCATCCCATCAGCGAGACTTGAAAATGAGGCAGCAGTTGATTTCCTCTACTTGCTTACTTTCTGAGAAGGTGGGTGGGGTGAGCCAGACCTTGGGGCTAGACTGTTGGGGGAGTCGGGGACTAAGTCCCCAGCCTCACTTCTTCCACAGCATCTCAGAAGGCAGTTTGTCTCCTTCCATGCTGATTTCCTATCCTCATGCCAACTGTCCAGCTAAGGACAGTTGCCCACTGTCAGTTTACTCAGAGCCTGAAAGGGGATGCCCTAGATTTGGAAGCAGCATTTCCTGGAGGACTAGTGCCTATGTTGAAGGAACCAGTGTTGAGAGGAAGGTGTGGTGAATAGAAGTTCACCTTTGCCCAGAGGAGGCCTTATCAGCCCATCAGAATTCCAGTGTGGGTGCAAAGCCAGACCATGAGTTTGCAGGCCAAAACAGTGGACCTTTTCCCCCTCTCATAAGCTCCCTCAGACACTTCTCATACACCAGTTTCTCTAAGGCTGTAACATATTCAGCTTCCACTGTCCAGTAGTACTGCCCAACATCCCACTTTTCTTCTCCCAGCTATGTGAAGGTAATGCTTGCCTCTTGCTCAATGGTTTGGTTATATCTCTTACTATACTTAAATTTCTATATCGATGCTTTTATCATATGTATCCAGTGATGAATATAAATTTGCTGTTTGAAAACTTTGCATTAATGTTATATTAGTCTAGTCTAGAAAATGCATTTTTATCTTAGTCTAGTCTAGAATTTTTCCATTAATGATATATTAGTCTAGTCTAGAAAATGCATTTTTAAATTGTCTATTAAAGTTCTTAATATGCATGAGTCAATTTGTGTCCTTAAAATATTTCTATCTCTTCTTGGAGGGGAATGAACTTATATTTTCTGTTTTATATTACAGGAATTATTTTTCTAATGCATTTAGTGTCTTAGATGCTATGGTTACTGTAGTGAGTCTGATGTTCAACGTGGTTTTCATTTTTTTTGACACCAGATTTCTCAGTGATATCCCCAGGTATGAAACATATGATTTATCCCTCAAAATGTCTTTTTTTTTTTTTTTGCATTTTCCATGGCTTTTATTCTATATGATCTTTCTAACTTTGAATGTTCTGATTCCCTACCAAATAAACTGCTTAAAAGTGAAATGTTTAGATATATTTCCACATACGTTGAAACTAAAAGACTATGTTGTTTAAGAACCAATGGAGGGTTTATACACTGATTATGATCAGTTGAATAGAGATTATGGAGTATACAAAGAAGAAACTGAGTGCTTCACCTCTTGTACTGTCTTTAACTTTTCTACATTTTGAAATTCTCACTAAATTCCCATTTGTGGTTCAATCACAAATTGCTTACACACAAGGTTCTATCTATCTGAGTGTTTTCCTATAACCAAGAGAATATTGATTTGAGCATGTATAAAAATTGAGTGATTCAATCATGATTTTCTAGAAAATAGCAAACAGAAAACCAGGAGGTGACATGGATAGCAAGGTAGCAGTAGAGTTTTACAGTATAGTTGTGGTAAAAATGAAGAGAGCCAAGGCAAAGTTAGACCCATTAGGGATCAGAAAACTACAAGGCGTACGGAGGACTGGTGGCTCTCCTTTTTCCTCTTCTTTTTTACTATGGCAATAAGGAAAATTGAAGGGAAAATGTATACTGGGATATAAATGTTCAGTGGCTCACTAATTCATGGTTCAAATAGCCAGCTTCTTTCTGTACCCTAGTTTCCCAGAGCTACAATTCAGGCCCCAGCTAAGCATGTTAGGTAATAGGCTTTTGGAATTGTTTGAAAGTAACCTGAGCCAATGTAGTGCTCTGGCCAGCAACCTCAGCATTACTTGAAAGCTTGCTAAAAATGTAAGAAGAAAAACACCTCAGGCTCGTCCCTAGACCCACTGAGTCAGTGTCTCTGGGACCCAGCAATTTAAAGTTTAACAAGTGTTTCCAGATGACTTGTATTTATGCATGCTCAGGTTATAGATGCACTACTCCAGTCCATCAATTCTCTGCTATGGTGTTTGATGGTAGGAGAGACACCAGCTAGCACCCTTGGGAAGTATCTCAATCTGCTGCCTGCCTGATTTGCATTAGTAACTATAGTGAACCTGTCACTGATGGTAGTAACAAAGGTGAACAAGAGCCCTCAGTTTATTTTGATGGGGAAAAATTATAAATGCGGTCTTAAACCACAAAAGTTAAATTCATAAATTCTAAGACCCCATTGCATTACTATTTCTCTAGGCCAGAATTTCTCAACTTCAGTGTATTGACATTTTAGGCCAGATAATTCTTTGTTACTTGGGGTTGGGCAGCAAGTCTATTCATTGTAGGTTGTTTAGAGGTATTTCTGGCCTCTATCCACCAGGTATAAGTAGCACCACCATTCCCAAACACACAGACAGCAATTGTGAGGACCAGAAATGCCTGTGGACATTGCCAAATAGCCCGTAGGTGGGTAGCAGAGGAACCGGGGGTTGGGGAAGACAGTGCCCCTCTTTAACAACTACTTCTCTAGACTTAGTCCATACTGACAAAATCCTCTGTTTCTAAAGCTAAAATGAATCTTTTAAATTTATTGGTAGATTGGCAGATTCATTGCGACTTCTACGAGCTATAATTCTAATTAGACTTTGTCATTTGGTTCATCAAGAAACACCTGTTGAACAGCTGGCCAGAAGGATGGTAAGTGGGCAAAATATGCTCATGATTCAGAAAAATGTTTTATGTTTTGCAACATATTGTCAAGGGTTGATATCTATGCTGTATAATGTTCTTTATTTTTATGCTGATTTATGTTTTACAAATTAATGATTATTTTAAACTTTCAGGCTTCAGGATATGCTACACAAGACACAGAAGGAGAATTGCATCTGGATCTCACTTATGTTACTGGTTTGTGAAACTTAACTGTTAATTTACTTATATTAGCTTCATATTTTTCTTGTAATTAAATTTTTATTTTGTTTTTGCCTTGTCTAAGCCATGTTCTTTCAAAGTATTCTTTATTCATAAAGACATATGCCACTGTGGTAATGTGGCATATTTGTAGTTTAACCCTGGTAATGGAAAATCTCCATGTCGTCTCAAATCAGGGCTACTTGGTCACAGCACAGGAAGTTAAATGGATTTTTGGCTGAGTTCTTTTGAGTTTAGTTTAGAATTTATTAAGTTCTAGTAGTTATCCTGAGTCCCAAGGATCCCAGAGAGATCTCTTCATAGAGCCCCAGAGAAAGAGGTCACTGCTCTGTAGATCTCAGGTTCTCTGAGTCAGGAGGGCTGAGAAGCACCCTGGAAGTTCCCGCCATCACTTGTGCCCAAAACTCTTGGATGTTCTTTGGTGTTGAAGATAAGAAATAAATCCCAATCACAGGAAGAGCTTCATAATGATGCCAACACAATTATGTGGCATATGGCCAGTTGAATCTTGGGAACACCACACCAGTTTAGTGGTCATTGTATTAGATAATTTATTATGTTATCTTGATTAACTTGAATGTGTATTAACTATTTTTATAAACTTCAACCTTAAAAGTTTTTTCTATGAAAAAGGAGATTGATTTTATGTAAATTGAATTTTTATATATTGTTTTTCCTCTAATGACATTCGTAACAGTGATAATTTTGACTTTCAGAGCGTATTATTGCTGTATCATATCCCACTTCCAGAAGGCATTCGTTTTATGGGAATTCAATTACGGTAAGGGTATTTATCTAACAAATACTCATTTCTCAGTGAACATAGACTATGTAGTTATAAGTTTTATTTTTAGACAGAGTCTCATTATGTTGCCCAGGCTTGAGTACAATGATGTCATCATAGCTCCCTGCAACCTCAAACTCCTGGGTTCAAGTGATCCTCCTGCTTCAGCCTTCCTAGTAGCTAGACTACAGATATGTGCCACCATGCCTGGCTAATTTTTTTTTAATAAATTTTTTTTGTAGAGGCTGGGTCTTGCTCTGTTGTCCAGGCTGTTCTCAAACTCCTATCCTAGCCTCAAGCAGTCCTCCCACTTTGGCCATAAGTTTAACCCAGAGATGGTATTATTCTTTTAAAAATGTGTTCTTTTCGAAAGGATAAGTAAAAAATCATAATGGATTGATATCAGTTAGCTTTTTCTATACAAACCACCCCAGTACTTATTGGCTTATAACAGTAACCATTTATTTAGCTCATGATACTATGATTTGTGGATTTGATTTGAGCCTAACTGAAGAGTTCTGATAATTAGAGGCATGGTTGTCTATCTTAACTGGGGTTACAGATGCATCTGCAGTTAGCTAGTAGGCCATCTGAGGACAAGCTAGTCTAAAATGGCACGGCTGCCCTTGACTGGTGTAGCCACTGCATACTGCACATACCCTAGCCTGCTATTGACCCCACCTTTGACCAGTGAAGCTGCCACATGCCACACATACTTCTCAGGTCCTGATGACTGGCCTGCCTGGTTCTCACTTTGCCAGTGTCCCCACACCTGATTAGTGGAGCCATGACACTCAGCACATGCCCCAACCCCCAGAGTCTGAGAGCCAGACCACGTGGTGTCCCCAACCCCCAGCAAAGCCACACCACTCCATCTGTGAATACCCCTAGTCTAGGACTCTGAGATACTTGTAGAAACTGATAATGTTAATTACAGCTGAAGAAATTACATGGAGACTACACTACTGCACCCATTCAGAACCAAAGCAAAAGCACCCTACCCACCTGACACTATAGAACAAAACTAAAGGAAAAAGTCTTTCTGTATAAAAGTTACTCCATAAAATTGTAAGAGGCAACTATTCCACCAAATGTACAAAAATCAATGTAGAGACACAAGAAACATGAAAAGCAAGGAAACATTACACCTCCAAAGAAACACAATAATTCCCCAGTAACAGATCCCAGATTAAGAAACTATAAATTGCCTGAGAAATAATTCAAAATAATGACCTTAAGGAAACTCAATGAGATACAAGAAAATACAGATAGATAATATGACAAAATTAGGAAAGTAATTCATGATATGAATGAGAAATTCAACAAAGATATGGATATCATTAAAAAAGAAACAAACAGAAATCTTGGCACTGAATAATTCAAGGAATGAAATAAAAAGTACAATCAAGAGCTTCAATAATAGACTAGGCCAAGTAGAAGAAAGACTTTATGAACTTAAAGAGAAATCTTTGAAATAACACACTCAGACAAAAACAAAAAAGGATTAAAAAAGAATGAAGAAAGCCCATGGGAATTACAGGACACAATTAGATAACAAATATTTGCATTATGGGAATTTCAGAAGGAGAAGAAAATGAGGAAAATGCATAGCAAATCTCTTTAATAACATAATAGCTGAAAATATCCCAAGTCTTAGGAGAGATATCAAGGTCCACATCCAGGAAACACAAAGGTTCCCAAATAGATCTTACCTCAAAAGGTCCTTTCTGAGGCACATAGTAGTCAAACTGTCAAAAGTCAAAAACAAAGAATTCTAAAAATAGCAAGAGAAAAGTGTCAAGTCACATCTAAGGGAATCCCTATTGTACTAACAGTAGATTTCCAGCAGAAACCTTACAGGGCAGGGGAGAATGGAATAATATAGTCAAAATGCTGATAGGAAAAAACTGCCAGCAAAACTATCAGCCAAAAATACTATACCCAGCAAAGTTGTCCTCCATAAGAGAAGAAATAATGTATTTCCCAAGCAAAATTGAAGGAATTCATCACCACTAGACTGGCCTTACAAGTAATGTTTACGAGTACCCTACATCTGGAAACAAAAGAATGATTACCATCATGAAAACTGCAAAAGTATAAAACTCACTGATAGAACAGATATAGAAATGAGAAAGAGAAAGGAATCAAACTTTATCACTACAGAAATCCACCAAACTGCAAAGACAAAATAATAATTGAAGAAAGGAACAAGGGATATATAAAGCAACCAGAAAACAATTAACAAAATGACAGGAGTAAGTCTTCACCTATCAATAATAACCTCAAATGTAAACAGACTTAATTCCCAATTAAAAGACAGACTGGGCTGAATGGATTTTTTTAAAAGATCCAACTATATGCTGCCTATAAGAAACTCACTTCATCTGTAAAGACACACATAGATGGAAAGTGAAGGGATGGAAAAAGATATTCTAGGTAAATAAAAACCACAATTAAACACAGATAGCCATACTCATATAAGCTAAAATAGACTTTAAGTCAAAAACTGTAAAAAGGGACAAAGAAGGTCATTATATAATACTAAGGGTATCAATTTAGCAATAAAATATAATAATTATATATGCACCCAACACTAGAGCACCTAAATATACAAAGCAAATATTATTAGGTGAAAAGGAGAGATAGATTCCAATACTTCGGGCCTTTGATACCCCACTCTCAGCATTAGACAGATGATCTAGATAGACAATCAAGAAAGAAACATCAGATTTAATTGCACTGTATACCAAATGGACCTAACAAACATTTACAGAACATTTCATCCAACAGCTATGGAATACATCTTCTTCTCAACAGCACATGGAACATTCTCCAGGATAGACCATGTGTGAGGCCACAAAACAAGTCTCAACAGTTTTTTAAAAATCAAAGTCATATCCATTATCTTTTCTGACTATACTGAAATAAACTAGAAATAACAAGAGGAACTTTGGAAACTGTACAAATATATAAAAATTAAACAATATGCTTCTGGATGACTAATGGGTCAATGAAGAAATTAAGAAAGAAATTTAAAAATTTCTTGAAACAAATGAAAATAGAAACACAACATACCAAAACCCAGGACCGAATGGCTTCACTGCTGAATTCTAACAAACTTTTAAAGAATTAACACCAATTCTTTCAAACTATTCCAGAAAAAAATTGAAGGGCAGGTAATTCTTCCAAACTCATACAAGGTCAGCATTACCCTGATTCTAAAACCAGCCAAGGACACAACAAAATGTGATACATCACATCATCAGAATGAAGGACAAACACCATATGATCATCTCAATAGATGCAGAAATGGCGTTAGGTAAAATTCAACATTGCTTCATGATAAAAGCTCTCAACAAATTAGGTATAAAAGGAACGTACCTTGATACAATAAAGCCCATATATGACAAACCTACATCTAGTATCATGCTGAATGGAGAAAAGTTGAAAGCTTATTCCTCTGAAAACTAGAACAAGACAATGATGCCCACTTTCTCCACTGTTATTCAACGTAGTACTGGAAGCTCAATCCAGAGAAATTGGGCAAGAGAGTTAAATAAAGGACACCTAAGTTGGAGGTAAAATTGTTCCTGTTTGCAGATGATATTATCTTCTGTATAGAAAAACCTAAGGACTCCACACAAAAACCTCTTACAACTGATAAATGAATTCAGTAAAGCTATAGGGTACAAAGTTAATATACAAAAATCAGTAGCATTTCTACATACCAAAAATGAAACAAAAACAATCCTATTTATAATAGCTACAAAAATAAAATACCTAGGAAAAAATTTAACCAAGGAGGTCAAAGATCTCTACAATGAAATGGAAAAAACAATCCTAAAATTCATATGGAACCACAAAAGACCCTGAATAGTCAAAGTAATCCTGAGGAAAAAAAGAACAAAGCTAAAGTATACCTAACTCAAAGGCTATTATCATGAAGGGATGTTGAATTTTACCAAATGCCATTTCTGTATCTGTTGAGATGATCAGATTGTGTTTGTCCTTCATTCTGTTGATGTGATGTATCACACTTATTGATTTGCATATGTTGAACACTGATTAAAGAAATTGAAGAGGACACAAAAACATGGAACGACATCCCATGCTTATGGACTGGAAGAATTAATATTGTTAAAATGATAATACTACTGAAAATAATCTACACATTTAATGAATTTCCTATCAAAATACAAATTCCATTCTTCAGAGAACTAGAAGAAATAACCCTAAAATTCATATGGAGCAACAAAAGACTCCAAATAACCAAAGTAATCCTGAGCAAAAAGAACAAAGCTGGAGTCATCACAGTATCTGACTTCAAAAAATACTATAAAACTTTAGTAACCAAAACAGCATAGCATTGACATAAAAAGAGATGCAGAGACTAGTGGTACACAACAGAGAACTTAGAAATAAATCCACATATTTACAACCAACTGACCCCCAACAAAGGTGCCAAGAACATAATTCAATAAATTATACTGGGAAAACTGGATATACATATGCAGAAGAATGAAACTAGACCTCTACTCTCACCTCATACAAAAGTCAAGTCAAAATGATCTTAAAAACTTAACTGTAAGACCCCAAATTGTGAAACTAGTGGAAGAAACCTTAAGGGAAATACTTCATACATTGACTGGGCAAAGATTTTATGTATAAGATCTCAAACACACAGGCAATAAAAGCAAAAATAAGGAAATGGAATTACATTAAACCAAAAACTGTCTGTGCAGCAAACAATCAACAGAATAAAGAGACAACCTGTAGAATGGGGAAAATATTTGCAAACTATTCATCTGACAAGGGATTAATATCCAGAATATATAAGGAACCAAATGACTCAACAACAGCAGCAATAACAAAAACCCAAATAATGCAATTAAAAATGGGAAAACAATCTGAATAGGAATTTCTCCGAAGAACACATACAAAGGGCTAACAAGTCTATGAAAAAGTTCTAAACATCACTAACCATCATGGAAATGCAAAACAAAACCACAGTAAGATATCATCTCACCCCAGTCAGAATGGCTATTATAAAAAGACAAAAAAAATAAGTGCTGGCAAAGATGCGAAGAAAGGGGAATTCTTATATACTATTGGTAAGAATGTAAATTATTATATATCACAAATTATGTAAATTATTATAGCCATTGTATAAAACAGTATGGAGGTTCCTCAGGAAACCAAAAATAGAACTGACATATGATTCAGCAGTCCCACCCACTACTGGGTACATAGTCAAAGGAATGGAAATCAGTATGTTGCAGAAATATCTATACCCTCAGGTTTATTGCAGCACTATTCACAATAGCCAAATATGTAGTCAACCTAAGTGTCCATCAACAGATGAATGGATAAAGAAAATATGGTGTATATATACACAATGGAATACTATTTAGACATAAAAAATGTAATCCTGTCATTCATGGCACCATAGATGAACTCAGAGAACCTTATATTAAGTAAAATAAGCCAGGCACAGAAAGACAAATATCACATGGCCTCACTCATATATGAAAGCTAAAAAAGTTGACACCGAAGAAATAGAGAGTATAATAGCGGTTACTAGAGGCTGGGAAGGGAAGTGGGGAGGGTGTGATAGAGAGATAGATTGGTTAACAGGTACAAGCTTATAGCTAGGTAGGAGGAACAAGTTCTGTTGTTCTATAGCACTGTAAGGTTACCATAGTTAATAATTTATTTGGATATTTAAAAATAGCTAGAAGAGAGGATTTGGAATGTTCCCGACACAAAGAATGATAAATGTTTGAGGTGATGTATATGCTAATAATCCTGATTTGATCATTACACATTGCATACAGGTATTGAAATATCACATTGTACCCCATAAATATGTATAATTACTATGTGTCAATTTAAAAAGTTTAAAACAGAATGAATGAAACAGATAAAACTAAAATAAAATAATATGGCTTCGCTGAATGGCTCCATGTTGTCTCTCATTCTCCAATAGGCTAGTTCAGACCTGTCCACATGGTGGCAGTGACAAGGGGTCGGTCCCAGGAGCAGAAAGCAAAAGTATACAAAGCCTTTTAAGGTCTAGGCTCAAAGCTAGTATAATGTGACTTCTACCTAATTCTATTGGACAAAGCAAATATTAACACCAATCCAGATTCATGGAATAGAAAACATATTCCATCTTCTGATGAAAGGAATTGCAAAGAATTGTGGCTATTTTTTTTTTAATCTATCATAGGGACAAAGGATCAGAAGGCCATAACTAAAATGTGTGTTCTTAAATTGAGTTCCTAAATTATGGTGGAGACATACTGCTTTAGGATCTGTGGATGACTAATTTTAAACATATACTGCTATTTACTATGAAATTCTAGCTGAAAGTCATTGTTTAAGAAGTTTAGATATGTGTGTGTATACATTAGTGTAATTTACAGTTATTTGTTATACCTCAATAAAAATTTAATTATCTGTATGTATATATGCCTATATATAAGTATGTATATATATACATGCATTCATAATTACATTTTTATTGAGATATAATAAATACTATAAGTTGTACTAATCTTAAGTATATATCTTGATGACATTATAAATAATTATATATGCATATAACCATCACCCTATCAAGGTATTGAACATTTCTTGCCCCTTTCTAGTCAATATCCCAGTACACCAGAGATAATTGCTATCTTGATTTGTGTCACCACAGATTAGTTTTTAAGATAACCATCTACAAAGTATTTTAAATCAAGATTGACTAAAGGGTTCAAGATTCAGATCCAGACATACTTAATTCCTGAGAGGATATGAAATAGTTATGTGATTCTCCTTTATCCTTATAAGGGAATAAAGTTTCAGGGTTATGTTTGAACAACATTGAATATACAAAGAAGACAGTAAAATTTCATAAGTGCTAAATTTGCTAACAGAGAAATGTCAAATGCTGCCTTAAAAATAGCAAAACTTCTACAGATATAGGACCCATAGAATTAGTGGAGAAACAAGTAGTATGGTGGAAGCATCAACAAGTTTGGCCGCTGCTGCCACCTCACGCAAAGGAGGGTGTGTGTACTTCACCTCCAAATCAAGGAATGAGCTAAGATAGGCTGAGAAAAGGGCTTGGCAGATTTAGGAAAACCCAAAGGTGGAGGTTGTTACAAGAAGACTTTCAAAGAGTAGACAGCATTTTCTACTTTTGCATCACAAGGAAGAGTTCCAGGGATTATAAACTTCATAAACCCATACAAAGGCTGAGCTATTGAGAAAAATCAGATGTATATTACCTACAGTCCTAAAATCTTAGCCATCTTTTAATTTTTGGCCTTGTTACAATTGAATACTTCAAGGGCAATTATATTACTTATTATATTAGCAATAAATCAAAGGTTTTATTTTCATGCCATATTTGCCAGCATTGAATTTTCTCATGAAAAATGGCTAATTTCATGGGTGAAAATGGCATGTCCCTGTTTTGACTTTCTTACTGACAAGACTGAATATGAGGGTTGTTGGTTGGAATTTCACTTTTGTGGATTGTTTATGTCTTTAACATTTATCTATAGGATGAGGGAGTCCTACTTAAGTTGTTGTTAATGAGTTATTTTGTTTCTTAATAGTCCTCATTCAGTTAATTTTAGTGAAAAATCTTTTTCCCTGTTGGTTGTTTGTTGTGGCATTTTCTAAACAGAAATTCAAATTTTTATGAAGTCAAACTTAAACCTATTGAACCATGATTTTCCCTTGATTCAATACTTCTTTCTAATTCAAAGAACTGATTGGTATTCACCTAAGTTTCTTAGAGACATGTATAGTTTTTTATATTTGATTTCTGAATACATATGGATTTTATATAAGAAATTCCATGAATTTTTGAACTGTATAAGACTTGTTATCCTCTTCCCCCCATGCTATGCAGACTCAGAATGTTCATCTTTTTTATTTTCCTCTGGACAGGGATAACCAATTTAATAAATTGATCACTTTGATACCTTAATTTTTTTCCTCAATAGTAAGCCTGTAATCAGGGTACTATACTAATCAGTTTTTAATTTTGTGACAGTCATTTTTGTTGTTGCACAGAGATACATACGTATGTACGTGTGTGTATGTCTGTATGTGTGTATGTGTGTGTTTCAGATGGATACATTTTCTGAAAATATTGTTGGATCAGTATGGCAATATTAACTGTATTTTAAATAATAGCCACTATTTCTCATTTTAAAGGTTATACACATACATACACAAATATGTATGTGTTATATATATACATTCCTTTTAGAAAATAAGAAACCACAGATGAGTTAAAAAGACTCTCCATAGTTCTACCAATTATCTAAAATTTGATGTTTATGTTTTTTCTATCATGCATACACACACACATAATCCTATATTTTTTGCATTTATTTATTTACATAGTGTTTAGGTAGACTGTAATATCCAGATTGTTATCTAAAAGGCATATCTATACAGAATTAGATTTAAATAAGAGCCATATGTTACTGTGAATTAAATATTTAGAACAAATTTACTTAAAGCTATTAATAGTTGGCCAGCTAATTTCCTTCGCTGGTAGCTTTAAACTGTGTGTATTTAGAGCAAAGGCTAGTCTAAGTAGCCAAGCACACTTTGTGGGCTACTGGAAAACCACCGTGGTTTAGGTATGACTCGGAATGTATATACCCACATATTCCCTGAATCTCCCCCAGGAGATGCCAGTGAGAGACAAATGAATAGGAAATAATAATCATTTTAGGTTATTCCTAGGAAATGGCTTATTTGTTGCCATGTGGATATGTAAGTTATGCATCTGTCTTTTTTAGGGCATCCTGTGGTTCCTAGACAGCAAACATCGAAACCACTATCAAGTCTACCATCTATGCAGTATGTACCTGACTTGATATTTTGCTATTGTAGATAGAAAAGAGATTACTGCATGTAAGAAGATGATTTTTTTCCATTGCATTTAGTCATAAGTACTTGGTAGTGTTGGGGAGTGAATTCAAAAATCCCCATATCGTGCTAGCCCCATTTAGTTGGAAGAGTTAGCCCAATAGCCCAAAATGCCCTATGAGGGAGGCAGGGCTTGTGGGATCAAAGAGGCTGGAGTGAAGGTGAACCAAAGATCTGCTCTAGTGGTATTAGGTTTAGGAAAATCTTTCTGTTTTTCTTGTCAGGTTGCTTTATGAGGACATAGACAATTTAACACAGGTGTACTCTAACCCAGTAGGAGTGGATTGTGATGAGAGCAGGGCCCTGGATGGGAGAAAAAAATGAAAAACAAAAAGACCCTAGTTTATACAGATTATACCCCAGTTTACCACTCTGTCTCTCTTGATTTTTTTCCTCTACCTATATATTAAATAGACATTTGCAGGGAGCCAGCATTTTGGTCAGCTATATTTGCCCCTTTGTTTTTTTTTTGTTTTGGGGTTTTTTTTGTTGTTTTTTGTTTCTTTTAAGACAGAGTCTCACTCTGTTGCCCAGGCTAAAGTGCCATGGTGTCAGCCTAGCTCACAGCAACCTCAAACTCCTGGGATCAAGTGATCCTCCTGCCTCGGCCTCCTGAGTAGCTGGGACTACGGGCATGCACCACCATGCCTGGCTAATTTTTCTATATATATTTTTAGTTGTCCAGCTAATTTCTTTCTATATTTTTTTTAGTAGAGACGGGGGTCTCACTTTTGGTCAGGCTGGTCTCGAACTCCTGAGCTCAAAGGATCCTCCTGCCTCAGCCTCCCAGAGTGCCAGGCGTGAGCCACTGCACCCAGCCTATATTTGCCCCTTTGTATGGTTTCTAACTACCCTATAATAATATTAATATAAGTAGTATGCTTGAAAGTTAAAAGTAAGGCCATTAAACAAAAGTAAGTTGGGCTTAGGTTACCTGAAATGGACAAACCACTACTATTCTTAAGTTTTTGAGATCTTTAATTTTGTTTTAGAGCAGCAGGAACCACTCAGAAATCTCCTTTTGAGGATAGATAAGAATTTTTAATGGAAAATTTTCAATCATTTATAACTTAACCACTTTGGTATGGCGCTCACCAGCCGTGAAACCTTGCCCATAGATGGCACTCATAGCCCGCACTATAGTTTGTGCTGTGCATTGACAATGAATCCATTTTGCTCTTGTGTGATGAGGAAAGCTTTAATCCTTTGCACTCGGACGTCGAGTGTGACTTGACACGGTTAGCATCGGTAGTAGCTCGTATGTCGAGTCACACTTGACACGTAGTTTCACCGTGGGGGGATGGGGGGAAGGGGGATTTTTGTCTATTTTTCCAGTATCTTTTCATGTTTTCATTAGCATGAAAGGACAAATAAAATGTAAATACCATCTCAACTAATGCCACTGCTGCAGCAATGTGTATAGCTAGTGTTACAGCTCTTGACCGGGGAAAGAACCAAGCGGCACACGAAGAGTCTGAGAACAGCTTTTATTCTCGCACAGCAGGCTCAACACACCTAGTGTGACAGCTCTCTTCTCATCTTCAGATCTTCTGACCCCCCCTTCCTTGTTCTCCTCCTGCTTTTATACCCTTGGTGGGGCTCAAAAAGCATCCAATCAACTATAAGCTTTAATATCAAGCTTTAACAATCAACATCCAATCAACAACAAGCTTTAACATCCAATCAAAAACAGTGGGATTCAAAAATTACCCAATGAGGATCACGCAAGCAGCGTGGCCGGAAACAGGCAGTGGCACACGGGCCTGGGAGCATTCCAGGGCAGGGCCTGGGCGGCTCTCTGCCGCAGGCCCCGACCCCAGCAGCGTGCCCTCCAACTGACCACACACAACGCTGGCCTGCAGAGATGCGGAGTGATGGGGAGGCGGCAAGCGGCCGTGTCCCGGCACCAGACATTTTTCGTATCATCACCACCTAATCTTTTGTTTTGCATAGGCAGTAATCTTGAGTAGGAGGGTCCAAGGCATGAGTTGTTGCATCATGCCTTTTTGAGCTTGCATCATCTTCTCTTGGTAAAGAACCTTCCTTATCTTTTCGTCTCCTAGGTTTGTTTAGGTTTCTATTAGCATATCACAGATGTTGTCATGACACAGGGTTTAGTTGGATGATTGGTTTGCCCCCTAGCAGTCGCACGTTCTGAGTAAATTTCCCATCCTCAGGATGGATAAGTTTTCCAAAGACATACAAAGCAGCGATGATTAATTTTACTTCGAAAAATGAAGAAAAAAGTGAAAAATGTAATAGTGACGAAAGTGAGTTCTCCGAGGATGCAAGTGGAGATGATGAACAAATTGCTGGTCCTAGTGGAACTACAGAAAGGAAAACTTCCCTTGCTTTGCCCAAAGATCTGGCTGAAAGTATGGACAGTGACAGTGACATTGAATTCATAAAGGCAAAACAAAGACACACAATTGTTTATTCGAGTGAGAGTGATGGATATAGGTGATATCATTGAGAAATCGGGTATAAGACCCAGTGAAAGTTACGTTTCTAGGGGAAACCAGGAAAAAGAAAAGTGGACATCTACATCTGTGAATGACAAAGAGCCTAGCAGAATCCCTTTCTCCACGGGTCAGTTACATTGGACCTCAAGTTCCTTCTGGATGTGACACACCAATAGACTTGTTTCAGTTGTTTTTTACTGAGACGTTGATAAAAAATATAACAGATGAGACAAATGAGTATGCTAGGCATAAAATTAGCCAGAACTATCCCAGCAATCCACTCGGAATAATTGGAAAGATGTGACAATAGAGGAAATGAAGTCTTTTCTTGGTGTAATGCTAAATATGGGTGTATTGAATCACCCCAACTTGCATAGTTATTGGTCCATGGATTTTGAGTCTCATATACCATTTTTTCAATCTGTTTTCAAAAGAGAAAGGTTCTTGCAAATATTTTGGATGTTACACTTGAAAAATGATCGAAAGTCAAGTAAAGATTTGAGAACAAGAACCGAGAAGGTAAACTGCTTCTTGTCATACCTTGAAATGAAATTTAGGGAGAGATTCTGTCCTGGAAGAGAGATTGCTGTTGATGAGGCTGTTGTTGGTTTCAGAGGAAAGATACACGATAATCCTAAAAAGCCAACAAAATGGGGTATTCATTTATATGTCCTCTCAGATTCAAAACGTGGTTACGTACATTCATTTGTCCCTTATTATGGAGGAATAACATCTGAAACGCTGGTGAGACCTGATCTCCCTTTTACTAGCAGAATAGTTTTAGAGCTTCATGACAGATTGAAGAGCTCAGTACCTGGTTCTCAAGGTTATCATTTCTTCACTGACAGGTATTACACTAGTGTCACTCTTGCAAAGGAATTGTTCAAGGAAAAAACACACTTGACAGGGACAATAATGCCCGATAGGAAAGATAATCCACCTGTTATCAAAGATCCAAAGCTAAAGAAAGGAGAGAGAGTGGCTTTCAGGGATGAAAATGTAATGCTGCTTGCGTGGAAAGACAAGAGGATAGTCACAGTGCTCACTGCATGCGACACTTCAGAGACTGAGTCTGTGGAAAGGAGAGTGCCTGGTAGTGGGAGGAAATAGTTCTCAAACCCAAGGTCGTGACCAACTATACAAAGTTTATGGGGGGTGTTGATATAGCTGATCGCTACTCAAGCACATACTGTTTTATGAGGAAGACTCTAAAATGGTGGCGTACATTGTTATTCTGGGGGCTTGAGGTCAGTGTTGTAAATTCCTATATATTGTACAAAGAATGCCAAAAAAGAAAAAATGAAAAACCGATAACACATGTGAAATTTATTAGGAAACTAGTACATGATCTTATTGGAGAATTCAGAGATGGTACACTAACTTTCAGGTAGGTTATTATTCACTAACTTAGAGCAACGTTTAGATGGAAAGCTCCATATAATCACACCTCACCCTAACAAAAAACACAAAGATTGTGTTCTTTGTTCTAACAGAAAAATCAAAGGAGGAAGAAGAGAGACGATTTATATTTGCGAAACATGTGAATGTAAACCAGGTCTTCATGTGGGTGAATGTTTCAAAAAATATCATACCATGAAAAATTACAGAGATTAAAATTACTCTTTGAATGTATCAATAATTTGAAATATAAAAAATATCCAAATAAATAAGTTTGTATGAAAAGAAACTCCAGTTTTTTATTCTACTACCATGCTTTGTAAAATCTGGGGTATTTAAAAAATTAAATCCCAAGTAGAATAAACAAATCGAGAAAAAAGCAAGCAAGTGCAAAGGGTTAAAGCACTGAATATTTGTTTTACTTTACAGGTAGCTTTACTTGTAATGTAAATCAGAATAGGTAACATATACATATATGTTTTCGTTATGTTATTTTTAAATGTTCGCAATTTTATTTTGATAAATGAAAAATTAGAAAAGTCATGTCATGGCTGTCAGCTAAAGTCGACGTGCGCTTTCATCTGTGGCTATCGACTGTAGTGGACGCTGGTACCCAAGTGGTTAATCATTTACTATGTTATTGGGCATAGAAATATGACATAACATATGTATTATTTATTTTAGGTCAAAGATATAATCCCAATCACTTCCATGATAGGGTTACTAGAATCATCATTGATAATCACAGTGTCCCCTCTCTGCGGTAAGTTTTATGCCAAGTTGACTATTAGAAGAGGGCTAAATACGCTGGGCTTGATTTTTTTGCAAATGTTTTAATTCAACTAAAAATCTTACATTTGAAATCAGTGAGATGGTGGCATTCTCTAAAGATGTCCATAGATGGCTGGCGAAAGATGAAAAAAACGTTGCAGTGATTCATGCCCAAGAAGGCAAAGGTACTAACATTTTTCTTTTTCTTTCTTTCTTGCTTTCTTCCTTTCTAAAGAGATTTAAGAGGTATATTAAAGTACAAGAACAAGATACATAATACTATTAATAAGGGAATGAACAAACCAGTACAACCTCTATGGAAAACAGTATGTTTAAAAGAACCCACCAAAGGGGTTTCCCTATGCTCAGTTGCTCGCCACACAGAGAGCCAATTACTGAGACAACAAGGATTGTCAAGAAAGAGAAAAGGAAATTTACTGTGGAAGACTGCGAGGCAGGAGGGGTGGACTGCCTCAAATCTTCCTCCCCAACTGATAGGGTCAGGAATTTTTCTAGAGGTGAAATGAATAAAGCATGAAGTGAATGAGCATCATTACATGTTTCAGAGGAAGTGCAGCTTACACAAGTGCAGTGAGAAATCGTACTGGCACATACATCACATGATCAAATGGCAGATAAGTCCCCCCTGGGTGGGGATTTTAGTAGTATAATGAGCTAAGGGTTAAAATCATTCCTTCTTTTTGGCCTTGTGTGCAGGTGGGATGCAGGGATAGGTTGCTCAGCAGGTCCTTGGGCAAGATCTGTGATGGGGTATTGGTTATCCGAACTTCTCTTAAAGCTGCAAGGAGGTTCCACCATTTCTGAAAATTAAAACCAACTCAAAAAGGAATGGATTGGTGAAACAGAGTTACAAAGTTCTGGTCAGTAAATCTTACTGGCCTGGGAACATGAAACATAAGAGAACTGCAAAAAGGCATTTTTGTTCATAGAGCTGGTTGTATATGGAGATTTCTCAAAGAACTAAAAGTGGACCCTACCATTCAATCCAGCAGTCCCCCTACTGGGTATCTCCCCAAAGAAAAAGAAGTCGTTGTTCAAAATAACACCTGTACCTGAATGTCTATGACAGCATAATTTACAGTTGCAAAGATGTGGAATCAACCTAAGTGTCCATCAGCTGATGAGTAGATAAAGAACATGTGGTATATATATATACCATAGAGTACTACTCAACCATAAAAAGGAATGAAATAATGTCTTTTGCAGCAATTTGGGTGGACCCATATTCCTAAGTGAAGTATCTCAGGAATGGAAAAACAAATACCACATGTTCTAACTTAGAAGCAGGAGTTAAACAATGGATGTGATATGATGGACATTGGAAAGTAAGAAGTGGGGAGCGAGGCAGGAAAGGAGGTGTACAAAGCACCTCTCAGGTGCAATGTGCACTATCCTGGGGGTGGGTGCACTAAAAGCCCTGACTTCAGCATGATATGATCCATCCATGTAACAAGAAAACACTTGTACTCCCTAAATCTATTGAAATAAAAAGTAAATAAAATTTTTAAAAATAAGAGAGAAAAGCATACAAGTGTATTTAATACAAGTTTTATGTGATATGGAAGTCCTTATAAGGAAATGAAGACCAAAGACGCAGTTAGAGATGAATACTTATATACTGAATTAGACAAAAAGTAGTAAATTATGAAAATGTGACAAGACAAAGGGGCTTGGGCTAGAGTAGTTGATTAGATGAAGAAGTAGCCAGGAGGATAAGGATTTCCCTTGGCCTCAACTTCCTGTACTTGATGGTAAAAATGATACTTTCCTTCTGGTATAGGGAGGCCATCTTTCACATGGGAATTTCATCTCCTGCTTTTAAGAAAGCATGTCAGAAAGAGTGATCTTGAACCTGTTGTTTTTCAAGTGCCTTTGGCTCAAAATAGTCAATATGCTAGAGTGGCATATTTTTAACCTCTTCACTAGCATTAAGATATCTTGCCTTATTTAACTATGTGAAAGTCTCTTAAACTTGCTTCATGAAGCCCAGGTTCTTCTTCCTTGTACAGAGTTATTCACTTCACAGAGAGAGTTGTAAAGATTATATGAGACCTTCAAAGCATTACCCAAATGTTAGTTGTTAATCATTATGAAGGCCAAGAATTGTATTATATTTAGAGATGCAAGCCATTTCTACTGACTTCAGGATACAGATGCTGTCTTACTGATGTCTAACTAACTTGGTGGATTATCTAATGTTCTCCATTCCCTTTATAAACACACTGATTGGCGTCCATTGGCATGTCGTAAATTTGCAACTTGTATACTTTTCTTTAGTATGCCTATGTATTTCTGCTTCCACCAGTGTCTGCCAGTTCTACTTGTCTGCCATTTATTATAATATGTCATATAATCAAATATTATATAAATCTGTCAAACATCAAAGTGAACAAAAATAGTTTTATAATTTTATGAAGAATAAGTTGAATGTTTCAGGAAAATTCAATGAAGTTGAGTGGCTACAACCAAAATTGCAGCTAAATTAAATGTAAACAAGACTATTATAAAACATTGGAGAAAAATTCTAGTAGTAAAATCTAGAAGGATTCTGCACTTAGATTTCTATAAAGAAAACCAGAGATCATAGATGATGCAATGGTTTATAAAACTGGCCTGGATTTTCCAAGAAAGAGCTCCATTTGGGGAAACCTAAACTTAAAAACTTAAAGCCTTTGTCCAATATCAGAAGTTTAGTGAATTAATGTATGTTTATATTTGAAGTCACAGTAAAATATTTAAGGCATGTATATATCATTTTTATGATTCCCTGCTTTATCTGCTTGACTAGATGAGAAGGTATCTACTATGTCTACAGTTGTAATTATCCACAGCAACAAGAACATGAATCTACTTATAGCATGCCCATAATTGGTAAAGGAACTTTCCGAAAGTTTCTTTCAAATGGGAAAGTAATAGAGTTACAGAGACCCAGAGATGTCCTCCAAAATTGAAACGTTAGCAGTCTAGGTAGCTGAAATCCAGGCTGTTAATCCTCAGTAGCTCCCTTCAGCAAGAAGCTTTTCTTTATCATAGCAAGCGGTGGTACGAACTCCTCTTTGCAAGTACCTGGGTTGGAATAGTGCTTTTCAAAGTACATGTTGCAAAATCAGTTTAGCAGTTCATTAAAACATTTTTAAAGGATAGAACATAAAATTCTGTGCATCTTAGGTAAAAAGTGTAAATTTGGAATTACACAAAATGATTAAGTTCATTCAGTGTGTACTGGCTAAAACAAAAGCTACAGATCATTGTAGAAATAAAAGAGGCAACATATTTTTTTAAGAAACTCAAATTTTGTGTGGCAGGACAAAAATAAATTGTAATTAAACCTAAGAGACTTTGAGGACAGAATGACATGAAGCATGAAGTCAAGGGTTTGCTTTAAAATACTACAACAGAAAAGAAAGAAAAAAGAGAGAGGGAGAGGTAAGAAAGGAGAGAAGAGAAGAGAGAAATTATGCATGTAAAGCAAAATACTGATAATTATAGAATCTGGGGAACAGGTATATGAGAATTCATTATATTGTTCTCTACTTTCATATGTTTGAAAACTTTTGTAATACAACTAAAAACTCTAAAATGGAAGGAATAATGGGTATTGAAAGTGCTAGATGGTTTTTGAAGTTGTTTATCTTCTATAGGCACTACTTTTGTTTATGTTATTTAGAAAAACAGTGTGTGTAATTAGTTTTTAATAAGTAGAGACTTATCTTTGGAGTCACACCAAAGCTGATTGCCTCTTCCTATTATTGCAATCCCTGTCATTAGAGACTCAAGAAAAATGCACACGTGCACATGTGTATCATGCAATCAGTTAAAATGCCAAATTCCAAGTATGACCACAAAGCAGTGAAACATCTTTTGCTATTTCCGAATTAAAATATTTTGGACAAACACATTCAGGGTGAAAGAAAATCAATCCAAAATGTACTCCTTTGAATGTTTCCGAATGTGTTTTTATACTAAGTACTTCCATGAACAATAATTCCTTGAACTAACTTTTCTTTTCTAGGCCGAACAGGAACTATGGTTTGGGTTTGCCTTATTGCCAGAGGACTCTGTTCAACTGCACAGGTATGAAAGAAGCTACCTCAAACTTTGTCTTATTCAGATTGATTTGCTAGTTCTGAAACATCACTGGTAGGATGTTAAGATGATTCTTTAAGTCATGGTGGTTAAGTGAAATTGTAATTAGAAAAGCAGGTTTTTGAAAGTCTGGTTTTGATACTTCCGTGTTAACATGCAGTAGTTAGTAACTGACTTAAGGACCTTTTATTGTGGGCCAGGACTAGGGTGAGATTAGTGAGGCACAAAATTTAAGGGAATGTCAAAAGTCATAACTATTAGGATAAATAATATTTTAATGCAATATTTTAAAAATAAAAATGAATGCAAAAAATTATGATGTATGTAATATCAACATTTTAAATAAAGGCAGGACCCAATAGAGCAGAATTTAGGTGAGATGAGTAAAGCCATGTTATTTAAGTGTAAAAAAAAAACCTCAGTAATCAAGATGCTGCATTCTCCTCACCCTAGTCCTAGCCTGCTCTTACTCCCACCGGTAACATGACTTTTTTCTTCTTCATGAGAATAATATCAAGATTAGTTAGATAAGTTCTCCAAAGGACCTTGACCATCCTTATAATTGCTAGGTAGATAAAAGGTACCATTTCCCAACTCAGAACAAAGTCTCTTCTGAATGTAATTAGCTTTGCATAGTTAATATATGTGGGATCTGTAACCTCTGGAAATTTCTGAGAAGGCAGGATGGGCTGTTTCCACTTCTTAAAGCAGGTTCTCAGTCCTTCTGTCATAATCTTGCTGAGAACTTAACCATTCCAGGACACACCTCTAGCAGCTCTGCTCAAGTTGCTTGGCCTGCAGTCTGGGGAAGAGAAGGAATGGATTGTGCATGATGCCCAGGATTCTAATTCTGCCACTTTTGGCTTTTCTAATTTGACACACAGAGGCCTTTAAATTGGGTGTTCTAGGACAGTGTTTTTCAAACTATGGATCATGATCTATCAGTAAGTTGTAAAATAAACTTGCTAGGTTGTAACCAGCATTTTTTAAAATAAAATGGAATAGAGCAGAATAGAAAAATAGTAAGAGGTAAGTGTGTGTGTGTGTGTGTGTGTGTGTGTGTGTATGTGTGTGTGTGTGTCTTCTAGGTTTATTAAATTGTATTGTAGCTTAAGAAACAAAGACTTTTGAAAGCCATTGATCCAGAGCCCTAACTCCCTGCAGCATCTCCATAACAGGTTACTTGGTGTTCATTTGGTCTGTCTTCTCGTTCATAAAATGGAAAATCAGGGAAAGACTTGCACTGGATGATCTCTAGGTCTTTCTAGCTCTAAAATTTCATGTCTTCATGCATCTTTGAATGAGAGAAGTCCTTGATGTAGCTTCGTTTGTTATTTTGGGTAGCCTCTGCCCAAAGACCACTGACTTAAGGAAATAACGTGCCCTTAGAAACTTTAAGGATTCCTAATATAGGAAAGAAAAGTGTGCAGATGAACCACGGTTGAATTGTCCTCTTTTATTATAGGACAGCTTTCATCATTTCGGACGACGACAAATAGGTAAATCCATCAGCATTAAATATGAGGGAGTAGAAACTCCTTCTCAGGTAAGTTTTCCTTTTAAAAATGGAAGTTTTTTAGGGAATCAGGTGAAGATTGGGACCTGTTACTTGGTTTTGTTTTAGATTTTGCTCCTTTGGTGATCAAGCAGTAGCACTTAGGTGCCCTGCCAACAGGCCTTGATCCTTCCCCAGTGCCAAGACCTGTACCCCAAGTGCCCAAGCTTTGTGCTCGGGGTTCTCTTCAGAGCACCCCACTCTCCATTTTATATTGGTTATTGTTTACAGAGTCCAGGAGTTGATTACCTTCCCAAAGAAGGAAGGTCCAACACCTAAGGCTCCAGACCCCTGAGATTATCTAAAGTCACCAGCCTTGGCTGGGTATGGTGGCTCACGCCTGTAATCCTAGCACTCTGGGAGGCCCAGGCGCGCGGATTGCTCGAGGTCAGGAGTTCAAAACCAGACTGAGCAAGAGTGAGACCCCATCTCTACGATAAATAAAAAGAAATTAATTAGCCAACTAATATATATAGAAAAAATGAGCCGGGCATGGTGTCACATGCCTGTAGTCCCAGCTACTCGGGAGGCTGATGCAGCAGGATCGCTTGAGCCCAGGAGACTGAGGTTGCTGTGAGCTAGGCTGACGCCACAGCACTCACTCTAGCCTGGGCAACAAAGCAAGACCTGTCTCAAAAAATAAAAATAAAAATTAAAGTCACCATCCTTTGATTTCTCTGTAAAGAGGAACTGGGTCTTTCACAAACCCCTGCTAGGACAATTCAATCCTTGTAGAACCTCACAAGGACTGTTTCTGGATGACTCCCTTGCGTGTCTGTCTGTCTGTGTGTGTGGAAGCGGGGTGTGTTTTGAAAGAGAAAGAAAAAGGGAAATAAACACTTTTCAAAAACTCTATTAATATACCTTCTGAAGCTGTTTCCCACCCCCCAAAAACACCTATTATATACCAGATAATATTGCACTTTTACATTATCTGATTTAATACTCACAGCAACTATGTGAAATATATACTATTACCCTATTTTTTGTTTTTAAAACATTTTGTTATGGAAATTTAAAAACAGAAGTCAAAAGAATCATACAATAATCCCCTTTCAGTCATCACACTACTCCATCAGTCCAGTCTGCAGCCACTCCTGTTTCGTCCATTCCCTTCCCACACTCCTCACACCGCCAGCTCTACTCCCCACTCTTTCTTTCCCGAATCCTGCATTATTTTGAAGGAAATTTCAGTCATCATGTCATTTTATCCCTCAAGTACTTAGGTATGACATCTAATATAAGTACTCTTAAAAAAAACTTTAATAAATATTATACCTTAAAAGTACCTTGATAATATCAAATTTCTAGTCCATTTCTAGTCACATTTCTAAATCCATTAGAATTTAGTTTGTTTCACTCAGGACCAAAACAAGGTCCACATACTTCATTTGGTTGCTATGTCTCTTAAGGCTCTTTTAGTTTATGGGTTTCCTACCCCTTTTGTATTCCCTTGTGATTTGTTTATTAAAGGAACCAGGACATTTATCCTATATAATTTATAACATTATGGACTTCGTCAAATCATTTTAAGGGTTTTATATTCGTTAACTCATTTAATATTCTCAGTGACTCTACAAGTAGGTTCCTATGATTCCCATTTTACAAACTGGGAAATTGAGGCTCAGAGAAATTAACTTTTTGAACCAAGGACTCAAATCCAGATCTGTCAGACTCTGAAGCCCTTTATTTCCCATGCTCTGCACAGCTTCTCATCTATATTGCTCCTCAAACAGGAATGATTCACTGAGATGGCAATGCAAGGGCTCAGCTGCAGGTGTGAGAGCTGTGTTGGCAAGTCCCCAGGACAGAGTGCCCTCTGTAGCAGGTGGTAATTCTCAGGCACCATCACATTCAAACCCTGCATTGTGGGCTATTCTACCAACCATATTTTATCCACCCCTGAGTTAAGAACTTACACAAGCCTTCCTCATGACTGGCCCTTTCTAGTGGAAAGTATGGCAATTAATTTTATTAACATTTTTCAGCAGGTAGGGAAGAGTCTGTAAGCTTTTGAGTCCAGCTGATTCAGTACCAGAACTCTTCAACTACCTTAAGAAGGATTCAAAGATTCCATTGTGAACAGCTTGCCACAAGGGGAAGACAAAGCTAGGAGAATTCCAGGGCTTCCTTATGAAAGCAAAATTGAGGAAATGGAAAGTAGAAAAAGTCTAGCTGGCCAGGAACAAGAGAAGAATGAAATGAAATCTACTACTGACCTATGAAGGTCTTCCTCTTGAGTTTTCACATACACCATTCTCCCATGCCCGGAAGGCCACTCCCCACCAAACCACAAACCTTCTTCTATCTCACCCACAACTGAGCTTCTACCCCCATATTGATAATGTGGTAGCTGTTTTCTTGTTGATTCTGATTAGTTGCCCTCTCAATCATAAGCACCCTATAAGCAAGGCTTGGCTCTATCCTTGTTACTTCCCCATAAGCAGTTCAATGGTTTCCCCCACCCCCAAGGTAGATATTCAGTTGTAAGGCGATACTCATAAAAATGCTGACTTATATATTGGTACCCAGTAAATGTTTCCTTAACTACTTACCTTCTTTAATAAGCTCTAAACAAACAAAACAAAAAAAGTAAGAATTGTAACTTTAGACTTTTAATGTCCACTTAAATTAAGGCTTCTGTTGCTTTGCAGCATAGATATGTTGAATATTTTGAAGAAGTGAAACGTTTCAACTTCTGGACTCTTCCTCCAATAAAATGGCTCTTGTTAAAAAAAATCATTATTTATTCAATTCATGGTAAGTGCTTTATGCATTATTGATGAATTGGGAGGAGGGCCAATGTTTCCACTATTTGGAGGGTTTTGCTCGTAGTTATATATACAGATGATCCTAACTCATAGCTGTTTTTTTACATATGTTTACACAGCAATCCTTGGCCATATGGCTAACTCTTAGATGTCCTTCACCTTCTCTTTTCCATCACCAAATTTGGGGGCTTTATCCACTTCCTTTCTATCCTCTTCTCATTGCTCTTCTGGCCTCAGGCCAGGATGGACTTTTCAGGGTAGAGCCTCTGATGGAGGGGAGAAAGACCCATGTACCCTCAAGACTGCTTGTTTCTCATAACCACCTCTAGTTTGGGTTCATCTTGGTGGAGGTGTCCCTGTATCATTTGCTCACCTACTCCTTTCAGAAGACCTTTTTTTTTTTCTCATCACCCTGGGCTTTTTCTTTCCCCTCTCTCTTCCATATGTAACCCTCTCACCCCCAGCAACTCCATCAAGATGTGTTAAATACCCAAACAGCAAATTAATTTTATTTGTTGCCACGTAACTACTGAATGCCTGCTCTTAGCTAGGCCCTGTGCTAGTGCTTCCCTGCCAGTAAGGAGTCCCTGGGTCAGTAAAGAAGAAAACTAAGTACATAGATAAAAAGCCGATCACAGCATTGGGGGGGGTACACAGTGTTGGGGATATCAAGGAAAGCCTCCTAAGGGACAGCACTTTGTTCCTCCTTACCTGAATCTACATGAAAATGGAAAGGGTTGGGAAAACACAGGGCTCTGTGGAGGTGTCTCTCAGCCCCCTAGTGGTTACCAAGTATTACCAGTAGTAAAAATCCCTGTAAACTTCAAAATTGCTGACTATTTGCCTGCTTCCAGAATGTCAGGGGAGAGAGAAAGCTATAGCTGGAATCCACCATTGCCCAGGGAAGCAAGAAAATCAGTCAGGCTATCCATCTATGGGACTCAGAGAGAGTCACCTCACTTCTGCCCCTCACATCCTACCCTCAGGGGATATGGGAAAGCAAAAGCAGGAATGTCTCAGTGTGGAGAGGATGGGACCACACCACTCCCACTGCCAGAGAGGCAGCAATGGGGTTATGCTTCTGAACTCCTAAAGCAAACCTCTTGTAACAGGCGGATTGTGGACCGTGAGGAGGTACCAGCATACTGGTGTCCACCCAGACAGCCTAGTTATTTTTAGTCTTCTAAGAAGGCACACAAAATAAGATCTAGACATATTTTCTTTAACATTTTGTCCAACTATTCAGAAATACAAGAAGCCTTTAAAATATAAATTAAAACTGCATTGTCAAAAATATGACACTTGTTCATTAAAATGTAAAATGCTTTTAAAAATTATTTGCACATGTTTATTTCCCCCACACATACCTCCACTACCTCTTGATGGTGGTGAGGAATGTTAATGGATTATCACAAACCGATTACATAGGTTTCTGACTTCTGAAAACAAACTTCAGCCCGGTAGCATTGTTTCCATGGGAAATTTTATCTGGATTTTCAAACAAACAGCTGTGCAGGAAGACCCTTGAAACACCCCACCTGTTCTTGCAGAAGACTGCCTGGGTATATAATGAGCAACTGTTTTTGAAAAGGCTTTTTAGACTGCAAAGTCCTCTCCAAAGTCCATTCTGACTGCTTCATGAGAAATGTGTGAATTAAGAGGGATAGAGTTGTAGTGAGTCCAGTAGCTGACCTCGCCTGGACCCCCGACTATTGTCAGACTTCCCAAGGGTAGAGGTGCCAGGCTTGGTCAGCAGGTGGTAGAAGGTAGCAGACAGCAGACCTTCCTTTCCACACTCAGTGGGGCCCAGCAGGAAGAACTAGGTTGCTTTATTCTGCAGTGTGAGTGGCAACATAGTCTGCTGTTGGCGCAGTTTCTCCCACGAAGAAATTTAAACCCAACTATAAAACCAACTTAGTGGTATGACAGCTTGTATTATACTTGAGTGTATACTCTGCCTCAATTTCCTCTTGGTTAACAGTAAGAATAGCAGTATCTAAACAAACCTTTGTGAGTATTAAACTATTCTATGCAGGCAAATAGGCATTTAATCTAATGAAGTTTTAATGTACTTCAACTTCTGTAATATGAACAGTGAGAATAGAATTAGTGTTTCAAAATTCTAAGCTTAAAAATGTACTTAGTAAGTTCTACAGTTTTATATGTTGTCTCAGTCTGATATTATATCCTAAGACTGTGACTTTTCTCTTATTAATATTTTGAATTTTATTTAAACCCTATGGTGGTGACATTGTTCAGTTAAAAACTATAAGGTGCAAATCTCAAGAGCAGAGGAACTAACCCAAATTTGTGAATATTGCAGATGAAGTCTAGTAGAGAATTTCATGGGCTTGATTTCCTAGTCTCAGGCTAACATAATATAGAGGATTTTAAAAGTCCAGTCTGAGATTCTTCATGAAGACTTCCAGACAAAACACTGAGGTGTGTGCGACCTAAGCTGTCCAGTACTGTGTAGGTCTAGTCTCACAGAGCAGACTTAATGAGGGCTATATGGCAAGTTAAAATTCTTCCTGCACCCATGAAAATAATCAGACCAAACCTAATGAGACCACTCTTAATAGTCTTCCTTTGAGATTATTACCATAAGAGAAAGGGGATAGATGTGAAGACCACCAGAAAAAAGTATGAGAAAGACTTGGACATGGGTAATATCTTGTTTAGTGTACCCTTCTGGGTTTATCTCTGCCTTTCCACCTTTTATTGTCTTTGAGCTATTTTACAATTTTGGAAGTTGTAGAAAACTGATATTAAGGCAGATACAGTAGTCCTCCATTATCTGTGGTTTCACTTTCTGGGTTTCAGTTATCCATGATCAACTGTAGTCCAAAAATAGGTGACTACAGAACACTAAGATATTTTGAGAGTCAGAATACATTCACATAACTTTTATTACAGTATATTGTTATAATTTTTCTATTCTATTATTTTTGTTAATCTCTTACTGTGCCTAATTTATAAATTTTATCATAGATATAGCAAAAAATATAGTATATACAGGGTTCAATACTGTCCGCAGTTTCAGGTATCCACTGGGTGTCTTAGAATGTATTCCCTGCGAATAAGGGGGGACTACTGTAATATTTGTCCATAGAAATGCAAATTAGTTGTGTCCAGTGGAATGCAATTGATTATAAACCCATTTTGGCAAATGTTAAATTGTTTAAAAATGCAAAGTACAAAGCAGTGCTATGATATGCAACTATTTCTGTAAAACAAAAGAGGGAATAATATGTTTTCATATTTGTGTGTATTTACATATATAAAACCTCTTGGAGAATATATATTCATATTTGCTTGCATATGCATAAAGATAATATAGTGGCTACATACTCAGCTGAGGAACTAAACGGGGAGAACTGGTGAGATGGAGAATTTTTGCTTCATGTCTTTTTTAGTTTTTTATTTTTAAATCATGTAGATATATTTAAATTATTTTAAAGTGTTTACATGTGTAGGAATTTAAGCTTATAAATCAATGCTTTTTTCTTGTCACGTGATAAGTATTTGACTTAGTTTAGTTCTGCATTTCACAGCTTTCTTGCAGACAGCAATAGAAAGTAGTTCTGCACCTGGAATGGGACAGAGGGAACTGAAGCAAGAAACTGTAATTCTTAAAGACAAACTAACAGCCTAGAGTTAGTGAAAACAAAATTAAATAAAAAGAAAACAAACAATATGAGACTAGCCATCAAGAATATTAATACATTATTTTATTCAAATATTTTTTAAAATTCTCTACCTTTTGTGCATATTTAAAGTGATATATGCAGAGTTGAAAGGAAAGCAATAAAAATTAATTGGAGTCTTAAGAAACTAGTTCTTTCAGACAATGCTAAAAAAAGTGGATCATTTGAATTGAAAAGGGACAACAGACCATTTGTCTATACATATATACTAAACACTACAGGAATGTTTGGATTTAACTATCCTATATTTTCCTAGAGATTGCATTAGGAACTGGACTTAAAATAGGGCAAGAACAATTTGGACTCCAGTATTTATTATTAAGAATCATCATGAGGTGGCAAGGTGACTCATGCCTGTAATCCTAGCACTTTGGGAGGCCAAGGCAGGAACATTGCTTGAGGTCAGAAGTTTGAGACCAGCCTAAGCAAGAGCAAGACCCCATCTCTACAAAAAAAAAAAAAATTAGCCAGGTGTGGTGGCACATGCCTGTAGTCTCAGCTCCTCAGAGGCTGGGCCAGGAGATTCGCCTGAGCCCAGCAGTTAGAGGTTGCATTGAGCTATGAAGACACCACACATACTCTAGCTGGGGTGACAGAGTGAGACTCTGTCTCAAAAAGAAAAAACAGGCCGGGCGCTGTGGCTCACGCCTGTAATCCTAGCTCTTGGGAGGCCGAGTCGGGCGGATTGCTCAAGGTCAGGAGTTCAAAACCAGCCTGAGCAAGAGCGAGACCCCGTCTCTACTATAAATAGAAATAAATTAATTGGCCAACTGATATATATAGAAAAAATTAGCCGGGCATGGTAGCGCATGCCTGTAGTCCCAGCTACTTGGGAGGCTGAGGTAGAAGGATCACTCAAGCCTAGGAGTTTGAGGTTGCTGTGAGCTAGGCTGACGCCACGGCACTCACTCTAGCCTGGACAACAAAGTGAGACTCTGTCTCAAAAAAAAAAAAAAAAGAAAAAACAAAACAAGAAACATCATGATTAGAAGTCTGAAGAAAGCAACATATTAATATTAGGAGAAGGGTTGCAAGTCACCTTCCCTAAATTTTTTTTCTAGAAAGGTGAAGTGATGAGATTCTAAGTCTTACAAGCAGAACTATATATCTTTTTTTTTTCTCTCTAGTGTAAGTTCTGCTTTAGGAGACAGGATTGGGCTTTTGAAACCTTGTTTCTCGAAGACAAAATCTATGCAAGACCAAATGATTAAACATTGACACATTGATAGGTGGGATAATATTTTTTCTTTTTAATCCATAATGTTAATTGGCGAGGCATTTTGATCTTTTCTCTAAACAGCCTAACTTCTTAATTTCATTTAGGACTCGGAAGGGGCAATGGACGTGATTTAGCCATGGAAATGATAATGAAGCGAAAGAAGGTTTTCTCCCTTTCGTCTTCTAAAAATGCTAGGGTAAGTAAGAGAAAACATGTGAACTGAAAGTTCTGGTGTTTGTTTTTAAGCTCAATATCAAATCGGCATTCTGACCTCCCCAAACCATCACTCATCATAACGAGATGCCATGCTGCTTTCTGGTTACCATCCAGCTTGGGGGCACTGAAGGTTTGGATGCAAACCAAAGATAAATTAACCTCATTGTTCAAAGTAGTTTTTTCAGGATACTTTCCAGAATATATTTTAGTGGAGAGTGTTACTTTGCCTTTCACTTTCCCACAAATGCTGAGCATGTTCCCAGGAATCTATCAAGTTTTTTAATTCACATATCTGGTCATTATAGGCATATTCTGTTCTTCTGGGTCATTTTATCTTTTATTAAATGATTCTAAAATTTTAGCGTTCATGAAAACCAGCTAGGAGCTAGTAAAGATGTACATTCCTAGGTTGTACGAATGTATGATTCATGAAACTAGAATCAGGCCCAGGAACCTGTAGACTTAGAAATGTCCCAGGTGATTCTAACTCAGGTTCTGTGAGATGACACTATGAGAAATAATGCAAGAGTGGGAGGAATCTCTTTATCCAAAGTAATGTTTTGCTAAAATGAAGAAATGCCTCAAACTACAGACCTTTTCTAAAACAATAAGAAAGCTTCCTTCATGGGTCTAAGAACCATAAACTTTTATAATTTCCTTCCAGGCATTTGCCTCAAATTCTCCCATTACCAACCCTATTCCCCTTCCCCTACTTTTTTTGTTGTTGTTGTTCTTTCCTAAGTGAAGGCATTTGCCAAGGCCTGATCTTTGGCTTTGTATTCTTATTGCAGCAAATACTCTATTCTTGGTTATGCTCACCCATTCTGCTTCTTTAAATTATTTGTTCTCTCATTTACTGAACAGATATTTATGAACATCCACTGAGTTCATGGGCAGTCTCCATTCCAACAATTCAAACAAATTAGTCAATCCAAATTTATCAAATGAGCTTTTCCTCTGCTTCTGCAAATGGCACCAGCATTCTCCCACTCGGGCCTCAAAATTTCATAGTACCTTTGATTCTCTCTTTGCCTTGGTCCTTTAATATGCAATTAGTCACCAATTCCTGTGGATTATACCTTTGAAATTTTTCTTCACTCTCCCAACCTTTCTGTTCCCACTGCCACTACTTAGTTCAAGATCTCATTTGCTCATCCCTAGATTTCTAAGATAGTCTCGTTCGCTCTTTCTTTCTCCATATACAGTGCAGTATAGAGAGTCCTAAAGTATGCATCCTGAAATAATTGCTTGCACTGTGAAAAGCTGTAGCTAGAGCAGAAGACCTGTGTGCCCGTGGTCAAAATCAGTTACCATCTGTGGCTCAGCATCTTATTTATAAAATAAATATCATATCTCAAATGTTGTGGGAATTAAATTAGATAATATATGTGAAGTTGCTTTGTGAACTGTGAATCACTAAACAAATGTTAACCATAAGGCCATTTTATCACATAGAAAGTGTCCCACTATATTGTTCAGCAACTTCACTCTTATTTCCCTGGCTTTTGAGCTCTCAAGATATAATAGCCCTCTCAAACCAAGCTAATTTCCTTCACACACGCAGTCTTAATCATACAGCTTAACAATTATATACCATTCTACATTGTTCCTTATGTGTACAGATCCCTGAAGGGACCAACCAACTGAGTCTGCACTTTCTTTTGTGTTTTTCACAGGGCCTAGCATAGACCTTCAATATTGTGGGTGTCATTATTTTCCATGGTGAATCTATAACAAAGAAATACTTAGTATAGCTTCAAAGTCATTCATTCCAGAAACTTGACCTATCTTTGGTCACTCCATCCAGCAGCCTGCAATGGACATGGCCTATGATCCTATCAACAAATGCAATATTCTTAATAAAACATGATGAGTTATGCATTGCTTTTTGAATGTCAATGCCAGCTTTAAAATTGAGTTTCTTAGTGTATTCTCAAAAGAGGCCTCAACATATAAAAATCAGATGACATATTTACAATAATAACATTTAGCAATAATATTTAATTGGCTAAACTCTAATAGAAAATTGAATACTTTACTTTTCAAAAGTGCCCCACAATAACCCTCAAACATCTTGGCCTTTAAAAAATATAAACAATAATATTTCAACTTTATAGAAAAGATTAATATTTCTATATATACATGTAGTGATTGGGCTATGAGACCAGAAGTACTTGATAAATATAGGAAGCCTTGATAAGTGAAAATGAACTTCACTGTTATCGTCAGCTGAATTCCATGTGTTCCAAATTATAGTTCTGAATTCCATGTGTTCATTCACAGATTTTTCATGACAGTGAATCAAACAGAGTAATGATATTTCCATTCAACTGCCCACTTCTGTGCGAAGATGTGAACATGCAGTTTTTCATTGGCTCCGTGAGTAATCAAGAAACTGCTTCTTCCAGTTGTCATTGTCTGGTGTTTTGAATGATTTTGGTTTGGAATTTCTTTTGTGACAGTTTCTAACAAGGGAAATAATGGATGTTAACCCTTGGCCAGGGAGGGGTAGGAAAACAACAAATCAGATCTATAACAAATTTCTTAAAAATAAGAACATATGTTGAGCCGTGCGCAGTGGCTCACGCCTATAACCCTAGCACTCTGGGAGGCAGAAGCAGGAGGATCGCTCAAGGTCAGGAGTTCGAGACCAGCCTGAGCAAGAGCGAGACCCCGTCTCTACTATAAATAGAAAGAAATTAATTGACCAACTAAAAATATATAGAAAAAATTAGCTGGGCATGGTGGCACATGCCTGTAGTCCCAGCTACTTGGGAGGCTAAGGCAGAAGGATGGCTTGAGCCCAGGAGTTTGAGGTTGCTATGAGATAGGTTAACACCATGGCACTCAGCCCTGGGAAACAGAGCAAGACTCTGTCTCAAAAAAAAAAAAAAATTAAAAAAGCACCATGAGATGAAAGCACTTTAAAAAATATTTAGGTATTTCTATCATCACCAATAATGATGGTTAATTATTCAATATAGCTACTCCTTGTAGAAATGGATGATGAGTGTTTTGTTTTCCCCTAATGTGGTCTCAAGATCTCTCTCTGGAGAGTAACTGTAAACTCTAGGCCTGCTCCAATGGATGTCAGGTGAGGTGGCCATGAATGTTTACAGTGTGCTTTTCACAGGATATTTCTTTATCCTAGTAGATGGCTTAAAGCCTGAGTGTCTGACCCATAACCAGGTGTCTCTCTCATAGAAAATTTGTTTATGGCAGACACCCTTGTGGCTCTTCATAGATTTTCTGTTTAGCACTATCTGAACCAGATTAAAAGATCAGTGTTTAAATTTATAAATATCTATCATGAAAAAATATATTTCCTTGAGAATTTTGATATAAACAGCAAGAGAAACAATAGCATTCTCTTAAACCTCCTCCTTTGTGTCTTGAGTGGATTGTTATAGACTGTAGAGTGCTGCATATTTAGTAGCTATAATTGAAAAATCTATAAAGGAATAAAGGAAGTAATTTTAATCCTTTTGGAATGATTAGTTCTTACTATCAATTTTACTATTAAAATAACCTTTTTTAAAACCCTGTCTTTTTAGGCATCTCTTGAACAACACAAGTGCCAATTTTCCTTTTGGTTTCATACGTCTTTTATAAACAATAGCAGGTATGGATATAATATAATCCAATGGACACAGTCTAATCTTCAAGTGTCTGTGTGTAAGGTGTAATGACAAGTCTTTTGCCAGTTGTCATAAGCTCAGTTTATAGACACCATAAAATCCTTGAGTCACCATTTTTCATTCCCTTACTCCTCTTATTGTGGTTATTTTAAAAATACAATTATTCTTGAGACCCACTGTTGCATTATCCTCAAGATCCATGGCATAGAACTGTGTTATAGGTTAAAAAGTATTATAATCGGATCTTGAGCATGATAATAAATTCCTCCCATGGAAGTTTAATATGAGTCTGCTCAGTGCCTTCAATATGGCAGGTCCTCAGTAGGTGCTGAGTTACTGATAACTGACCACCACCAAATTCTATGCTAAGTAAGGCGGGATGTAGGGAGGCTTCAGCTAGCTGAAAGCTGATTGACACACATATCTGGGGCAGAAGTTACAAGACACAGTAAGTCTTAAGGAAGACAGCTGGAAAATCATTAATTGATTGATAGTCTCCCACTTCAACATGACTTTCTAATAACCATATTGGGAAACCTTTTTTAAAAAGTAATTACTCACTGGATTCAGTGGCTCAAGCCTATAGTCTCAGCACATTGGGTGGCTGAGGCAGGAGGGTTGCTTGAGGCTAGAAGTTTGAGACCAGCCTGGCAACATAGTGAGACCCTATCTCTACAGAATATAAAATACATTGGCCAGCCATGGTGGTCCACGCCTGTAGTCCCAGCTTCTTGGGAGGCTGAGGCGGGAGGATTGCCTGCGCCCAGGTGCTTGAGGTTGCTGTGAGAAATGATGATGCCGCTGCCCTCCAGCAGCCTGGGCGACACAGCAATACCCTGTTGCTAAAACAAACAAACAAAAAAGTAATTATTAATTGGATTTGATTATTTTTATTCCAAAGAACCTTCTACCATATCTGGAAACTCATTCCTGAGTCTAGAAGTTCTCTTTAAAGACTGTTTGTTCTGTGGTGGTGAAAAATTGAGATTTTTGATATCACCATACTATCTGATACAAAAGGAAGAAATAATATTTTAAAAATCATTCAGGCCAGAGTTGAAGAAATGGTTGTGATTGTATGTGGCATGAATTAATAGTTATTATTACATCCAAACCTAGTCTTTTCTTCAAGTCTGAATTTGACCTAATAACTCCTCAAGTCCATTAAGGCAACCTGATCTACATACTTGTAATGCACACACATTTAATGGACTTTTATAAACTTTGGATTTGATGAAATAATTTTACTGATTTTTTTCCCCAGATGTATACAAACAATAAACTTTGCCTCATAACATAAGCAAAGTTCCTCAAATAGTGAGATCTGGAGCTTCATTTGGTGCTACTCCTCAGAAGTGGTTCTTGTTAACAGATGCATTTTTTTTTTCTTTAAAACACCATGTTCATGGTTATAGGTACAGTGGCTCACCCCTGTACTCCCAGCACTTTGGGAGGCTGAGGTGGAAGGCTTGTTTGAGTCCAGGAATTTGAAGTTGCAGTGAGCTATAGTGATGCCACTGCACTCTAAAGCAAGCAAAGTATCATGTTCATATTAGAGAAGCAACAAGTTAAATCACTTTTATATAAGTTTCTAAAGATTTGTATAACATTTAAGTTTACATACTACTTGGTAAAGCTGTATTTGTTAGTCATGAGATTGTTTAACCAAAATGCCAATTTCCAACATTTAAAAGAGACACGGTATTTTATTCCTGGGTTTTAACACACACCTAGTCTCTGAATGATTTCTGTCACATATAGAAATTTAGATATTTTATTGAGCTTGGATGTCACTGATTCCATAAAAGGCAATGTTAAAAGAATCAGTAACATGTGTTACTGAAGATTAGATACTTTGCATCTCACCAGAAAGGTGGAAGGAAACAACTGAGATACACAAAAAAGGGGCTGGAGCTGTAATCATGGTGCAAGTCCTTTTACTTAAAAACTTTACCAAGGCTGCCCCACTGAATGGCTTTTCAGTTAGCCCTAAAATAAAATGTAATAATTTTTTTTTCTGTTCTTAGGTTTTATCTGCCAAGAAATGAATTGGACAAAATCCATAAACCAAAAACATGGGAAAATTTTCCAGATGACTTTGCCGTAGAAATTCAGTTTAGGGAGCTAAAAACCTAGAGCTGTGTTGTAAGGCAAGCATCTGGTTATTGAGGACAGAATTATTATCTCCCCGTCTCCTTAAACATTTGTATATATATTTTTAGCTAATTTCCTTACTGTAAATATGTTCTTGTAAAATACATTAAATATATACCAATAAAACATCAATGGCTGGTTTTTTTTGTTTTTTGAAAGAACATACTTCACACAAAGTTTCCATCTTGTATTTAGACAAATTTGAAACACAATACACAGGAACATAAGGAATCATTTTGAAGAACTTTGAAATAGAACTCTCATATCAAAATAATTGAAATATTAAAAAATTGTGAGCCCCAGTACCCATTTATTTATATATTTTTGGACAACTATTTATTTTCTACTGTTTCACATTTGTAATTTCCGAAATCTAATTTCTATTTTCTTCCTCTACTTGATTTACAAACTGTTAACAAAGAGATTTGCAGTGAAGACTAGGTTTTAAACCCAGAGGAGAGAAATGTTTCACACAAGCAGTCCCCTGCCCCCCCCCCAACATACACTTTTCTTTTGTTCCAAGCACTACACAGGTAAACTACGTGACAAGCTTCCTTTAATTACACCCAAGCACAGGGAGGAGGCTAAGAAGACAAAGAATCTTCAGTAACTTCTGCTTTTGTGTAACATTATAAGTGACATCAAAGAAATATTTGTTCTTAAAGTAATCTAGATTTATTATTTTGAAATCCACCATCCCTGCTCACAACCAACTTCACCAGGCTTAGGGAAACGCTGTGAAGGAAGGTCACCTTTTTATTATAAACTCCGATCAGTCTTGTGTCCAAAGGAAATCATAATCATTTTATTTTTGGTATTGGGTGCTACTTTATTCTAAGTACCTTTACTGCCACTCTATCTTCAGGCCATGACTGTCCGTGAAAAGAGTTCTACTTTGGCTTTATTGAAAGTATCCTTATTTGAATGGTTTTCCTTTTATTAACAAGGCTCTCAACAATCTAGACCAAGGTGAATTCATCAGGAAATGAAAGGTAGCGACTAATAAAACAAGTATCTCTGTTAGAACACAGAATGCTCATTCCTGAAAAACCTTGCGCTCTTCAGAAAAATAAATGCTTTGGGGCAGACCTCTGTAGTTAAGCAACTTTGTATCTGGCACACTAACCACTTGGACCACCCAGGTGAGCAGCTTGAATGTCTGGAGGTTTCCACAGCAGCTTTTTTTTTTAAAATGAAGAAATACAACAATATTTTAGAGAAGGACTGAGGGTGCCAATGTGGCACAGACAGGAGTAGAGGTCCAAGCCATGGTGGGCACAGAAGGTGTCAACCTGCCAGGAGCCAAGAGCTCTGTATGGCTGGCTGGTGGCCTGGCTGCAGGTGCTTTTTATTTTTTTCTAAATATCCTTAAAAAATCACAACTGCCAGTGCAACAGCCCAACAAAAGCCTTTTTCCTTTACTCCCCCTAATCTGGCTACCCTCGGTGGAAAAGATCACAGAACATGATTTCAGTTTCCTTCCATGGTATTAATAATATTATTCCCTGTCATTCATGTTACAGAAATGTGTGGGCAAAATGTAGATTGTACTATTTTATTTAAAATTCACACAGCAGTAATCTACAGAGGACAGAGTACAGGGTGGGCTTATGGGGTGAACAGGGGAAAAATAGCTGGCCCAGTGAAGAGTGAGATGTGTCTCTTTTTTTTTTTTTCCATGAAATAAGTCATCTTGCATTATTTTTTTCTTTGTTTTATGTAGAGTTGGTTTTTTAGTGAAATATACATGATTAATAAATTACTAAATTGTCCCTAATTCTTTTTTTTTCTTTTCTTTTTTAATTCCAAAAGATTTACAAGGTATAAGTGTTTCCTTGTTAAATGGATGGATTGTATAGTGGTGAAGTCAGGGCTTTTAGTGCACTCATATTCCAAATAGTATACATTGTACCTGACTGGTAGTTTTTGGATTCCTTAACCTCTTCCCACTCTCCCCACTTCCAAGTCTCTGAAGTCCCTTATACCACCCCATGTGACCCTGTACACTCATCTTTCAGCTCCCAGTTATGAGTAATTATACATGCAGTATTTGTTTTGCCATTCCTGAGATACTTCAAATAAGGTTATGGCTTCCAGTTTCATCCAAGTTGGTGCAGAAGATATTATTTCATTCTTTTTTATGGCTGAGTAGTATTCCATGGTATATATGTGCCACATTTTCTTTATCCACTTATCAGTTGATGGGCACTTAGGTTGATTCTGTATCTTTGCAATTGTGAATTCTGCTGCCATAAACACACAAGTGCATGAGTCCTTTTGATATAATGACTTCTGTTCCTTTGGGAAGATACCCAGTAGTGGGATTGCTGGATCAAAAGGTAGGTCTACTTTTACTTCTTTGAGGAATCTCCATACTGTTTTCCATAGAGGTTGTACTAATTCACATTCCCACCAACAGTGAATAAGCCTTCCCTTTTCACCATATCCATGCCAACATTCGTTGTTTTTTTGACTTTTGAATAAAAGCCATTCTGACAGGGGTAAAGTGGTATCTCATTGTGGTTTTAATTTACATTTCCCTGATGATTAATGATGTTTAGCACTTTTTCATATGTTTGTTGGTAATTTGCATATATTCTTACAAAAAAAAAGTCTATGTATTTTTCCCACTTTTTAATGGGGTTGGTTTTTTCTTGCTGATTTGAGTTCCTTGTAGATTTTGGCTATTAGTCCTTTGTTGGGTATATAGTTTGAGAATATTATCTCCCATTCTGTAGGTTGTCTGTTTGCCTCTGTGGATTATTTCCTTTGCTGTGCAAAAACTTTTTAGTTTAATTGAGCCTCATTTATTTATTTTTTATTTTGTTATATTTGCTTTTGGGTATCTTAGTTATAAATTCTTTGCCTAAGCCAATATCCAAAAGAGTTCTTCCTACATTTTTCTCTAGAATTTTTATGGTGTCAGGTCTTGCCTTTAAGTCTTTAATCCATCCTGAGTTAATTTTTGTGTATGGTGAGAGATAGGGATCAGTTTCATTCTTCTGCATGTGGCTTTCTAATTTTCCCGGCACCATTTACTGAATAGGGCATCCTTTCCCCAGTGTATGTTTTTGTCTGCTTTGTTGAAGATGAGTTGGTTATACCTATATGGTTTTATTTCTGGGTTCTCCGTTCTGCTCCACTGATCTAAGTGTACATCTTTATACCAGTACTGTGCTGTGTATAATTTGTAGTATAATTTAAAGGTGGATAATATGATGTCTCCAGATTGACTTTTTCTGATTAGGATGGCTTTGGCTATTCAGGCTCTTTTTTGATCCCATATGAAATTTAGAATTGTTTTTTCTAGTTCTGTGAAAAATGACATTGGTATTTTGATGGGAATTGCATTGAATTTGTAAAGCACTTTGGGCAATATGAACATTTTAACAATACTGATTCTTCCAATCCATGAGACATTTTTCCATTTATTTTTGTCATCAACAGTTTCTTTTATCAGTGTTTTGTAGTTCTGTCACCTCCTTAGTTAAGTAGATCTTTCACCTCAGTTAAGTAGATTCCTAGGTATTTTATTTTCTTTGCAGCTATTATAATGGTATTGAGTTCTTGATTCGACTTGAAGCTTGACTATTATTAACGTATAGAAATGCTACTAATTTGTGTACATTGATTTTGTAACATGAGACTTTGCTGCATTTATTTTATCAATTCTAGGAGTCTTTTTGGTGTGGGCTTTAGGGTTTTCTAGCTATCAGATCATATCATTGGCAAACAGAGGTAGTTTGACCTCCTCTTTCCTGATTTGGATGCCCTTTCTTTCTTTTGCATGCCTGATTACTCTGGCTAGAATGTCAGTACTATGTTGAATAGAATTGATGACAGTGGGCATCCTTGTCTTGTTCCACTTCTTAGGGGAAATGCTTTCAACTTTCCCCTATTCAGTATAATGTTGGCTGTGGGTTTGTCATAGATGGCTTTTATTATTTTGAGGTACATTATGTATATTCCTAGTTTGTTGAGAGTTTTTATCATGAAGGGGTGCTAGATTTTATTGCATACTTTTTTTCTGCATCTATTGAGATGATTATATGGTTCTTGTTTTTAATTCTGTTTATATGGTGAATCACATTTATTGATTTGCATATGTTGAATGATCCTTGCATCCCAGGGATGAAACCCACTTGATCATAGTGAATTTTTTTTTTTTATGTGTGTTGCATTCAGTTTGCTTGTATTTTTTTGAGGATTTTTGTATCTATTTTCTTAAGGAATATTGGTCTGTAGTTTTCTTTTTTTGTTGTGTCCTTTCCTGGCTTTGGTATCAGGGTGATACTGGTTTCATATAATTAGTTAGGGAGGATTCTCTCATTCTCAATGTTATGGAACAGTTTATGGAACAGTAAGATAGGTGCTGGTTCTTCTTTGTAGGTCTATAGAATTCAGCTGTGAATCTGCCTGGTCCTGAGCCCATTTTTTTGTAGGGAGGACTTTTTTTTTTTAATGATTGATTCAATCTTGCTACTCATAATTGGTTTAGTCAGGATTTCTATTTCTTGATTCAAGCTTGGGAGGATATGTCTTTCCAAAAATTCATCCATCTCCTCTAAATTTTCTAGTCTGTGTGCATATAGGTGTAATAGTCTCAGATGATATTTTGTATTTCTGCAGTATCAGTTGTAATGTCTTCTTTTTCATTTCTGATTGAGCTTATTTGAATCTTCTCTCTTCTTAATTAACCAGTGGTCTGTCAATTTTCTTTATCTTTTCAAAGAACTTTTTAATTTTTGTATTGTTTCTGTTTTTTGTGTTTTTGGGGGGGTTCAATTTTAGTTAATTATGCTTTGACCTCTGTTATTTCTTATGATCTGCTAGCTTTGGGTTGGATTTGTTCTTCTTTTTCTAATTCCCTGAGGTATAACATTAGGTTATTAATTTGTGATCTTTCTGTCTTTTTGATGCAGGTATTTAGTGTTGTAAAATTCCCTCTTAGCATTGCTTTTGCAGTATCCCATAGACTTTGGTAGCTCGTGTCACCATTATCGTTCAAGAAATTTTTTTAATTTTCATCTTGATTTCATCATTGGCCCCAAAATCATTCAGCAACAGGTTATTTAACACATTAACTGCCATGTGAGTTGTATTTAGCTCATAATGATTTTGAACCTGGGGCCTCAGGAAGCATATGAAAACTCAATTCTCCAAAATAAATTCAGTAAGTTTGTCGTGAGTCACATACAACTCAAGTGCCAGCAGTGTAAATATTGATTCTAGCACCATGTGCATTGCATATAATTTACAAACAGAAAACAATAAAAATAACAAAATTTTTCATCAAATTAGAAAGGATTGTTTTCTTTTCAAAGTTGTTATTCTATTTTCATAATAAAACACCATGGGAGAAAAATATTTTTTTCTAGTGTGGCAGTCAATGTATTAATTTCCACATTTTTGTATAGTTTTGAGAGTTCCTCTTGGAATTGATTTTTAGTTTTATTCTGCTATGGTCTGAGAAGATACATGGTATGATTTTAATTTTTTAAAAATTTGCTGAAACCTGTTTTGTGGCCTAACCTATGGCCTATTTTGGAAAATATTCCATGTGCTGATGAGAAGAATGTATATTCTGCATTTTGGGGATAGAATATTCTGTAAAGGCCTGTTAGATCCATTTCCTACAAAGTCTCATATCTGCCTCAATGATCTGGCAAGTTCAGTCAGTGGAGTGTATAAATTCGTTCACTATTATTATATTGCTGTTTATTTCATTTCTTAGGTCTATTAATATTTCTTTTATGAATCTAGGAGCTCCTGTGTTAGGTCCACATATATTTAGGATTGTTATATCTTCCTGGCGAATGGATCCCTTTATCACTATAATAACCATATGCGTTGTTTTTTACTATTGTTGATTTAAAATCTCTCTTATCCAAGAGTAACTACTCCTGCTTGCTTTTGGTTTCTATTTGCATGGAATATTTTTTTCTACCCCTTTACCTTGAGTCTATTACTCTTTATGAGTCCAATGGGTTTCTTGAATACAGCAGATATTTGGGTTTTCTTTTTTTATCCATGTTGTCAATCTGTATCATTTAAGTGGGGCATTTAGACTGCTTACATTCAATGTTAATATTGATAAGATACTGTACCGGTCCTCATATTGTTATCCAGCTGCTTTGTAGTCTCCCTTGTGTTACTGTTTTATAAGAGCTATGAGTTTTTACTTTCAAGTGTTTTTACACTGGTATCAACCATTCTTTTTGGTGTTTAGAGCACTTTTGTCAGGTCTCGACAAATTCCCTTAGTGTGTGCATGTTTCTCCTTCATTTATGAAACTTAGTTTTTCAGGACGTAAAATTGTTGGCTGACAGTTATTCTGTTTACGAATATTAAAGACAGAGCTGGGCACAGTGGCTCAGGCCTGTAATCCTAGCACTCTGTGGGAGGCTGAGGAGGGAGGATTGCTTGAGGTCAGGAGTTCAAGACCAGCCTGAGCAAGAGTAAGAACCCTGTCTCTATTTTATTTTATTTTATTTATTTATTTATTTTGAGACAGAGTCTCGCTTTGTTGCCAAGGCTAGAGTGAGTGCCATGGCATCAGCCTACCTCACAGCAACCTCAATCTCCTAGGCTCAGGTGATCCTCCTGCCTCAGCCTCCCGGGTAGCTGGGACTACAGGCATGCGCCACCATGCCCGGCTAATTTTTTCTATATATATTAGTTGGCCAATTAATTTCTATTTATAGTAGAGACAGGGTCTCACACTCTTGCTCAGGCTGGTTTCCAACTGCTGACCTTGAGCAATCCACCTGCCCCAGCCTCCCAGAGAGCTAGGATTACAGGTGTGAGCCACTGAGCCCGGCCTCTATTTTAAAAAAATAGAAAAAATTAGACCCCATTTCTACTAAAAATAGAAAAAAAATAGCTGTGTATGGTGACATGTACCTGTAGTCCCAGCTACTTGGTAGGCTGAGGCAAGAGGATCACTTGAGCCCAGGAGTATAGGTTGCTGTGAGCTAGGCTGATGTCACGGTAGTCTAGCCTGAGCAACAAAGTGAGACTCTCTCAAAAAGAAAAAAAAAAAAGATTACTAAAGACAGGACCCCAGTCCCTTCTGGCCTGTAAGGTTTCTGCTGAGAAGCCTATTATTCTGATGGGTTTTCCTTGATGATTTCATCTTGCAGCTTGTCAGATTTTCTCCTTTACTTTGACCAGACTGATGACTCTGTGCCTTGGTGATGTCCTATTTGCAATAAACCTTCCGGGTGTTCAGTGACCATCTTGTATCTGGATGTCAGAATCTCTAGCAAGACCAGGGAAGTTTTCTTCCATTATTCTCTCGAATAGGTGTTCCATACTTTTGGTTTTGGCTTTTTTCTCCCTCAGGGATACCTCTGATTCTTATGTTTGGGTGTTTCATATAATTTCATATAATCCCATATTTCTTGGAGACTTTCTCTTGTTTTCCTTTTTTCTTTCCTTTATTTTGGACTAATTGGGTTAATGTGAAAGCTCTGACTCTGCCTGGTCTAGTCTGTTAAAACTTTCCACTGTACTTTGAAATTCCCTAAATGACACCTTCATTTCCAGAAGTTCTGTTATGCCTCTGTGTGTGTTATTTTTTTTTTATTATCTCTTTAGTGAATTTCTCATTCACGTCTTGAATTATCTTTTTGGTTTGTGTTGGTTTTCACTTTTCAGATCTATCCCATTGAGCTTATTTGTGATCCATATACTGAATTCCATATCTGACATATCAAAGATTCTTTTTTGCTTGGAGTCCATTGCTGCACAGCTAGTGTGATCCTTTGGGGTGTCAAAACAGCCTGCTTTTCCTTATTGCCAGGGTTCTTATTCTGGTTCCTTCTCATCTAGAATCTCTTCCTCCAGCTCAAAACAGATAGCTTTACAGTTCACCTATTCTCCTCTGTTGGGAACTCTGCTGCTCAGTGTAGAGGAAGAAGTATGCTGCATTTTGGCTCATGTAGGTATGTACCCACTGTGGTATTATGGCAATTTGATTGGACATCAGGTCCCTGGGAGAGTGTTGAGGTGCCAGCAGTGGACTACGTTATGTAATTGCCAGTTCCCAAGCCTCAGGATGCCATGCTTAAGTCATGGGGGGTTCAGACAGAAACTGAGCTAGGAAACTTGCTCTCAAGCCTCTGAGTTCACGTGTTGGCTGTGATGGTGAGGGGTCAGATGCTCTGCGCTTCTCCAGAATGCTCAGGCAGAAGGGCAAATGCACTGTGAGCCTGTGACAAAAGGGGTGGGCCCCTCTTGTCCAGATTAGCACAGGCAGGCAGCTGTGGGACACACAAGCTGCTCACACCTCCCTTACTTGGCAATGACAGTGGTCTCTGTCCTCCAGGGGCACAAAAGTGCGTAGATTCCCAGCTCCTACTCTGCCCCAGCTGCAGCAGTGGTAGAGGCAGCTCAACATGTTGTGTGCAGGGCTCCCAGACTGGGTTGGGCTGTGGCAGAAATGCCGCCACAGGGAGGATGTAGTTGTACCAGGAACTTGCCTCCAGGTAGGGTGGTCTCCGGGGAAGAGAAGGAACACTCATACACTGCTGGTGGGAGTGCAAACTAGCGCAACCTCTGTGGAAAGCAATATGGAGATACCTCAAAGAGATACAAGTAGATCTACCATTTGATCCAGCAATCCCATTACTGGGCATCTACCCAAAAGAACAAAAGATATTCTATAAAAAAAGACATCTGCACTTGAATGTTTATAGCAGCACAATTCACAATTGGAAAGATGTGGAAACAACACAAGTGCCCATTAATATGTGAGTGGGTTAATAAAATGTGGTATACCATGAGTACTATTCCGCTATAAGAAACAATGGTGATACAGCACCTCTTGTATTTTCCTGGATAGAGCTGGAACCCATTCTACTAAGTGAAGTATCCCAAGAATGGAAAAATAACCACCACATGTACTCACCAGCAAATTGGTTTTAACTGATCAACACCTAAGTGGACATACAGGAATAACATTCATCAGGCGCCAGGCAGATGGGAGGGGGGAGGAGGGGATGGGTATATACATAATGAGTGCGATGCGCACCATCTGGGGATTGGACATGCTTGAAGCTCTGGCTTCGGGTAAGGGGGGGCATAGGCAATATACATAACCTAAACATTTGTACCCCCATAATATGCAGAAATAAAAAAAAATCTGTAAGAAACAAACCTTTCACAAGGGACCCCTCACTTTGTCCCCTCTTTTCTCCTGGCCAGCCACCAACCCCTGGGGATATATTTAATCACTAAAAAAACTGAATACCAGCACTTTTAAATTCAGGGATACAAGCAAAACAGTGGGTAGATAAGAGGTTCCACAAAGAAATGGAAGATTCAATGAAGATCTACAAACCACTAAGAAATATTGACAGCTTAATAATCCCTTTCTTCTAGTTGGTTCTTAGAACTCCCACAGCCAGTTTATATACCCTCCTACAGGTGCCCTTGTCTGGAGTAACGGGGTTTCCCTATGAAGACCCAGTCTTCCTGCACTGAGGCCCAGTAGTTAAGTCCTACACGTGGACAAAGAGCTCCAATCAATCATCAACGTTCATAAGATATGAAAGACAAAAACTAATATGAAAAAAAGACCTCACAGGAAGGAGAAGGAATCCAAGGAGCATAAGGAAACTCCCATTTTTAAGAATCTTTCTCTTTTTGCAATAAGATTACAGTTAAGTTTACTCCTCCCCAACCTTCCTCATCTCAGAAAATTTTCTGGCAATTATGAGTTGCCACACAGTTTTGCTTACATAAATGAAACTTGTTTAGGGCCTCTTGGGGCACTGCTTTCTTAAAACCCAAAGTGAATAATTCTCTCAACAACTCAAGAGACTCACATCATAATATATCAGAATGATACCAGTTTTCTTAAATAGAATTTACTAATTTGGAATAGAATTATCCAAAACTTAATAGAAAGCAGTTTAACTATTTTTAAAAATAAAGGCAGAAGGAGAGAGAAATCTAGAGGGCATAAATTGCAGTGTATACAAACTTGTGTTTTTGTCACCTCACCTACAGTAAAATTGTTTTATGTCAGAAATTTTGTGGAGGAAAAACAATGCTTGTTGCAATAAAGCCAACACTTTGAAATACATAACTCTTTAACATTCCTGACAGTTTGTTCTTAGCATGGACATAAAACACTTACACAAAACTCATCATAGACTCAGATATTAGGTAAATAATTTAATAATGATAGACTTCTCAAATCTCTTTAAACACATTTCAAGTTACTATATTTTTGTCTGGAGTACAGATCTGAAAAATGGTACAAGTTGTACCCAAATATTGAACCATGAATTAAGCAAATAGAATGAAAAAAAAAAAAAAATGTCTCCTGACTCAGGTTTCCATTCTTCACTCCCACTTGCCTCAGACTATTGCTTGTTGAAGATACTTAGTTCACTCTTTAATGGATGACCTGCGAGAAGATCTGCTGCCAACAGGGCTAACTCTACTAGCTACTGAGTCCCAGGCAGGGGACCGTGGACACTGAAGCTGTCCACTTCTTGGTGGAAGCCAGTCCCATTTTCTATTTCGCTTCAATCCAGGCCTGTTTAGATGAAGCACCACTTGGTAGCTCCTGGCCATTTAAGTACACAGAGAAAAGCGAAGTAGAAAAGTTGTTCTCTCTTAAAGAAAAGGCAAATGGAAGACCAGCCATAGCTCTGGAGCACAACAGGCAGGACAGGCATCCCCTTCTCCCCCCACCCCACCCCCGTTTATCGGCCCTCTGGTTTCTCCAGCCTTCTTGCTTCTGGGCACCATGGCTGGAGCTGCCTCAGAGGCTTCACAGATAGCAAAAGCTTAAGGAAACTGGAGGCATTGCACACCATTTATATTCCGTCGACAGGACACACATGGTGTGGACTGTCACTAGCATTTGTTAGCCTGCCTGCCATCGGCTCTGCAGGCTGCTTAAGACGACTTTGTGTTCAGAGAGACCCTGTGGGTCTTGGAGCAGCACAGAATGAGATCGACTTTAGTAGTGACAAAAATGATCGATCCTCTTAGACCAAAGAGGCCACAGAACAGCTACCCATCCCCAAGTCTGTGGGTATCTGATGAACTGTGGGGTTTGGTTTTTTAAGTCACTGAATACGTCCATACATACATACAGCATGGTTTAATAAAATTGCTTTTCTTATGTCCCGTTGCTTTATAAAGTCACATCTCATATTCATTCATCAAAACTCACTGACTGCCAGTACCAAACGTAGAAGGCTCCGACACTGTGAAAGCATGGCACGGGGTCATGGACCCCCAGGTAAGGTTGAGGATGGGTCAGCCCTGACATCACTCACTGTGGAGTTCAGGCACGCAGTTCTTTCTAGGCATGACTGAGAGGAGGACTTCACCCACGAGTACTATCACTCAATCACCAAACAGGAAACAAAGGCTTCTCCTGGCTTTGGCACTTTTTATTCCTTGGAAGAATTTCCTGATTGGTGGAGGCAGAGAGGACAGTGAGTGGTCCAAAGTAGATTGATAGTCCCAGAAGGGCCAACAGAGCACCCTGGAGTCCCACTCAGGCCGGGATCCAGAGACAGAAATTACGAGTTGCTGTCAGCCACATGGGTCTTCATCAAAGCACAGCAGTACCACCAATCCCCTCAGCACCTTCACAACCTAAAGCCCAGCAGAGGAGCAGCTCTTTGGGAGAGAAGGAGGGAAGCTGTGAAGGCCGTGCTGTTTTCCAAAGGCCTAACCCTCTAGGCCACACCTGGCAATATTGTCAGAGTCTGGAATATGATCCCACCTAGAAAATGAATGGCACTGTTTGAAGAGTAGAGCATCTGGGGGAAATCCAAGGTGCCTACTCTGAAACTTTAGAATGTGGAAGCCACACCAGTATGAAAGTATATTCATTCTCTTAAAAATCTAGAGGGATATTTTAGTTTTCAAGCACCCAGATGAAAACTTTTTAAAACGTTCAACCACTGAGAACAGTACACATGTTAAGCAGACTTTTTAAAAGAGACCCTACATGTGGAATGGGTTAAGCAACCATTTATAACTATCTTCATGAAATGTGGTCACCTCTGGGCTTTTCTGGTAATACTTGAGATTAAACATGGAACCGAATTGTCTGTTTCCCTCATCACATAAGTGTCCAAACTGGACATACAAGTGCAGGTTTAGGCAAAAGCTCTGACAGAACTATACTCAGCTTTTCAAATTAGGTGCACAGGGCCCCTGGCCCCCCTGTATATTATACTAAGCAACAGCAACTTTTCTTTTACACTCATGGGCAAAAAAACTATATAATCTAAAATAAAGGTCCTTCCATAAAGTTTAAGATTTAGGGTAGAAGAAGAAAAGACACACACACAAAAAAATTCCCTAGAAACCAAAATAATTCCACGCTGGTCTTGTACTCCAGGAAACCCTGAGATGAACTGTAGTCCTCAACACCTGTGCCTGGGAACAGGCCCGCCAGGACACTTCAGTGTGCTTCCAACTGGCTCATCATCAACTTCCGGCTATACTCATAGGCCAGAAATAGTGCCCCATTGGCAGGGAACGCGCGAATCATAGTAGGCTTCAGTCCAGAATATAAGGCCGTTATTCCTAGAAGACAAAAAGGTGATCAAAGACTATGATGACCCCCTCCCTCCTTGGGAATGCTCCACACAGCTGCATAGCACAGGTATAGTTACACATACAGATTCACACAACAGCACTAAAACCCAAAAATGATGGAAGGACTTGGATGTCCAGGTTTCCCTAAAGAAGTGAACAAAACAAGGAAAAGTGTTGGATCTTCCTGGCAAAAGTGACCAATGTTCAGGTAACATACACCAAAATTCCCTGCCTGGTTAACTCCCGGCGTAAGGACGGGGCAGACTGGAGGCCTGACATGGCCAGACAGACGCAACCAGGGAGCCAGAGGTGGCAGCAGCTTTGCAGCTTCACCTGGGCAGCGGCAAGGACACCAACCTTGAAGCCAGAGACCTGTTTCTAGTATTAGCATTGCCCAGAGTGTTATGAAGATTGAATTAGATATGAAAGGTGTAAGGACTTTGGAAAACTATAAAATGTTATACAAACGTTTAAAGCAGGAGGTTGCTATTAATAACATGCAAGATGTCCGTGCTCCATTTGGGACACAAATTAAATGGTTTCTGTGTTACTGAACTCTTTTTAAAATGAAAACAGACAAGTTCATATCCCAAGTTTTAAATGTATAGCGGATGCTAGAAGGACAGGTCTTCAGTCACTGGTTGTAGAATATATTTAAGGAGGTGAAAGACCTCTACAGGGAGAACTATGAAACACTGAGGAATGAAATAGCAGAGGAAGTAAACAGGTGGAAAACCTATCATGTTGATGGGTCAGCAGAATCAACATTGTTAAAATGTCTATACTACCCAAAGTGATCTACAGATTCAATGCAATCCCTATTAAAATCCCAACATCATTTTTCACAAATGTAGGAAAAATAATTCTATGATTTATATGGAACCAGAGAAGACCCCATATAGCAAAAGTAATCTTAAGCAAAAAGAACAAATTGGAAGGCATCAATTTATGAGACTTCAAGCTACACTACAAGACTATATAACTAAAAAACAGCATGGTTATGGCACAAGAACAGAGACATAGACCAATGGAACAGAACCGAGAACCCACATATAAAACCATCCTCATGTAGCCATCTAATCTTTGACAAAGCAGACAAAAACATACACTGGGGAAAAGAATCCTTATTCAATGAATGGGACTGGGAAAATTGGATAGCCACACATAGAAGACCGAAACAGGATCCACATTTTTCACCTCTCACAAAAATCAACTCATGGTGGATAACAGACTTAAACCTAAGGCATGAAACTAAGAATTCTAGAAGAAAATGTTGGAAAAACTCTCATAGACATTTGCCTAGCCAAGACCCCAAAGGCAATCACAGCAACAACATAAATAAATGGGACCTGATCAAATTTAAAAGCTTCTGCACAGCCACAAAAACTACCATGAAAGCAAACTACACAACCTACAGAATGGGAGAAAATTTTTGCATGCTGCATCCAATAAAGGGCTGATAACTAGAATCTATACAGAACTCAGAAAAATTAGCAAGAAAAAAAATCAAACAATCCTATCAAAAACTGCACAAAGGACATGAACAAAAACTTTTCAAAAACGACAAAGTAATGGCCAACAAACATATGAAAAAATGCTCAACATCTCTAATCATCAGGGAAATGCAAATCAAAACCACAATGAGTGGCCGGGTGTGGTGGCTCATGACTAATCCTAGCACTCTGGGAGGCTGAGGCTGGCAGATTCTTTGAGTCCGGAGTTCGAGACCAGCCTGAGCAAGAGTAACCCCATCTCTACTAAAAAAATAGAAAGAAATTAGCCAGACAAAAAAATTATATGTGTGTGTGTGTGTGTTATATTATTGTGTTGTTATGTATGTATATGTGTAATATATATATATTATATATATATATATTATATATATATATAAAAATCAGCCAGGTATGGTGGCACTTGCCTGTAGTCCCAGCTACTCGGGAGGCAGAGGCAGGAGGATCACTTGAGCCCAGGAGTTTGAGGGTACTGTGAGCTAGGTTGTGCTGTGAGCTAGGTTGCTCTAGCCCAGGCAATAGAGTGAAACTCTGTCTCAAAAATAAAAAATAAAATCACAATGACATATCACTTATCTCCAGTGAGAATGGCCTTTATCAAAAAGTCCCAAAACAATAAATGTTAGTGTGGATGCATAGAGACAGGAATACTCCTACACTGCTTGTGGGACTGCAAACTAGCACAACCTCTGTGGAAAGTAATATGGAGACACCTCAAAAGCTACAAATAGAATCACCATTTGATCCAACAATCCCATTACTGGGCATCTACCCAAAAAAACAAAAGACATTCTATAAAAAACACATCTGCACTAGAATGTTTACAGCAGCACAATTCATGACTACAAAGATGTAGAAACAACTCAAGTGCCCATCAATACATGGGTGGATTAATAAAATGTGGTATATGTATACCATGGAGTACTATTCAGCCACAAAAAACAATGGTGATCTAGCACCTCTTGTATTATCCTGGATAGAGCTGGAACCATTCTACTAAGTATCAAAAGAATGGAAAAACAAGCACCACACGTACTCATCATCAAATTGGTATTAACTGATCAACCCTTAAGTGCACATCTAGTAATAACATTCATCAGGTGTCAGGCAGATGGGAGGAGGGAGGAGGGTACGGGTATATACACATCTAATGGGTGCGGTACACACCATATGGGGGATGGACACGCTTGAAGCTCTGACTCAGGTGGGGCAAAGGAAATATATGTAACCCAAATATTTGTAATATGCTGAGATAATAAAAATGTTTTAAAAAATCTTTATCCTCCTACATAATTCTAAAAATTGATAGCAAATGATCTTCTGAAATTGCTCGGTCCATTTCTGATTCTAGAAGTCTTAGTATTAAGGATATTGTACATTCTTTTAAATCCCTTAGTGGTACTGGTAGATCTCCTGATAATATCTGTATTATGGAGAACAGATAGTGCTAACTTCAAAGCATTTATTCCTTTAGACAAAGCCCATATTTTTAAAGTTCCCTCCAGGCTGTTTCAAACAAAGAATCCTAACAGGTACCTGGCCCAAAGGTTGAGAGTAAGTACTTAAGTAAGCTAAAGAAAAGAGTCTACAAACAGAAACCCACAAATATGGGCTAATATACAGTGCTACAAAAGGGTATGAGGCAGAGAGACTAGAGCAATTATACATCCAATCAAACTTCAACAAGACTGGCAGTGAAATGACCAATCATTCCATACATGCCTACTCCGTTTCTGCAATTAGCAGACTCACCTTCGTTTTTCACAACACTTATAAAGGTTCCAATAAATCCTGCCTGTTTTCCAGACATGGAAAGAACTTGAATTCTGGATTTGATACAATCCACTGGGTATACAGCAAGCCAGAGGCAAATTCCACCAACTCCGCCACTTAACATCAAAGGGACAGGGCCTAGAAAGAAAAAAATCACAAATGGTATATTGTCTCAAGAACCACTGATGTGACATGTGACATTTCCAGAGGTCAATGTAGTAACGGCTACAGGGAGGTGAAGACAGAAATGCTGATGCCACGGAACATAATTCTTTGAGGAAACCGTCAAAGCTCTTGACATCCAGCTCTAGGAATACAAGGTTTCATTTGTGTTCTTAGACCCAGCGGCAGACCTGGGTCTTGCCAGGAGAAGACATCCTTGTGGGTGTGACATGTAGTCTGGTCACCAAGGTACTGTGGCCCTCCAGCCCCCAGAGGGCTGGCCCTCCAGAACCAGCAGGTCTCCAGCAGCGTAGCAACACCTTAGCACGGGGCGTAAGAATAGAGGCCAATTACTGCCCTCGTCTTTTTTCAGCTTTCTCACTCATTTTAACACCCAACAGCCCTGATTCTTCCTTTGCCATTAAAAACAAAAATCACCTTATTGAACACAGCTGATAAGTCTGGGCGCTTGGCTAATCCTATAACAGATCCGACACACTGAAGGGAGATGGTTAAGAACAGCTCACTTATGTGAGCCAAACACTGCACATGGTTGTGTCAGGCAGCTAAACGGAATAAGCTAGAAAGAACCACGCTGTTTGCCGCTCTCAATGCTATCAAGATTTATCACCAAGTCTTACAATTATCATAAGATTATTTATCCTAGCACTCTGGGAGGCCAAGGCAGGTGGACTGCTTGAGGTCAGGAGTTCGAGACCAGCCTGAGCAAGAGTGAGACACCATCTCTACTAAAAGTAGAAAGAAATTAGCTGGACAACTAATATATATATATATACATACACACACACACACACACAAATAAATAAATAAAAACTTAGCCAGGCATGGTGGCGCATGCCTGTAGTCCCAGCTACTCAGGAGGCTGAGGCAGGAGGATTGCTTGAGCCCAAGAGTTTGAGGTTGCTGTGAGCGAGGCTGATGGCACAGCACTCTAGCCGGGGCAACAGAGTGAGACTGTCTCAAAAATATATATACATATGTGTGTGTGTATGTGTGTGTGTATGTATTTATCGGTGATTTCCCCATGGGGGAAGTAATCTTTGTATTTCTTCTCCCCTAAAATGAATTCAGAAAAATGTATGTTATTCCAGTAAAAAAAAAAGAGATGCACTGCTTCAGCTTCTCTTCTGAGGAAATTACCAAGCCTGGAGGAAGAGTGCTAGCCACTGCCTACCACCATGTCACTCTCCACTATCCAGAAACCTCCCCAGTGCCAGGTGGACCCCCTGTGGAGGCGGGACACAAAGAGCAGAGAATCTGCAGAAACCACACCTGTGGGAAGCAGACACCATCATATCCCACCGCTGCCAACGCAAACCCACTTACCTAGTTCATCTTTTGATCTCCCAGATGCAAAAAATGATCGGCTCAGTTCATAGCCACCAAAGAAGAAGAAATAGCCCGGTACTTCCCGAAGTAAAGTGCTGGAGAGTCCATGGTAGAAGCCCAAGGGGCCATCCTTTCTGAGGATACTCTTCACGACAGACCAAACTGTACTGGGAGGAGACACACAGTGAGAGACACTGTTACAGCAAGTGCGGAAGGAAGGAGGACAATTAATACTCATACCCATTTAACAGATTTGATCAAGCACTAGTAAGGAAGCAGCTGATTTTGTAAAAGAGGAACCAGGAATTCTGAGAATAAAAGGCACCCTTCTGTGTGAAGGAAATATCTCAGAGAAGCAGAGTTAGTTATATCAAGCTTTGTCACCTAAATTATTGGTTAAGAAATTTTATTAAAATAGACGCATACATTTCTAGAAGTCACATTATCAAAGATGTAAAAGCTAATCCCCATTTTTTTCCATAGTGAATATGTGCAAACTATAATTACAATAAGGAGTTGTAGAAACTCAGCAAGAATAAAATAAATAAAATATTGCCCAGTCCTTGTCTTCCTTGTTTCCTATTTCCTCAAACTTTATGGTATGTTTTCAGGAAATCTGTTCAGGTGTTTATAGAGTTTTTGTTTTGGTTTAGAGCAGAGAAATGAGCAAAGGAGTAAATATTACTTGAAGCCAAGACAAAAGAAGTTCTGAGAACTGAGCTACAGCTCTTGTTATACAAAAAGCACCAAGAATTTAATTCTCAGAGCAGCAGGGATGCAGGAGAACTTCTTTTAAGCAGATCAGAGCCCTGCTGCTGTGGCAGCTGGAACGCAGGACACTTGTTGTCTACCGATTCCTCTTCATGACAGTGGGTACCACGGCAGGTCTTTTCCCTAAGAACAGGGTGAGAAATTGCATGCTTGGCATGGACTAGTGTAGACGTCCTCAAACTACAGCCCGCGGGCCATGTGCAGGTGTTTTTTGCCCGTTTGTTTTTTACTTCAAAATAAGATATGTGCAGTGTGCATAGGAATTTGTTCATAGTTTTTTTTAAACTATAGTCCGGCCCTCCAACGGTCTGAGGGATAATGAACTGGCCCCCTGTTTAAAGAGTTTGAGGACCCCTGGACTAGTGAGTCGGTCTTTCCCCACTCTGTTCTCAGAGAACAGGTGCCAGGGCTTGGAGAGATGGAGGATCAAGCCCCAAGGTAATAAAGGCCACAAGCTTTGCTACAGCTGTTTCCTTCTGAGAGCGCCAGAAGGTTCCACCAGGTATTCCTCATCAACCAGGCCCCACCTGCAGCACCGCTGTCTGCAAATGTGACAGTCACCCAGCCCAACACAACTGACCTACCTTCAATCCATCTTAGCCCCAAGTACACCTCTGTTAAGAATGCTGCACCTCAAATACAAAGCCAACCAATATTTACTATTTACTTTCTTTCCAGGTGTCTGTCTGCCTAAGTCCTTTAATATAATTATCACTACCTTTAAATGACCTTAAACTACTTCTAAGGAACATAAGGGCAGCTTTCTGGGTGCTGTTAATGCTCTGATTATAAATCTGGGCACTGGTTACAAAAGCACATAAATTTCCTAACTGTTCACGCAACTGCACTTATGACTTGTATGTGTTTTGATGATACTGTGTGTATACTATATTTCAATAAAAATATTGAAGTCTTTTTAAAGACTTATATAAGTCTTCAAAATATAAGTCTTAAAATATGTCTTTTTAAAGACTTAGACTTCTTGGATTTCTAGGCAATGAGTATTAGATTTAAGGTGGTTGCAGTGAATCTCAAGGGTACAGAAAACAGGGCACAATTACAAACCCCATTCTCCCTGAAAGGTGACTGATAACTGATCAATTGATCACCTGGTTTTTTTCCAGTTACAGGCTTTGAGTTAACCACAGTAATATCCTTGACAGAAACTTCACTCAGCTAGATGTCAATAAAAATAAGCAAGTTTTGAGATTATAAGGATAATAAATTCCTTTTCCATTCAAATAAATCATTTTGTATATGACACATACACCCTCCCAGAGTAATGAGAATCTGTTTAAGACTAGCTGGAGAGTAATCTGATCAATGAGGAATAGCTAATACTTACAAGGGTTCTGATGAATGTTTTCAGAACTCGGGCCCTTTGCAGGTACACTTGAAGGATTGAGCGGGAAGAGGTAAAGTAAGTTACCTTAGGATCTTGGATGATCAGCCTGAATACCCATGTGCAACCTAGGGATGGGCATCAAATATGCATCTCAGAATCCAAATTGGCACTTGTGATGACTCAGCAGGTGAAGTGCAAAAGCTATATTCCTCCAAATGTGGTTGAAGATCATGCATTATGCACACAAGAGGCCAAAAGGGGTGTTAAGCTCCTGGCTTCTCCACTTCTGGGGCATTAAATATCTGCCTAAGATGTTCTTCGGGGTGGGTGGTGAGTGCCACTATCACAGACATACTTTCAGAGAATTATCCTCTGACTGATAGGGGAAAGTGTTCTAGAAATAATATTTTGGAGTAGATAGATATCTGTTTCCCTATCTGCCACTTAACTTTCAATGCAGTGTGAAATGAAAAAAACACCCAGTACACCAGGGCAATAGAGACCCAATGTTCGTGCCGGAGTGCTGCTTACTTCTGGCTTTGGGTTATCTTTCCCGACGTCTCCATCTCAAACATGGTCTGCAGCCGGCACTTCACGAGCTCTGTGGGGCACAGCACCAGCGCGGCAAAGGCAGAGGCGAAGGAGCCAGCAGCTGCATTCTGCAGATCACTGAAAGCACACAAGAACAGACAGCTGCCAGTCAGCATCTCCATGCCTTCAGCACTCACCATGCGGAGGGCACTTTGGTGAAGAACGGGCACAAGGAGCCCAGCATGGGGATGCATGCCTATAGTCCCAGCTACTCCGGAGGCTAAGGCCTGAGGATAGCTTGAGCCCTGGAATCTGAGGCTGCAGTGCACTATGATCACGCCACTACATGCCATGGCATGATCAGGCTATGTTGTCTCACCTGGGCAACACAGCGAGACCCCATCTCTAAAGAAGGAGTGTAACGATAATTGGAGAGAACTTGCACATGCTGTTTCATCTAAGGATCCCACAGCCCTGTGAGATGGACAGCAATACCTCAATTCCCATATGGGGAACAGAGGCTTAGAGACAACACATAATGTGGCCAAAGTCACACAGATACTAAGTGGCAGTGCTAGGATTCAAACCTAGGTCTGCCTGACTGCCACTCCCATGCTCTTTTTATTAGACACAATGCTAGGACAGTCTATAATAATCTGTCATAGCTGCCCAAGCTAAGACACACAGTAACACAAAAAATAAAACCCCCCAGAAAACCCTAAAAGAGAGGGGGGAAAATTACCCATAGTCCAACCACTGAAAAATATGCATAATTAATACTTCAGTGTACTCGCCACTAAGTTTTAAATAAAACTATGTTCTGAGGCCATTACTGCATGCCCTAATTCCAACCTGGAGCAACCAGATGTGCAACGGAACTCCCAGAGATGAAAACCCAGAATAAATTTTAAACCACACAGTTGCTTCATGGCAAAAAGATTTCCCAGCTCAGCTAATGACTCCCTTCAGCCTCAGCAACACAGAAGGCAAGATGGTGTTGCAGGGGTGGGTGATAGCATGCAAGCCTGCAAGCTCAGTGGCTTTAGGTGAAATGCCTAAACTGGATATTAAACTAGGCAGAAAGATGAATGCACACAAATACAAAAATGGAAGCATTCAACACTTCATATGGAACCAGAGAAGACCTTGTATAGACAAAGCAATCTTAAGCAAAAAGGACAAATTGGGAAGCATCAGTCTACAAGGCTTTACTACAAGACTGCAGTAACTAAAACGGCATGGTTTTGGCACAAGAACAGGGATATAAGACCTTTGGAACAGGACTGAGAACCCAGATATAAAACCATCCTCATATTGTCATCTGATCTTTGACAAAGCAGACAAAAATATACATTGGGGAAAAGAATCCCTAATTCAATTAATAGTGCTGGGAAAACTGGACCCCCACCTCTCACAAAAATCAACTCAAAATGGATAACGGACTTAAACCTAAGGCATGAAACCTTCAGAATTCTAGAAGAAAATGTTGGAAAAACTCTTACAGACATTAGTCTAGGCTAAGAATTTATTAAGAAGACCCCCCAAAGCAATCACAGTAGCCACAAAAATAAATCAAAATCAAATTTAAAAGCTTCTGCACAGCTAAGGAAACTATCATTAGAGCAAACAGACAACCAACAGACTGGGAGAAAATATTTGCTTTCTACATACCTGATAAAAGGCTGATAACAGGCTGATAACAAGTATCTATACAGAATTTAAGAAAATCAACAAGAAAAAAATCAAACAGCCCCATCAATAAATGGGCAAAAGACATGAACAGAAACTTTTCAAAAGATAACAGAATGGCCAGCAAACATAAAAAAAAGTGCTCAACATCTCTAATCATCAGGGAAATGCAAATCAAAACTATAGTGAGATATCACTTAACTCCAGCGAGAATGGCCTTTATCAAAAAGTCCCAAAACAACAATGCTGGCGCGGATATGAGAGATAGGAACACTCTTACACTGCTGGTGGGACCCATAAATTAGTAAAACCCCTGTGGAAAATAATTTGGAGATACCTCAAAGAGCTAAAAATAGAAATACCATTAGATCCAGCAATCCCACTACTAGGCATCTACCCAAAGGAAAAAAAGACATTTTATAATAAAGATATCTGCACTCAAATGTTTATGGCAGCACAATTCACAATTGCAAAGATGTAGAAACAACCCAAGTGCCCATCAATACATGTGGATTAATAAAACGTGGTATAGGTATACCATGGAATACTACTCAACGACAAAAAAAAATGGTTGATTTTATATTATCCTAGATAGAGCTTGAGCCCATCCTTCAAAGTGAGGTATCACAAGAATGGAAAAACAAGCACTATAGGTACTCACCATCAAACTGGTACTAACTGATCAACACTAAGGTACTCACATGGTAGTAATATTCCCTGGGTGCTGGTCAGGTGGGGGGGGTGGTTATCTCACAACTAATGGAGACAGAGTGCATTGTATGGGGGAAGGGCACGCTTCTAGCCCTCGCTTGGGTGAGGCAAAGTCATTACTTGTAACCAAAATGTTTGTACCCCCATAATATTCTGAAATTAAAATAAAAAAAAAATAGAAGCATTCACCTCATCTCACATGGGTTTAGTACCTACCACCAGCAGGGTTGAGAAACTAGAATCCAAAGGCATTCAAGAATGTGGGGGAAAGTCTGAGAAACGTTTCTCAGGCAATCAGAAACACGTCTCTGAGAGTTCATAGGAGTCAGAAAAGAAGATCCCTTCCAGCCTTAGCACAGGGCTTCACCGCAGGAGCAGGGCTGGCATCTGGGGTGGGACGATGCTTCACTGGGCAGGAAGCACTGAACTGGTCCTGACGCTCACCCACTAAACGCTGCCATCCTGCTGTCCCAGGACAGCCAAGAGCATCCTCACAGATTTCCAGCAGCCCCCTGGGTGGGAATCCCGTCAGCTAGCTACCCCTGGTAGAGCTTCAATCCCCTGACAATTTTTCTTCAAACTGTGAGCAAAAGCCCAATGGACCTACCACATTCAATAGTCCTAAGGTTTCATCGGCGTCAAAGACTAGCATAAAACCCAGGCTGTCTCTCGTTTTCCTTTTTCCTAGTGGTCTAGCCTGTGTGCCATGGACAGACGCAAGGGGGGTGGTCCAGGGGTGAATCCAACCTCTCACAACTCCAGCCTTTTAGAAGAATTGGCTAGCAGTGGGGCTCTCTTTCATGAGGACAGTTTGCAGAACGAACTTTCTTTTGACTTTACAGAATTAAACCTATGACCGTTAACCAAGGAGAGTCAGGTACACAAATGCACTTGCACATGGCTTTAAGGTGTGTAGAGACCATCCAATGCCATTCAGTCTGTTCCTCCCTCCTCACTTCACTCGTCCTCTGCTCATTTGTTAAAACCAAAGCTTAAAATGGTTTCTGCTTGCTGTCTTTCAGCCAGCCCAGATCTATATTTGGCCTCCCTTAGGGACTCTCTGTCAACCTGTTGACAGGCAAAAGTTAATTAGGGTCATTAACCAGTTTGCCAAGTTTGCCAGAACAAAGGTGGCAATTGATAAATGTAGAAGTCTAATCACTCTAAGATGTAGTGATGACTCAGACGTCTGAATGAACACCAAACGCATTATTGCAGCGCAAGGACAAGCCCAGATCAGATCTGCAGTGGACTTTGGCTTTCTAATAAATACTTTCATCTGCCAGGGCACAAAATGAGGTGCATGGGCCCCCAGTTGTACGCGTAGTATGAGGGTATAGAGCTGGAACTGAAATGGCAGGCGGTAGGCGTATAATGGGATTTTGTAAGAATGCACTGTTTGTCATCTATTCAGCAAACATGTACCTGAACACTCCTGCCGTGTAAGACCCCGTCCGGCCAAAGGTCAAAGTGGAATACCACTCTGGGTCATGCTCAAACTGGAAACAGACAAATATTTACCATGTGATTGCAGAAATTCATCATGGGCTCTCACAAGCAGTTCTTCCCTTGCACCGCTCTTGGTTAAACTTCTAAATCAGACCCTCACAAATTATTCCAGAGCCCCGACTACACTGGAAATTATTCCAGAGCCCCGGACTACACAGTCTGCTGGAAAGAAGACTGGGCAGGGGCTCAGAAGACATGGGTTTGAGTCCCGCTGGGTGATCCTGAGCGTGTCGACACCTACACCTTCGTTTCCCCGTTGGCGAGATGGAGATGGCACCTGCTTTGCTCCTCTCGGGACCCTGGCTGCAGCTACGAGGACATGACACTTGTGTCAGAGCTTTGCAGGCTCTGGGGCAGCGTTTCCCTAACAGGTAACGAGCAAACGCTGTCCTTCGGGATGAGAAAGAAAAAAGCCCCCATCTCAAAAGGACCGGAGTGCTAGGTTAGACACTGTCGAACAGGATGGTTTCTTTACTGCAGAACTTCCAAGTGTCTTTAACAAGCTAAGGAGCGTCCGTGCTCTGAGATAAACGTACCCAGAGTGATCCCTCGCGAGAGACGCACCACAACCTGTTTCCCAACCCTTTCTTAAAGACAGCCCCCGACTCGGGGCTCTGAAGACGACTCGGGGCTCTGAAGACGGTGTGAGGAAATGCAGCTGTATGGTATTGGATCGTTCCTCATCAGAAAAGCAATACGCTCTTGTCTGCACGCTGTTCACAGGCTAAGAAAGGAAAAACATGGGGAGGGGCAAGCAGGGCCTGATCCCTAATGGTCTTGCTCATGCGAGCAGGCAGAAGTCACCATCTCTGTCCTACACAGGGGGTCACCCTGCTCAGAGGGGGGGACACAGCTCCGCTCCCTGCCTTCTCTCCCCATCTCGTCCTTAGCTAGGGAGGCTGAAGGAGAACCAAATTCCAGGTCTCCTCAAATGGAACGTCTCTCCCTCAATGGGCAACGAGAAACTACGGTCGCCCAGCGTTTTGCTTCTTTTCAGATGCCAGGCTCTCTAGTGTATCCCCTGCTCATTTCTGTACTCCTTCCTCCCTGTCTGCCCTCCACACTGGAGGGCCGTGGCATCGGCGCTCAGCCCTTCTCCCCATCCACACTGCCTCCTTAGCCCATCTTATCTGGTCCCAAGCCTTTAAAAAACAAGTTCTGGCCGGGTGCGGTGGCTCATGTCTGTAATCCTAGCACTCTGGGAGGCTGAGGTGGGCAGATTGTTCGAGGTCAGGAGTTCGAAACCAGCCTGAGCAAGAGCGAGACCCCATCTCTACTATAAATAGAAAGAAATTAATTGGCCAACTAATATATATAGAAAAAATTAGCCGGGCATGGTAGCACATGCCTGTAGTCCCAGCTACTCGGGAGGCTGAGGCAGGAGGATCACTTGAGCCCAGGAGTTTGAGGTTGCTGTGAGCTAGGCTGACACCACGGCATTCACTCTAGCCTAGGCATCAAAGCGAGACTCTGTCTCAAAAAAAATAATAAAAAATAAAAAACAAGTTCTGTCCATCATGATCAAATTCTTGCCTATGAAAGGAAACATCTTCAGATCTTTAAGCACCTCCAGAGAACACTTCTGTACACAAGGAAACTAGTTAGTCATGCGGGACCTGCAGTTGCAATAGGGTTTCGAATTCCCATGGAAACCATCGAGACTCCCCTTTGCAACCATGACGCTTCTGTAATTGTAAATGATTTAGAATAAATCGATGTTCAAAGGAGGGATGGCGAAACATACCAGTTGTTTCCTAATTCTTTTTTGTCTTTGTACAGTAGTACCCCAGGGAAGACCAAGCACAAGCCAAAGTCTGATGCTTGGGAAAGACTCAGCCATAGAAAGTGGGGTTCATCTGCATTTTCTCAGATGCACCCAACGCTTCCTAAAATTACAAGTTTCTCCTCATTCTATTTGGCTCAGACAACCTCTCCCACTACCCTGCATTTTGCTGATGAAAGGGAGGCTAACACTTGGGTGGAAAGTTGCATCTCTGGTTTCAGCCCAGCCCTTCTGCCGACGAGAGCGGGGTCACAGGTCCCCAGCGTCCGGAACGCATTCTCCTCACCAGCGCCAGACCAGGAGGGTGGCTGCTCTCAGTGGCGGACTATAGGCGCGTCTCCTTTGTGTAACGCATATGGCTTTTCCTAGTTCTATAGGATGACAACGTGTCACTTCATAATCAAAAAGAGGGTAGTTATTCTTAAAAAGGAAATGTTCTTCCCTATTGGGTATCATTAAAATTGTGACCATACAACAGTGTGGTTTTTGTTTTTTGGTTTTTTTTTTAAACAAAGTGGTCAGTGTCCTGGACTCACCTGAGCTTTGCCTGCTTGTCCAATCCAATGACTTTCCGTACCACCTGTTGGCAGAAGCCGTAGCACATGAAGAGGACAGAGTTCTCAGCGATGTTGGCAATCAGCGCGGGGCTGGTGCCCTTGTAGAAGCCACGAAAGCCCACCTGGGCGTAGGTCTTCAGGCAACAGTCGGTGAGGCCCCGGTACAGGTCGGGGAACGTCTGCATCTTCACCTTCATGGTGTCGAAGGGCTGCCCGGTCAGGACACACGCTGTGCCCCCTGGAACCAGGACAGAAGTCCGCTTTAGTACGAGGCCACCGTTTCGTTTCAGAGCACAGCCTCAACTACCCACGGGAAGGAGGCACAGCCGCCTACCCCAGGCTTGCCCCTGCTTCAGTTCGTTTCGGCCTCTCTTCCCCTTCTAGCCGGGTCCAGCAAACAACTTACGGCAGGCCCTTAATGCTCACCGTGAAGGAGCTCGGGCTCAGCAAGCGAGACAGAGTCGAAGTGACAGGATGCAAAAGGCATGGCGTGTTTAGGAGCCCTGGAAATGGGGTCAGAGGGACCTGTGCTGAAGCCTGGCTTTGCTGCGAGATCCTGGACAAGCCATGTCACTTCGGAGCCTCAGTTCCTCATCCATGCCCACCTTACAGGATGAGCATGAGGAGTAACTAAAAGTGGAGGAGACGGCTTAGCTCAGTGCCTGCTACACAACGAGTGCTCAGTGGACAGCAGGTACTGCCAGCGTGAGAGAGACAAGGGGAAACCTGGGAGGAGTTCATCACTCCACTGTGCCTAATGCCCAGGGGGCTGGTGACAATCAGAACAGCAGCAGAGGACTGGACACCAGACAAGGAAACAAGGGGTCTCGCTGCTTCTTGGCCTTTTGACTAAGATCACGTGAAAAAAAGGAGTTTGGCAAACTAACCCAGAAGAGCTAAATATCTGACCCTATGGAAACACCTCTTTAATTTGAACTCTACCAATTTATGATTTGTCTTTAAACAGGGAATGGACTGAAATTTACTTTGGCTTAGTGTAACTCCTATACTTATATACTTTCATACCGTAAGAATATTAAATACAGAAAAGTCTAAATTGCATGAGATCGCGTCAATAAAATTCCTGTATGTAGGGAAGGAATGAACTGCAGCCACCCTACCATAGCCCCAGGGGTCAGCGCTTAGAGAACTGCCACAGGTTAATGTTTACCACCTTCCCAACTCGGACATCCCCTGCTGTGTTAGGAAACATTGTAACATCTAAAAGCTTTATCTAGACCAGGAGCCTTGGCTCATGCCTTTAATCCTAGCATTCTGGGAGGCCGAGGCGGGTGGATTGCTCAAGGTCAGAAGTTCAAAGCCAGACTGAGCAAGGGCGAGACCCATCTCTACTAAAAACAGAAACAAATTAATTGGCCAACTAAAAATATATAGAAAAAATTAGCCGGGCATGGTGGCACATGCCTGTAGTCCCAGCTACTCTGGAGGCTGAGGCAGGAGGATTGCTTGATCCCAGGAGTTTGAGGTTGCTGTGAGCTGGGCTGACGCCACGGCACTCTACCCAGGCAACAGAGACTCTGTCTCAAAAAATAAATAAAATCTTCATCTAAATGGAAGAAAAGGCTTCCACAAAATATTTAAGAAATGCAATTTCCTAACTTAGACATTTTACATTTACATTAGACATTCCTAACATAGACATTTCCACCTAAACTGTGGAAAGTAGAGATGGGAGAGGGGTCATTAAGAATAACCTCAAATTATTTATTGGCAGACAAATGGACATTCCAAAGAGTCTGAAAACTGCTTCTCTTTTTTAAACAACCAAAACTACAATCTCTACGATCCCATCACTATTGTTCATTTCCTCTAGGAAAGTCATGACACATTTCCTCTTTGAATTGCCAAATTATCCCCAATTCTGAATTACTGGAATGTAATGTAATATAATTTTACTACAATTCATTTACAGTCATTCTCTTCAAGATGGGGTAGGTAAAATGAGATCCACATTATATCAAAATAATTTAATTATTCCAAAAGAAGAGGTGACTCGGAATTTTTTAAAGTCGGTACATAATTTAGATAACCTAGATGCAGATAAGCTGAAAAAACCATTTAATTCAGCACGTTAATATTTTCACTGGAGGGTTTCTTTATTTTAACTCAATCATCCTGAATAGCCCAGACATCACAGGCTATTACAAGATGCATTTGCTGTACGACAGCTACACATCTAAGAGGGAGAAGGGGAAGAGTAGTGAATGTTGTTAACATGCTAGCTACAATCTCCTCCCCTCATCTGTAAAGGTGACACAATCACGGCACCCACTGTTCCCCCCTAAACTGAGTGAAGACTATTCTGAACACCAGCACCAACCACAGAGCGGACACCTAGCAGGCTCTCAAAGATCTATCAAGTCGACAAAGGCAGGAATAAATGAGAGGGATTAAATATTTCTCCACTGGCACAGAAGTCAGACTTCCGATCAAGTGAAAACATTCTTTAGGAGTTGTCACAGCCGGCCACCCATCCCCTCCTGCAGGAGAGGCACTCAGGCCACGGACAGTGTTTCGGGGGAGGGACGGCTCTTGGGGAGGGCAGAGGTGAACACAGAGATGCAGACTCACACCAAAAAGACCTGGTCGGCACTGCCCACCTGAACAGGGGTGAGAACCTCACACACCTCTGGACGCCATCGATAAAGGTTCCATCGCACATTCACAGGGCGGGAGGCATATTGTTTTCAAGATATTCCAATCAGAACAAGTTTGGAGGTTGTTTCTAATTTTGGCATTTGAGAGGATAAACTTCAATGATCCGACACACCACATTCCCCAACTATGCTAAATAAGGCACACGGCAACAGAGTGGTCAAAGTCGTGACCCACATTATTGCAGAGTTGTTAAATGACTAACTCTTAAAGTGCTATCAGAGTTTCCCTTTAAGACGGTTTAACTTTTGGGACCCATGTTGCCTCATTTCAGTAGTTATCCATTACCTATCTTCTTCAAATCCTTTCTTACCTGAACTGCCTAGGGCTCTAGCCTTTTCTGAATCTCTTACAGAACTGCAGACAGGGAGGAGGAAAACTAGCACAGCAGATGAACTGGCTGCAAACCCACCTAGTTGGGGAAAGCTTTGTTTAATAGAAAAAGGAGAGAGAGAGAGAGCACATTTACGCTCCACCTCCATCACCTCAGACCACGGCCAGCCCTGAGCTCAGTCTGATACTCCCATGGCTGAGCTGTGGCCACAAAACACTAGGGGTCCGCTGCTCCTGGCAATGGCTGGCAGGAAAACCCCAAAGCCCAGCAGTCTGTGTGTGCAGAGAACAAGGGCAGTGAAGACTACAAACCTGCCCTCAACTCTGGCAATGCTGCTGACGCAATACCAACACAAAGACAACGAACAAGGACCCGAGGTCCCGGGCCTGTCTTCATACCATCTAGCTGTGTAACCTTGAACAAATTCACCGTGCCTCTCTAGGCCTCTTTTCTACATACACGAGCATCAAAGCTGAGGACCTTTCAGCTCCATCATTCGGACGCTTCGAGATGCTCAAAAGTGGAACTACTACTTCCCATTTGCATTCCACCTGCCTCACAATCGAAAAAGAAGTACCTGTGTCACTAAAGGGCATCTCTTCTGCCCAGGCCGCAACCCACAGAAACCCCCAGCAAAGGGGCTTCTTGGAAGTTAGACAACCCATGGAAGCTCTACATCAGTGAGGGGCACCCCTGTGTTGCTAACATAAGGAGAAATACCTTCCCACATGACCAGAAACACCTAAGTGTCAGTATATATAGGGGCCCAATACATATTAATATTATAATTGTTAAAAAAAAAAAAATACCCACCAGCAAATGTCTTATACACCAGGCTCCCAACAATACCGCTGCAATTTACATCTTTAAAACCAACTGTAAATTATAAATGTGGCATCCAAATATCTGTATGCACACAGATTGGAAAAGGTAAGCTTTCTAATTCTATCACAAGAAATCTCAGATCTTCGACAGACTGATGGAAGGACATAAAACATCACAAGCTGAGAACCTCTCACGTGGTTAAACACCCTCCTAATGCAGAGACAAGCACTGAGCCCAGCGTGGTCACCTGCGGTAAGAGGCAGCAGAGGCTGCACCATTCTTAGGGTCAGTGTCCTCCGCGGTGGGAATGGGGGAGACGGGGCAGGGGACCCCAGGGGCTGCAGCTCACTTCCAAGGCAGGGTGAGAGGCTGACCCAAGGCATGCAGTAGATAAGAGAGCATTGGGCAGTCCCTAGCTGGCCTTCAGGTCCCCTGCTCCTGAGGCCAGGACGCTTCCATGGGCTCTGGCTTGGGAGGAGTGCCCTTGCCCAGCACTCCTTAATAACATCTCAACTCAAAACTCGCTGTTTCCAGCATTCCTCATTAGTCTACCTCGGCCGACCTTTGGTCATGGAAGAATACTTTGTTCTTCTCTGAACAAGGATCTCTTTTGCAGAATTGAGCAAATGACAGGATGAGAGGTGGCAGCCCCTTGACCACACTTATCTGTCGCACTGGGTAAGAGCATTGGGCAACACACCCCTCCAGATCCCCACTCCAGGAAGCTGCAACCACTGTGAGAATCGGTGTGGGAGGCTGGGCAGATCAGAGCTTTCCTTTGGACCATATGAGCATTCCAGCGCTCCTTTCACCTCTGCCCTGAGATAACACAGGACTGGGAAAACTAAATAGCACCATGCATTTCCAGTTCCCTCACTTGCCTTGAGCCAAGGTTGCTGCTCTTCCTGCACCTTCAAGGTAATCTTTCTACAGAGCAGTTTTCATGCTGCCTGCACTGCCTGGCAGTCTGCCCTCCGGCTCAGGCCCCTGTCTCAGCCTTGGCCCACCAAATCCTACCTCCTCTCCACTCCTTTCATGGCTCTGAGACAGTCCACTATCAGCCTCATTTCTAAAGACATTTCTAAAAGGTGTCCTTTCTTTCCCGATATGACTAAGAAGAGTGACTGGTGTTTCCCCCACCAAGACGGCACGGTGTTATTTTTGCACTACGATGGTTCTGAAGGCTTGAGGTCCCACATCACCTCTTGGTATGACCCAGCCGTATGACAAAGAACAAGAGACTTCATCTCTGAGCTGTTTTCCAACTGCACTGGGGACATTCCCACCCATCAACCCTGACTCAAAGTTTCAATATAACGAACACCACTCTACCTTCTGCCATGCTCTGAACGGTATTATGCTGCCATTAAATAGATTCGTTCTGAAGTTAAAGGATATTGCTTCTGGGGGGCAAATGGTACTATTTTCATATCACTTTCACTTGATGTTGCTTAGAAGATGCTTGAGGACCACAGAGGACTGGGTTTTCTCTGGGATTACAGTCATGTGTTGCTTACTAACAGGGGCACATCCTGAGAAATGTGTCGTTAGGAGATTTCATTGTTGTGTGAACACCACAGAGTATATTTACACAGATCTAGATGGTGTGGCCCAGCGGTCCCCAACCTTTTTGGCACCAGAGACCAGTTTCATGGAAGACAATTTTTCCATGGATGGGGTGGGTGGGCAGGGAGCTCAGGCGGTGATGCAAGCGATGAGGAGCAGTTGTAAATACGCTCACTCGCCCACTGCTCACCTCCTGCTGTACCGCTCCCCAGTTCCTAAGTTTCATGGAAGACAAATTTCCCACAGTAAGGGATAGGGTCTGGTCTCTAACAGGCTGTGGACTGGGGGCTTGGGGACCACAGGTGTAGCCTACTTCACGCCTGGGCTCTATAGCCTATTGCTCCTAAACTACACATCTATATAGCAAGCTACTACACTGACTACTGTGGGCAGTTATAACACAATGGTGAGTATTTGTACATCTAAACATATCTAAACATAGAAAAGGTACAGTATAAATAAGGTATAATGGTATGGGACCACTGTTGCATATGCGGTCTGTTAACAGAAACATTGTTATATGACACATGACTGTACCTGCAGCCCCTGCAGTGAGGTCGATGGCAGCTTGGATGGCAGGATTGGACTTCATGTTTGCCCGCTCCTCTGCTGGTCTCTGTCGAAGGTGCTCTCTGGAGCTTATGACAGGCACTGCATATCCCTGGGAGGAGGCAAAAATGCACCAATTAGTCCAGCCTCTCATGCTCTGACCCAGAGCCCAAGTTACCGAACCTGAAGTTCTGGAAGCCAGGAAATGGGCTCTACATTGCTCCAAAGGAAGGGGGCTCAAAGTGTCAGCGCAGATTAGTGATTGACCCCCCCCAAAACACTCACAGATCAAAAACCTGAGTAGCAATGCTGCAGCCACCAGCAGCACGTCAGCCAACCTTTCTGAGAACCTTAAAAATCAACACCAAGTTAATAAGCCAACCACAGACTTCCTAAACCACATCAGAACAGGTTTGCAGAGGCCTAAATGGAACTATCAGTCCAACAGGCTCAGTTCTCAATTCGGACTGCAGCCTGTGCTGGGTGTCACAAGATAGCAGGCCTGGGAGGACGCAGGTAGAAAAGGTTAGGCGCGCCAAGTCACACGAACCTGGGTGTGAATGCCTGTTCCACCCTTGGGCCTCTAAAGCACAAGGTGAAAAAAACATCATAATACAACGGCAATTCCCATGTGGAAATAATGGGATGCTCAACTGGGCACAAGCATCACGTGCTCTCACAACAAGGCCCAGCACAGAACACCGTGTTCCTCTCACCAGAGTCCACTAACACAGCTCAGCCTTAACTGTGCACAAAGTCACCTGGGGGGTCTTGTTAAGAGGCAACTTCTCATTCAATAGGCCTCAGAGAGGACCAGAGAGTCTGCCCGTCTTGACAAGCTCCCAGGTGAGGCTGATAATGCCAATCCACACAACCACACTTTGAGAGCAACACCTGGGCCACTGAATCCCAAATTGGCTTAATAAAAATCACACATTCAAATTACTGGGCCTTTCTTTTGGAAATCTTGTTTCAGCGTTTGGGTTGGAATTCAGGGAGTTTGAGCAAACTAGAATCTACTCCTCAAACTTTAGACAAAAATCAACCATCGCCAAGGCATGGACTTAATAAATATTGACTAGAAAAAGAAATGGTGGCTCGTTGACATAGATGAGGAAAATAACTAATTCAGCAACCAATTCTGTATGGTTTTCAAACCATATAAACAACTTATTCACGAATGCCAAGGAATAAGTTCATTCCTTGTCACCCTGAGGAGCTGTGTGCCCCCAGTCGGGCCACCTCTCAGACAGGGCTGGTGTGCTGGGTCAGAGATGAATGCCAAGGTCCTTTCTAACACAAATGCCATCCTAAACGTCAACGGAAAATAACGTGAGCCACCAAGTTTTTTAACCCCTTAAAGCACTTTGCCAACAACCAGACTCCAAGAATCTTCCTTTCTTCAGAAAATTTTAAGACCAGCAACAATAAAGGCACAGCACTTAATAAAACAACTAAGTTAGAAGGACAAGACATTGATTTGTACCTTACTGATAGGCCTGAAGAGACAGTACCATTCACTAGGCTGATAGGAGGTGGCCATCTGGAACTTTCTTAGAAGAGGCTATCAGAGCCCTAATCCAACCTCCCCTCCCCCCGGCCTTCTTCCAGAAGGAAAGCTGAGGCCGGAGCAAGAGAAGGTCTTCTCCAAGGCCACACAACTAGTCAGTGACGGAGAGAATTCAGCTCAGTCTTGTTCTTCAGGTCTGTGCCTACAAACTAATAATAATTCCAGAGTATTCTAACCTGTCTGAAAAGAACACAGAACTCCCAACCCTGAAAAGAAAAAAAAAAAAAAGCAGCAGCTGAGATACAGGGTACATCCAAGGTGACCTCTCAGATAACCTCCATGCGCTCTGGTGTTGTTGGTGCGCACACTTCTTTAAATTGGAAGAAAGTAAGTCACGTCACATTCTACTGTATCTGTCAACGTGAACTCAACCCCGTGAGGTGAGCCGCACACACACATTAAATCCTACAAACAACCACTTGTAGAATTACCAGGATAGAAAACAGTGGTGGATACTAACAGGTTAGCCCAAAAGGAGTGGGCAACTAATTCGAATTACGTCCCGCTATGGCCAAGGAGAAAACACAGGACTTGGAGGCCGCAAGACTGTCGAGCACGACTTAAACTTGGGGTCTGAGCCTGCTGCAGCACTTGGGATACAAACACGCATCCTTCCCGCACCCTTCTCCCCTCCTGCAGACCACGCCGGGTCCGACTCAGAGACACAAACGCAGCGCCGACCACGCATCTGTCCCGACGCTGGTGGAAGTTAGTTTTGCAGATGGGAGACTCTGACGAGGCCGCATTTTCCACCAGGGAACGTGAACTGCTGGGGAAGATCCCAGCTTCGGGCTGAGGCGGGGACGGCAGGAGGCCACCCGAGCGGGCGCAGGGATGCAAGCCCGCTTTGCCGCCGCGGGGCCCGCCGGGCGCGCGTCCCCGGGCCTCGCAGGAGCCGGCTCGGGCGCCCACTCCCAACTTTGCGGGCGCGGCCCCAGGCGCTGGCCGGCGCGGCCCCCATTCATAGCGTCCCGGCGCTCGGGCACCGGCGGCGCGCGCCCCGCGGCCAGCGGACACGGCTCGGGGGCAAAGGAGGGCGACCTCTCCCTGCAGGGGAGGCCGAGGACTGAGGACCCCGCAGACCCCGGCGAGCCCCGGCCGGCCACCCCGAGCGCGGCGCGCCGGTCCCGCGGCACGTGTGCGGCGGCGCTGGCCGCGTCCCCGGCGCCCGGAAGGTCACGCGTCCCGGCGCCGAGCCCGCCCGCGCCCCGCGCCCTCCTCCCGCGGGCCCGCAGCGCGCTCACCGCCGTCCTGCTCGGGCCCCGCCGCCCGCTCTCGCTGGCAGCTGTGGCGGGCGGCCGCTTTACCCCACGTCGGCCCGCGCCGGCCCTCCGCCCGCCCTCCGCGCGCCGCCCCGCGCGCTCAGGAGCGCCCTGCGGCGGGCGGGCCGCGCGCCGGGCCCTGGAGCCGCCGCCGCCCTGCGGAGCCCCGCGCCGCCGGGAAGCGGAAGTGGGCGCGGGGCCGCGGGGCGCCCAGCCGGGTCGGGGCAGGGCCGCGCCCCTGGGGTGCCCTCCCGCCCGGGCGTCCCCGACTCCCGCCCTGCATCCCGGCCCGGGCGGCTCCGCGACCCGCTCACCGCGCTGGGAGGCGAAGGCCTTCATTCTGAATTACAAGGGAGCGCCAAATTACATTCCGGACTCGCGGCCTCAGTATTAAATTATAATTGAGTATGAAAATACTGGGCTTGTAGTGATGAAAACTAAATTCGCTTTTGCCAGCAGAAACATTTAGAAAGCCATTTCCCAATCGTCCTCCGCCAAGGAAATCCAGCCCCACTGATGACATTCCTGAAAGTGCACTGATGAAAACTGCGGCTCTCAGTCGGCCTCTCTGATCTCTGAGTTCCCAGGGCATTCGAGGTTGTGTCTGTGGTTCTTTGGCATTGTATCAGTAAGCTTAAAATATTCAAGTTAGCTGTTGTATCCCGAGAGTAAAGTGATTTTCTTTAGTGCGCTAAGACAAGGAGCTAACAGACCCTGCTCAGTCAGAAGGGTCTTGGTTTCCTTCAGAAGCAGCCACCACCTTCCAGTTGCATTGGTTCAGCCTTGGCGTATTTATTTTAAATTTTCTACGTTGTGTTTTCTTCTTAAAACGTGGTGTCATCAGCCAAAGAAATAGTCATGAAAGTAAACAGACAACCTACAGAATGGGAGAAAATTTTTGCATCCTATGCATCCGATAAGGGACTGATAACTAGAATATACTTAGAACTCACGAAAATCAGGAAGAAAAAGTCAAATAACCCTATTAAAAAGTGGGCAAAGGACTTGAACAGAAACTTTTCTAAAGAAGACAGAAGAATGGCCAACAAACATATGAAGAAATGCTCAACATCTCTAATCATCAGGGAAATGCAAATCAAAACCACAATGAGATATCAATTAACTCCAGTGAGAATGGCCTTTATCAAAAAATCTCCAAACAATAAATGCTGGCATGGATGCGGAGAGAGGGGAACACTCCTACACTGCTGGTGGGACTGCAAACTAGTTCAACCTCTGTGGAAAGCAATATGGAGATACCTTAAAGCGATACAAGTGAATCTACCATTTGATCCAGCAATCCTATTGCTGGGCAAAAGATCCAATGACTCTCTACAAAAAAGACACCTGCACTCGAATGTTTATAGCAGCACAATTCATAATTGCAAGGCTGTGGAAACAGTCCAAGTGCCCATCAATCCAAGAATTGACTAATAAAATGTGGTATATGTATACCATGGAGTACTATTCAGCTCTAAGAAACAATGGTGATATAGCACATCTTATATTTTCCTGGTTAGAGCTGGAACCCATACTATTAAGTGAAGTTTCCCAAGAATGGAAAAACAAGCACCACATATACTCACCAGCAAACTGGTATTAACTGAACAGCACCTAAGTGAACACATAGGTACTACAGTAATAGGGTATTGGGCAGGTGGGCAGGGGGGAGGGGGAGGGTATATACATACATAATGAGTGAGATGTGCACCATCTGGGGGATGATCATGATGGAGACTCAGACTTGTGGGAGGAGGGGGGGAATGGGCATTTATTGAAACCTTAAAATCTGTACCCCCATAATATGCTGAAATTAAAAAAAAAAAAACGTGGTGTCATTTTCTTTTACAACTTTCAGCCTTGCTTGGATGTGCTGTTGGATTATTGCCTATGTAATTTAATTACTCGGTGTGGCTTGTAGTGCTTAACAGGAGTGCGCAACTGAATGGAGCTTCCTGGCTGTACTGAGAGTAAGTAGAGGCTGTGAAGGTATCAGAGCGCCTGATAAATGGGGCACTCTTCGGAATCAGCACTTAAGAACTCGAACTTCCAGAATGTAGTTTAATTACAGAAACAAGCCAGGGAGTTGGGATGACTTGCCCAAAGAGACAGGTAACGTAACTAGTTGGAGGCAGGTGCAGGAGCAGAGCCTACCGTTGCCACAGCCTGGAGCACTGAGGGACTAGCAGTGTCACCAGGTCCAGTGGCTCTTGCAGCCTAAGAAGATGACGCCCTAGGGAAACCTGATTCAGGGCAGACCCAGATCTCTTGTTATAGATT